TGGTGGTGGTGGTGGTGGTGATGGTGATGGCGATGAACTTGAGAAGGGATAAATGATAAGTCCATGGAAATTGCCCGTCTGGATCATGCCCAGCTATTACGACCGTCCCTTCACAAATGCTGACGAAGTTGGTGGTGAAATCACCCAATGAAAAATGCTAGCTACATGTTCACACAAGGCGGGAGACGCTCTCACTCGCAGCACGCAGTCACACAGACCATGGGCATTGAAGAAACGAGACTCGCATCGGAGTCATCAAGAGAAGAGAAAAACAGAGTGATCAGCTGGTTGAATTAAAAAGAAACTTCCAGTTAGACAAGACATGGTTTCGACCCACGAAAGCAACCCCAAGCATGCGATTGGCAGGGAAAGGCATGGCAATTTTCCCGCCCTTTATGTAGCCTGAAGTATGGACTTTTCCATCCAGGCATGGCAGGAGTGTCAGGGAATTTCTTGATGATGTTGAAGGCTTTCCTAATCATAGTGGCATAGCAAATTGGAGTCAAATCTTTGTCCTCAAGTCTCACTCCAGCTAGGGGATCTTCATCCCTGTCAGGCCTGTCAGGATTGAAACTAGAAAATACGGGAAACCATCAACCAATATCAACCAGATCATGTTTCCGCTCGAACTCTTGTTGCGTATCAACTTCTGGATGTCTGGCTGAAACAACAGAGGTTTGTCACAAGCTTTCGAACTGAACATGGGATACACCTAAATCCGGTGGGTTAATCATCATATTCCCATTAAAGTGGCAATAACTTGGGGGCATCCCCTATTTTCGGACACGCCCAATTCATAAATGGTTGTTTACATTATTACAATTTATTACATATAGTTATATCCCACTATACATCCGAATATCTATAGCATATACACATATACATATTCTTCTCATGTTGCTTGTACGCCCATATCCCCCATTTCATCCTTTAGCAGGCGCCAAATGGCGCCGTGCACGCCTGATCCAGGCCATTCGCAACTCCTGGCAGGGTCTTGACGCGTCAGTTCACCCCTGGCCAACATTGACCCATGCCGCCAGCTGGCATCCAAAATTTATTGATGTTTTGCGTATGAAAATGATGCCTTTCCAATGCCTTTCCATAGCTATGTAAAATCCTTTTGTGTAGTTTCTAGCTGCTACTATTTTGATACATTTTGTATTTTCATTGAATTCCCCTATCTGTTGGCTGAATATTGCTAGCTTGCATGATGTCAGTCCCGGATTAAGAATCCCCCTTGGTTGGTTCTTGGGGGTCCATTTGAATAGCGCTTTCTTACTCCTCAGGGGTGACTCGTACATGGCCACAAATCGGTGTATCCCCCATTCTGAGACAACCTCATATTCCCATTGAATTTCTATGCTTGTTGGCTAGGCTCAATCAAAAAAAAGTGTTCGAAACCCTGTGTCGTCCCTCTATACTGGCTAATATACTGGCTATATACTGGCTAATATCCCCAATGGACATTGCCCCAGTCTCTTTGTACATCTTCCTTACAGAAACCACAGCCACCGCCGAAGAACTACACAGCTCCTCTCGGCGAGCCGAGGCGATCACCTGCTCATACGCTGGGGTCCAAGCCTCAACGATCAGGTGTCAATTTTGGAGGGCCCATGAGGATTTACCCTCGAGGATTTACCGTGCTGGACCTGGACCTGGAAAATCTGGATATGAAAACACCATTGAGTTGGAGGATTTTCCAGCTTGCCATTTTTGACTGGAGGGTACCCCAATTTGTCAACACATTGACCAAGGATATCCCGAAAACATGGATTGCACAACTTTGAACATGAACCAGAACCATGAAAGAAGATGACGTAGCTATCGAAAATGCCCCAGGTGAAGTTTCTCGAGGGTAGATAGGTACCTACAAATCTATACAAATCTGACTTCAGCGCTGTTCCCAAACAGAAAAACAATGTAAATCATCGCAGATTTAGGATTTCCCTGCCGCATCCTTCTGCCAAGCGCTCCGACAGATCATGCAACCAGCCAGGCAGCCAATGTCGGAGTGACTTTGTCAAAGGCTGTTGTGGATTTTGTGCGAAATTCGGGAATTTTGAAGATGCCCATGGTTTATCATCGTCCCCAAGTTTCCTCAATATCAAAATTGCTGGCAGAATTACATCATTTTCAGAGAAAACCAAAGCCGCGATGCCACTGGGTTTCCCCTCCAACATCCGCAGGGTTCGGATGTTCCTCAGCTCGTGCGGTTTTCCCAGAAAGCCAGTTGGAAATAGGTACACGGCATCTCCGACAAAAAATGGGAAATGAAATAGCTGAGAAAAGGTGTATATATTATGTACATATATCATATCATATGTCAAATAAGAATCAATACGAATCAATACGAATTAAGTATATTATATATCATTATATCATAATATAATGAGTGCACTGAAATAGCTCGATGATATCACAAAATATGTTGTTAGAGGATTGTATTCCGTAGCCTTGCTCGTTCAAGCAAGAATAAGGAGCCAAGCAGCGTGAAGCCTTCACTACATCGTCCTAGACGCTCATCCTGGTGGAGACCACTGGGTTTGATACGTTGGCTGTCGTTTTTTCATGATATTTCAAAGCTTGCGAGAAAACCGACCTGATTTTCGGGGCCTACATCCAACAAGGACATGTATTATCGAAATTTATCAAAACAATATCCAAACCACAGCTTGTGCGGGTTACATGTTGAACAGGCCATGTCACCAGTGTCACCAGTCGAGCCCGTCTCCTTGGCGAAATACAGCCGGTCTCGATAGACTCCATCCGCATATCCCCTAGGGCCGTGAAGCAAGCAGCGCAGCTGACCCTAATGGGATTCCGGTCATCATCCCCTTTTTGTTGCTGATCATTGCTGATCCTCATCCCATTTTTTCAATTCTAGACGCGTCCAGCAAACTCTCTGGAGAACATGTTCATCCGCTCTCATAGGTGAAACGATCATCTGATTTCATGTGAAATTGCAGCATCACGGGAGCGCTGCTTCACAGGAATGTCCCATAATGTCCCATAAAAAAATATGGTAAAACAGGGAAACTAGGGAGGTTGGAGGTTGGTTGGGAGGTTGTTATGTTTTTGTGAAAAATATTGTAAATCTAAATGTTTGACTGTTTCTTTTTGATTATCTTGCTAAATATTTTGTTGAGGTTGTTGTGATAATGTTTGGTTTGGATGAGGGTAGGTTTTGTTGAGGGTGTTTTGGCTGCTCTGGTTTTTAGGTTTATGTTCAATGTGTGTTCCTTGGTTTTGATGATTTACTGGGACACTGTTAGGGGTGGTTTAGGGTCTTAACTTTCACTGTTGATGTTTGGATTGAATGGGGGTAGGATTTGTTTAGACTGTTGGGGTTTTGTGTTTGGATTGAGATCTCATATGCCTAGCATTCCAGTTTCATCATCTCCATTTCTCACAACTTTCGGTTGTTCCTTTCCCTTCAGTTTGGTTTGATGCTTGATGCTTTCTTCGTGCCTTTTGACTTGATATTTGTTTATTATGCTTCCACACACGGGACATTCAGTTTTCAATTCATTAGTGTTGTTCTTTTCCTCTGTCGTTTGTTCCTTTTTTCTTTGATGATACTGTATGGCATACGGCATACTGTCTTAATTTGTCGCTGTTTTTCTCTCTGTATCGTTGCTTTGCTTCTAAAAAGTTTTTACACTGCTTACATTCATCTCTGTAATAGTTTAACGGTTGAAAGACTTTACATTTAGAACACTGCTTTTGTCAGTCATTATACCTCTACAAGTTTAAGGGGTTATGTCTTTAAGGGGTTTTTAGGGTGGATTACTTCATAATATGTTTTGTTAAGATATTATGAATTAATCATTTATGCTTTCCACTTTCCTATTCCATCCCACCAGTGTTCAATTATCCTGACTTGACTTGTGATAGGTTTGTCTGTATCATTTAAAATTAGTTCATCTATTGCTAATGCTAATAGAGTTTGATTTATTGCCATAGCCTCACAAAGATGCATCTGCGGAATGTCGAAGAAAAGGGACAATACATCGGTTCAGTCAATTTGTGCCAAACTGGCTTTGGTATTGAAGGATGCTTGATATGCAAAACCAAACAGGAACCACAGCGCCTAACCTCAATCAATACATGAATTTGAAGCAAATAATTCGACATCTTTGAACAACAGCTTGGTAGAATTTGAACCTGAACCTACACATAGAAACTCTGACCACCTCAACAATTATCCCCTTCATTCAATCCAAACATTATCACAACAACCTCAACAACACATTTAGCAAGATAATCAAAAAGAAACAGTCAAACATTTAGATTTACAACATTGAACAAAAACATAACAGCCTCCCACCTGACCTCCAACCTGTCTTGTCCTAGCATCCCTGTTTTACCATTTTTTCCCCATACATCCCCAGAATTGATTCAAGGAAGAGCCTTGAAAAATACAGGACCCCCCCAAAAAAAATTCGGGCCTTTCGGAAATCCCAGGGGAAACATTGACCAATTGCCATCATCTGCCATCCCAGTGATGGATTCATCCCGTCAACTGAGGTCCAACATGATGAGGTTGAAGCTCTTGCAGAGCAAGATGGTCACCAAGCCCGGGATCACTGACCAGGCCTCAGGGTGACCAGTAGGGGATCCTGGGCTTGGGGAGCCTGGGTGAGAAAACAGATTACCCTCTGGTAATGACTAACATAGCTATTGAACATGGCCATAGAAATAGTGGATTTTCCCATTAAAAATGGTGATTTTCCATAGCTATGTTAAATTACCAGAGGGTATCGCTGATGGTCCTGATCCATTAGCATTTCAATCCATTTCATCCCAGGCTTGGAAACATGCTTGGAAAAACGGAAAAACCCTGTGCAATTTCTGCAAGCTCACCATTTAAGCCACATTTACCCAACTTCCAGGATCATCAGGATCTTTGTGGGAGGTCAAAATTGTGATATCCAAAAAACTGTTGATTCCCACTGCGACAGACCCAGACCCTTGCGGCAAAAAAAATCCCACCATCGATCTTTTTACACCAACCATCGTGGAGTCCGCTGCATGTAGCCCTCATAGCCTGCGTTGAGTCCAGCTGCGGCAAACACAAAACTGCACCGTGTTGAGAAAGTCATCAACCGATGAGATGATGACTACGTCAAAATACTTCAAAATCACATCTATCATCTATATGACATTCTGTTTGAGATTGCATCCATTCAGGTGATTCACTGCTTAACCACACACACACATTATATATATATATATGTATAAATAATTACCTACTCCAAAGTTCAAAGTTGCATCCAGTTCTTCAACATCCAGGTAGCTCGAACCAAATCTCGCCCGCAGATAGATTTCTTCCGCCGGAACGATGCAGAAGTTCAGATACGCCGCGAAGGGCAGCATGGCTGCAAGGCACCACCAGGTGTTGGCCATCAGGCCCACCGAACCTGGCGGGAGACGCTTCTCAAGCTTCACCAGTAGTCCAAAGGAACTCATGAAGAATGAAGAATATGAACAGACTGCCGAATAGTAATATATATATATATATTATATATATAATATATATTATATCATGGTGATCCACGGTGGTCCACGGTGGTCCTGATGATAAGTGAAGAGTGAAGAAAAAGGCAAATCTGGATAGTATACGGTATACTTGTTCTGTGTCCCTAATCCGCCGACCCCTGCCGTCAGCAGGGGGAGCGCGTCAGAGGAGGCCTTACTAGCAACAAGATGCCAGAAGGGGCGAAGAGTTTGTGCAGAACGAAAGCCGGCTCCAGAAGGACACGAGCAGGGTGGCAGTTGGCAGTGTAGAAACGCAGGAAAAGTCAAGGTTTGGAGCTAGTTTCTAGTCGGTTCAGAAAGTGACGTTTGGCAGTCTGGGATACGGGCCGCAGGCCCAATCCGTCCTTCACTGCCATGGTGTTTTAGCCCTGCGACACGTCCTTGGACTCCAGCTTGGACCGAAGCGGTGCAGAACGAAAGCCGGCTCCAGGAGGACACGAGCAGGGTGGCAGTTGGCAGTGCAGAAACGCAGGAAAAGTCAAGGTTTGGAGCTAGTTTCTAGTCGGTTCAGAAAGTAATGTTTGGCACTCTGGGCTACGGGCCGCGGGCCCAATCCGTCCTTCACTGCCATGGTGTTTTAGCCCTGCGAGGAGGTCCCTTGACCGGAGCTGTGCCGCACGAAAGCCAGCTGTCACACAACTCAGGCAAGTTGGCAGTTGGCAGTGCAGGAACGCAGGGAAAAGCTAGGTTTGAGCTGCAAGACGACGCAGGCAAATTGGCAGTTGGCAGTGCAGGAAGGCAGGGAAAAGCAAGGTTTCAAGCTAGTTTCTAGGCAGTTCAGAAAGCAACGTTAGACACCGTGGGCTGCCGGCTGCGGGCCCAATCCGTCCTTCACTGCCATGGTGTTTTAGCCCTGCGACACGGTCCTTGGACTCCAGCTTGGACCGAAGCGGTGCAGAACGAAAGCCGGCTCCAGGAGGACACGAGCAGGGTGGCAGTTGGCAGTGCAGAAACGCAGGAAAAGTCAAGGTTTGGAGCTAGTTTCTAATCGGTTCAGAAAGTAACGTTTGGCACTCTGGGCTACGGGCCGCAGGACGAAAGCCAGCTCCAGGAGGACACGAGCAAGGTGGCAGTTGGCAGTGCAGAAACGCAGGAAAAGTCAAGGTTTGGAGCTAGTTTCTAGGTCGGTTCAGAAAGTGACGTTTGGCAGTCTGGGATACGGGCCGCGGGCCCAATCCGTCCGTCACTGCCATGGTGTTTTAGCCCTGCGACACGGTCCGTGGACTGCAGCTTGGACCGAAGCGGTGCAGAACGAAAGCCGGCTCCAGGAGGACACGAGCAGGGTGGCAGTTGGCAGTGCAGAAACGCAGGAAAAGTCAAGGTTTGGAGCTAGTTTCTAGTCGGTTCAGAAAGTGACGTTTGGCAGTCTGGGATACGGGCCGCAGGCCCAATCCGTCCTTCACTGCCATGGTGTTTTAGCCCTGCGACACGTCCTTGGACTCCAGCTTGGACCGAAGCGGTGCAGAACGAAAGCCGGCTCCAGGAGGACACGAGCAGGGTGGCAGTTGGCAGTGCAGAAACGCAGGAAAAGTCAAGGTTTGGAGCTAGTTTCTAGTCGGTTCAGAAAGTGACGTTTGCCAGTCTGGGATACGGGCCGCGGGCCTAATCCGTCCTTCACTGCCATGGTGTTTTAGCCCTGCGACACGGTCCTTGGACTCCAGCTTAGACCGAAGTGGTGCAGAACGAAAGCCGGCTCCAGGAGGACACGAGCAGGGTGGCAGTTGGCAGTGCAGAAACGCAGGTAAAGTCAAGGTTTGGAGCCGCAGAACGAAAGCCGGCTCCAGGAGGACACGAGCAGGGTGGCAGTTGGCAGTGCAGAAACGCAGGAAAAGTCAAGGTTTGGAGCTAGTTTCTAGTCGGTTCGGAAAGTGACGTTTGGCAGTCTAGGATACGGGCCGCGGGCCCAATCCGTCCTTCACTGCCATGGTGTTTTAGCCCTGCGACACGGTCCTTGGACTCCAGCTTGGACCGAAGCGGTGCAGAACGAAAGCCGGCTCCAGGAGGACACGAGCAGGGTGGCAGTTGGCAGTGCAGAAACGCAGGAAAAGTCAAGGTTTGGAGCTAGTTTCTAGTCGGTTCAGAAAGTGACGTTTGGCAGTCTGGGATACGGGCCGCGGGCCCAATCCGTCCTTCACTGCCATGGTGTTTTAGCCCTGCGACACGGTCCTTGGACTCCAGCTTGGACCGAAGCGGTGCAGAACGAAAGCCGGCTCCAGGAGGGTGGCAGTTGGCAGTGCAGAAACGCAGGAAAAGTCAAGGTTTGGAGCTAGTTTCTAGTCGGTTCAGAAAGTGACGTTTGGCAGTCTGGGATACGGGCCGCGGGCCCAATCCGTCCTTCACTGCCATGGTGTTTTAGCCCTGCGACACGGTCCTTGGACTCCAGCTTGCACCGAAGCGGTGCAGAACGAAAGCCGCCGGCTCCAGGAGGACACGAGCAGGGTGGCAGTTGGCAGTGCAGAAACGCAGGAAAAGTCAAGGTTTGGAGCTAGTTTCTAGTCGGTTCAGAAAGTGACGTTTGGCAGTCTGGGATACGGGCCGCGGGCCTAATCCGTCCTTCACTGCCATGGTGTTTTAGCCCTGCGACACCTTCCTTGGACTCCAGCTTAGACCGAAGCGGTGCAGAGCGAAAGCCGGCTCCAGGAGGACACGAGCAGGGTGGCAGTTGGCAGTGCAGAAATGCAGGTAAAGTCAAGGTTTGGAGCCGCAGAACGAAAGCCGGCTCCAGGAGGACACGAGCAGGGTGGCAGTTGGCAGTGCAGAAACGCAGGAAAAGTCAAGGTTTGGAGCTAGTTTCTAGTCGGTTCGGAAAGTGACGTTTGGCAGTCTAGGATACGGGCCACGGGCCCAATCCGTCCTTCACTGCCATGGTGTTTTAGCCCTGCGACACGGTCCTTGGACTCCAGCTTGGACCGAAGCGGTGCAGAACGAAAGCCGGCTCCAGGAGGACACGAGCAGGGTGGCAGTTGGCAGTGCAGAAATGCAGGAAAAGTCAAGGTTTGGAGCTAGTTTCTAGTCGGTTCAGAAAGTGACGTTTGGCAGTCTGGGATACGGGCCGCGGGCCTAATCCGTCCTTCACTGCCATGGTGTTTTAGCCCTGCGACACGGTCCTTGGACTCCAGCTTGGACCGAGGCGGTGCAGAACGAAAGCCGGCTCCAGGAGGACACGAGCAGGGTGGCAGTTGGCAATGCAAAAAGCAGTGAAACTCCAAGGTTTGGAGCTAGTTTCTAGTCGTTCAGAAGTGACGTTTGGGCAGTCTGGGTCCAGGAGGAACCACGAGCAATGGTGTGCAGTTGGCATTGCAGAACGCCGAAACGTCAGGTTTGGACTAGTTCTGTTTCTAGTCGGTTTTCAGAAGTGACCGTCTGGCCTTCTGGATACGGGCCGCGGGCCCATCCGTCCTTTTCACTGCATGGTGTTTAGAAAGAGCCCTGCGACACGTTCCTTGGACGCCAGCTTGGACCGCAGCGGTGCAGAACTAAAGCGGCGCAAGAGTACACGAGCAGGGTGGCAGTTGGCAGTGCAGAAACTCAGGTAAAAGTCAAGGTTTGGGAGCTAGTTTCTATTCGGTTCAAAGAAATTAACGTTGGCACTCTGGGCTACGCCCGCAGAACGAAAGCCGGCGCCAGGAGGACACGAGCAGGGTGGCAGTTGGCAGTGCAGAAACGCAGGAAAAGTCAAGGTTTGGAGCTAGTTTCTAGTCGGTTCAGAAAGTGACGTTTGGCAGTCTGGGATACGGGCCGCGGGCCCAATCCGTCCTTCACTGCAATGGTGTTTTAGCCCTGCGACACGGTCCTTGGACTCCAGCTTGGACCGAAGCGGTGCAGAACGAAAGCCGGCTCCAGGAGGACACGACAGGGTGGCAGTTGGCAGGGCAGAAACGCAGGAAAAGTCAAGGTTTGGAGCTAGTTCCTAGTCGGTTCAAACATTGGCAGTAGTCTGGGGTCCTTCACTGCCATGGTGTTTTAGCCCTGCGACACGGTCCTTGGACTCCAGCTTGGACCGAAGCGGTGCAGAACGAAAGCCGGCTCCAGGAGGACACGAGCAGGGTGGCAGTTGGCAGTGCAGAAACGCAGGAAAAGTCAAGGTTTGGAGCTAGTTTCTAGTCGGTTCAGAAAGTGACGTTTGGCAGTCTGGGATACGGGCCGCGGGCCCAATCCGTCCTTCACTGCCATGGTGTTTTAGCCCTGCGACACGGTCCTTGGACTCCAGCTTAGACCGAAGCGGTGCAGAACGAAAGCCGGCTCCAGGAGGACACGAGCAGGGTGGCAGTTGGCAGTGCAGAAACGCAGGTAAAGTCAAGGTTTGGAGCCGCAGAACGAAAGCCGGCTCCAGGAGGACACGAGCAGGGTGGCAGTTGGCAGTGCAGAAACGCAGGAAAAGTCAAGGTTTGGAGCTAGTTTCTAGTCGGTTCAGAAAGTGACGTTTGGCAGTCTGGGATACGGGCCGCGGCCCAATCCGTCCTTCACTGCCATGGTGTTTTAGCCCTGCGACACGGTCCTTGGACTCCAGCTTGGGCCGAAGCGGTGCAGAACGAAAGCCGGCTCCAGGAGGACACGAGCAGGGTGGCAGTTGGCAGTGCAGAAACGCAGGAAAAGTCAAGGTTTGGAGCTAGTTCCTAGTCGGTTCAGATCCGTCCTTCACTGCCACGGTCCTTGGACTCCAGCTTGGACCGAAGCGGTGCAGAACGAAAGCCGGCTCCAGGAGGACACGAGCAGGGTGGCAGTTGGCAGTGCAGAAACGCAGGAAAAGTCAAGGTTTGGTCTGGGATACGGGCCGCGGGCCCAATCCGTCCTTCACTGCCATGGTGTTTTAGCCCTGCGACACGGTCCTTGGACTCCAGCTTGGACCGAAGCGGTGCAGAACGAAAGCCGGCTCCAGGAGGACACGAGCAGGGTGGCAGTTGGCAGTGCAGAAACGCAGGAAAAGTCAAGGTTTGGAGCTAGTTTCTAGTCGGTTCAGAAAGTGACGTTTGGCAGTCTGGGATACGGGCCGCGGGCCCAATCCGTCCTTCACTGCCATGGTGTTTTAGCCCTGCGACACGGTCCTTGGACTCCAGCTTGGACCGAAGCGGTGCAGAACGAAAGCCGGCTCCAGGAGGACACGAGCAGGGTGGCAGTTGGCAGTGCAGTGTCGTCTCGGGTCTCTTTAGGATGCCATTTAAAGTTTCATACTGCGGTTACGAACGGGGGCTTCGGGTATGGGTCTTAAGTGCTAGAGCAACCCTTTAGGTCCCCAAGACACCTGCCCAATGACGAAAGCTCCTATTTCTTGAGCCATGAAAAAGTGTCAGAACACATAGTTGTGCGTGTCATCCTGCAGGGGTCCATGCTGCTTGCATGTGCACAGTGCCAAACGCACATACAAATGGTTTGTTTAGGTCAGTTTCTGGTTTCTTTAGGGTTCATTTCATGCTTACGACACAGAGGCAGGCATGACCCTCCAGTGTCCAGGGGTCGGCGGCAGAGGGCGTAGCCCTTTAATTTTTGATCATTTTCGGGTGGGTCTTCAAGTTGGCTTTTCCGTTCGGACCAGAAAATCGTGAACATCCTGGTGGGGTCTTACATTCTTTGCCCAACCCAGTTCCTGTCACCATTCCACGTGCCAGCCTATGTTGCCCAACATACTCAGGTACATGGGATTTCTCGACCATTCAAACCTTGGACCAGCGAAGAATTGGAAACTTGGTCACGTGTTATGTCTCTTGTAGTGACCATTGGAGGATCGGCTCGAGCCATTTCCATCCATTTAACCGTGTTTCTGCCTCCACGTTTGGCGTTTGGGAAAGATCCATCAGCACATCCACCATCGACTATCGGGATCAATCAGCTGTACCATTTTTTTCGGGAAAACCATGGTTGGGGTCTCCAGGCTTTCCAGCCTGGGATGCTCGAAAACACCCAGCCAGTTTCATTGGCAAAAAATGTATAAAAAAGTGGTTTCCCATAATTTTTTGAGTTTACCTTATGCAGTGATCCTGATTGGTTATCGTGCAACATATCTCCACCTTATTCACCATTTCTGGTCATACCCCTGTGTTTGTTGGTTAACTTCCAATTTCTAGATGGTTTTCATATCAACCCTGAATTAATCCGATCCCCCCAATATATTTCATACCCCCAATATGGAGGCACAAAATGAACAGATCCAAGACTAAACTAGGATTTACATGGTATTCATTTTTGGGAGAAGGGAATCATAAACTATTTAAACCCTGGTTCATTGAATATTAATAATACCCTGGTTGCTGATTAAATATGATTAAATCCCAATCTTTAGATAGCCAATGTCAAACCCAAATATTTATTCATCCTGGTTGATCATTATTAGTACAAGGTGGATCATCCATAGAAAAATTAGTTTGTGTTAGTTTTACAACTTTATAACTCCAATGTCTTGGTTAATTGTGGCAATTATAAGTATGCCATAAACCAGCCATTTGGGAATGGTAAACATACCACCTATAAAAATTGTGATTTGGGGGATGGTTTATTATTGTTTTACTCACATTATATCCTCTGGTATCCTCTGGTAAACTAACATAACTATGGAAAATCACAATGTTTAATGGGTAAATCAACTATAAGTGGCCATTTTCAATAGCTATTTAAAATTACCAAAGGGTAGTTCATTGGGGCCAGAAAGGCCAATTTCTGACTGCGGCCAACCTTATAAAGGACCTCCAAGCAAGGATCGGTCCATCCGTCACTAGCACTTGGGACGGCTGCTGGTGTGTCAAAGGCGTGCGGTGCACACGGAAACGTTCCATGGAGGACGTCCTGTCGGCAGTTCTGATGTCTGTGATATCTCACATGGTACAGGCCATAGGAAGTCGAGGGCACCCTTGAAATGCTAAGAAATCATGGATTTTCCAATTGAATGTATTTAGACCAGATCAATTAATCTAAGTATAATTATGCATGTATGTCATATATATATATGTATTTTATATATATATGTATTATATATATATATATACTATATATATATAATTATATTATATACAGTACATATATATATATGTATATAATTAATTGTATATAGATACATAATCGATCATATTCGAACCCTTTGGAGATACCTTGGAATTGTCATCTCCGTCCTCAAGGACACGCTTCCTGCCATCAGCGCGGCACCACAGAGCTGCACGGCCCAGGCTCTCCGCGGCAGGATCTTCAAGGCCCAGGACTGGAGAGGAGGGCTGGGAAATCCCCAAAATCATGGGGAAAATCATGGGAGATGGGAAAATCGATGCGAACTCAGAGATTTTTTCATGGAGGTTTGGAGGGAAATTCCCCGAAGCCATGGGCATCGATGGGAAAATCAATGAACATCGATGGAGATTTTCCAGCCATGTTTGATTTCCGGGTAGAGCAACTCAGAATCTGGGTTTATATAAGACATTTTGAAGATGGGATGTGATTCAGGAAAAACTGCAGTGAAAAAAAATCATTTGCACCAGGAGCGGGAGTTCACCAACTCCAGCTTGCTCTAGCAGAAATGAGGAGCTTTAGCATCCAAAGTAGCCATGAAGTCAGAGGCTCCCCTGTTGATCTGTTTATCTTCGGCGACCCGTGAAATCCACTGGACACCCAGTGCAGGAGGCTGTTTAAATCCAGCCTTTGAACACCAAAATCATCCCATGAAATATCTGGTTGGTGGTTTCAACCCCTCTGAAAAATATGAGTTCGTCAGTTGGGGTTATTATTCCCAACATATGGAAAAATAAAGAACTGTTCCAAACCACCAACCAGATATGGTTTTGTCACTGGAGTACCCCCGATTCCAATGGATCCAGCCATCATGGAAACAACATCGCCATTTTGGGGACCACATGTTCAAACACACCCATTATCGTTGGTTCATTTCAGCAAAATCGTAATCCCATAGAATTGGGGTCTTGTGAACTATCCAAAGACATATCCCACATCTTCTTTCAGATGTCCCCATATTCTGGGTTCTGGTCGGTTTAGACACCATGTGGGTTGATGAAATTGAAATCCCCGTTCTTTTTTTGCGGATGTCATAAGGCCTCGCCCAACTGCTCCTTGGCAAAGTACCAGCAACCCATACCACCGAAGATACAAAGAAGATCCAGTTGAGCCACCTGAGTTGGATGAACTCGGGAAAATCGACCAGATTTCCCAAGATCTGGGACCTAAATGGGAAGTCCCGGAACATTTTGTTCTCACCAATTCTGGGATTTGGAGTATACCGAATTGTCCAGAAACTAAAATGGACAATTTAACCCAAAAAATATGGCGTTATGACTCGTTATATATATAAAAGAAACCATATTGCTCAAACGCCTATCCGCTTTGGTTAACGAAAATGTAGATTGTGGCGACGGCTCCGGCGGTTCAAACCCTACTCCGAACAGTCAAGAAGGAAAGGTCCGAGGCGTGGGGAGATGCACCCGCTACGTGTCACGAGACCTTCTTGACCAGCCAACAGGCAAGGTATGATCAGCAAGAAGCATTTATGATCATTTATGATCATTTATGCAAAAGATTCTTCTCCAAACATTTTCGTGCAGATGCACCATCCACTATAATCAAACATGGCTTGCTGGAAAATTCCCCATTTAGTTCGGTGATCTTCCCAGCGAACGAAACTTCCATTCAGTTCGGGGGGACTTCCCAGCCAGCCGCGCCATGGTTTCCTGGCTGCAGCCGGGCCGCTGGCTCTGGTTGTGGCGGCAACTTCTCATCCATCACAATTCACATGGCACCGCAAGGGCTGTGTCAAATTACCTCAAGGGATGATTTGGCTTTTAACATTTTCTTGGTGGATTCTCTGGGGTTGTCTTCAAATCTTTTTCACTACACGCTTGACAATGTGGTGGTACTTCTTGAGATCATGCTTTGGTGATACACATTTCTGCAGGGAAGACATCTGCGACATGTTTTTTCTGGCACTTGACGTGAATGCCACCTGCGCAGCATCAACCCCAGATCTCATGAGCACCAAAAGCTGCGCGCATAGAATGCACACGTCTAGGCTGAATGTCAAGGGTGGTTGAACGGTGGCCAGTCTATGGTGGGGTGGTGCAAGCAAGCAAACAACAAATCAACTGGATATGGGTCAAAATCTAGGTATCCACAATTAAGTTCGTATTGAACTATCCATTTGGGTCCAATCATGTTTGACCCATACTCAACTGGCGCAAAGAACCGATCTGTCCACTTTTCGCGCTTCGAGTTGTGCCTGTGCCACTCTCGTCTCATATCTTCACGTGCTATTTTCCACCACGTGTCTTTCGGGAGAGCTCGATGATGCAGCCAGGACCAATGTTGTAGAAGGCCAAGGAATGCGCATTCTTCAGGATGTAACCTGGCTGTGTGCCACGGATCAAGTTGTAAATAGTGCGCATTCAAATACTACATATAATGTGTATAGTATATGATATTATATAATAATATAATATATATTATATAATCCGTAATTCAATACCATGAAATATTGAAAGGCTGAAAATCCATCCAAATGGAAAATGTTGTAATGGGATGTAATGGGTTCATACCATGTGATATCCGTTCTGAATTCTGAATTATGTTCTTTCTAGAGGAGTCTTGAGCAAAAATCCAGCTGTTTTGGAGCACCGCCACCTGTGTTCTGAACCTTCAACTTCATGTTTGCCACATTGACTCCAGCAGCCGCCACCTTGGGTTGCAGCTTGCTCTTGAGCTCCTGGACCTTCTGTCGCACCGACACTTCCATCGGCATGGCAGGTTCGATGCCGGCGGCAAGAGCATCAGCACCAAGGCCCACCTGAACGATGATGGCAATCGGAGTTGGGTATTTGTTCACCCAAGTTTCCTCCGCCAACAGGCTGCCATCATCCAATCTCGGCTTCTTGGCAGCGGGCTCATCATCGTCATCGTCGTCATCCGCCAAAGCCATAGGCCCAGTGCCTGCCACCATGCCTGGAGGCTTCACGCCGCTGGCACTGGCACCCTGATTGGCCAAGGAGGCTTGGGGCAGCCTGGCGTTGATGGTGGACACACCAGCAATGGGACCTTGCTGTCCCGCAGGCAGGGCCTGCATGCCAGGACCCTGCAGGGCTGCAGCCCCTGCACCACCGGTGCCAGGCAGGGCAGCCTTCTTCGGCTGTGGATCGTAGGCGGTGGGCGGCACCATTGTGTGGGCCGGACCGGCATCTGCACCTGCATCTCGTGCAGCTGCCTCCGCACCGGCCTCAGCGGCCTCTCGAATCTCCTCCTCAACTGTGCCGAACAAATCAGGCCTCTTAGCCACAAAACTGGCCAAGTTTGCCTCGACATCATCTGCAAAGGCAGATTCTTTCCTGGCTCGCTCCACCAATGCATCCTTCTGATGCTTCCACTTAGGATCCAAAAGCAACACCTTCAAGTGGTTGGACATTTCTTCCGCTGCAATCAGCTGACCGGTGATGGGACATCGCTGCATCAATCGTTGCGCGCTGCCCTTCTTCTGTCTCACATAGTCCTTTCGGACCTTCATCTCTGGTTCCTGCATGGGCAAAGGAATCTCTGGCTCCATGTCCAAAGGCTCTTCCTCCACCATCTCTTCAGCTTCTCTTTCCTGCCTCTCCCTCTCTTCTTTTTCACGTTCTTCCCTCTCCCTCTCCTCACGCTCTCGCTGTTCGGCGAGCTCGCGCTCTCGCTTTTCACGCTCTTCCTTCTCCAAATCCACTGCTATGGACTCGGACTCTCGAACTTCTTCCTCCACGCCCTTGGGCTTTTCAATCTTGGCCTCTGCAAACATGGTGCCTGCTTGCTCCAAAGGCGCAGGTGCTCCCTTTGGAGCATGGGTGGCAGGATCAATGGGTGCTGCCAACTGAAGAGTGTCATCTTCTGCAGTGAACTCAATGGTCTCCACGATCACAAAGTCATGCCAATCAATCTGTGCCATCTGTTCCTTCTCCTCCTTCATCTCCTCCTCCCGGGAAACCCTGTTGGCCTCCTCTTGTTCATCCCATTGGAAGCGAGCCATGGCCTTGTCCATCACCTCCTGGTAGTTGCTGATGCACTTCTTGAGCTTCTCGACCTCGTCCTTGTTGGGCATGAGACACTTGGTGTAGGCATCCACTAGAGAGGTGAAGTATCCAAAGAGCGCATGGGTTGGCTTCAGAAAGTCAAACTGAGGATTTCGACTTTCACGCTGGGTCAAACCAATCAGGAACTTCTGCCCATTGCGCGCTACAAACTGTGCTGTGAGCTTGATGATGTCTGTGTCCATGGGCGCAATGTAGGGGTGATTCACCACATACTGATCTGGGGGTGGAGGCTTCACCAACTTCTTCTTCTTTTCTCCCATGGTCAGAGCTTTCAACTGCTCCTTCTTCTTCTTTTTCTCATCCTCTTTGGCCTTTTGATCTATGATGGCCTGGGGCACTTCTGGCTTCGTTTCCTCTACCACACCGGTCTTGAACTCTCTCACTTTGTGCTCATAGTATGGCCTGTAGGGATTGTTGGGCAACAAGAAGGCGAACTTGGTGTGATTCTGTTCTCTCAACACACGTTGCTCGAACCCCTCTCCACATTTGGCCACGAACTGAGCTGTCTTGTCAATGACACCACGGATATCGGGTGGTGGATAAATCAACCCGACGCCGGCATTGCTTTTGTCGTCCTCCGGCATATCTTCCTGCGCTGTCTCCTAACGTTCAGCGCTTGAGCCAACACTAAGTTCAAGTGCGCGGCTTCATGGAGTCGTTAAACAGTACTGGTGTCCAAAATAGCCGAGCACCCAACATTCACAAATTCACTCCAATTGATAAGCCAATGTTCATCAATTTTCAGTATGAAACACTTATGGTTTGGGGTAGCCTCTGATTTTTGGACAATCCATGCATCAAATTCTCACTCTTCCATGTGAGACGTCCATGTCTCCGGTCTCCGCTGGGTCTGCTGGCCACTTGAGAAAAGAGGGCAGTGAAGGCCGCCACCAACTGGATAGGCAGGCTCCAAATCTCAGTTCAAGCACCGAGTATTCGCTGAGTCATGCTGAGTTTTGGACTTCTTGGATGAAAAACTATATGAGTTCTTGGTCCTTGTAAGTATTGTGACGCATGTTTTGATCAAAACTTGGATATGCTCAGCTTGGGAGACTTCCGCTGCAGGGCCCCGACATCGAGAAGGACCCAAACCATATTGACACTGTCACCTCTGCGCTCTGGGGATGCTATGGAGGCTGGTGTTGGGATCCAAGGTATGCCATGTTCTTTGAGGAGCACTCATTGAATGTTCAAATGCCTTTTTCATTCCGAGTCAAATATTGGGAATTATGGGAAATCCAATGAAATGGCGTATAAAGTATTATAAATGGATGTTCTAACCTTCTTCGTTCCAGTCGTTGTCCTTCCAAGTTCAATCCATGTCTCAAAATAATCCAACTGCCAGAAAGTCCCAGCAGAGGCGAGTGTCACGACTAGGGCATCGGCCAACATCGAAGGAAATCACGTTGTAGATAGCACTCTCGCCATGCGTGGTTCCCTGCGACACTTTCTCCAGTATCAGAATCAGCACAGCATAGCACAGCATGCCCAACCATCTGCTCGATTCCCAAACGTGGATGATGGGAAAATAGACCGGAAACCCACAAGGTTAAGGGTGAAACCAATGGTATTTTACCTCGATTTGACCCTAAATTCATCCATTGAATTGTCTTGAGATCCGCAGCTTTTATCCAACCAGCGAATCCATTCCACCATGTTTTTTTTTACCTCCTGAAACTGGTTCAAACCCAACCAACTGATCCGAATCCTACGATCGATCGAAAAAGTGTTTCCAGAAGAATTGCCAGTGGACCATGAGGAGATTGAGTTCCATCAACTGTGTATCATATATATATATGATATATCATAACTAAGAACCATATCTGGTTGGTTGGTGGTATACCTACCCCTCTGAAAAATCATGGAGTGAAAGTCAGTTGGGATGATGACATTCCCAATATATGGAGTTCCCACCTCCTCGCTGATGTCTCCAGGCGTTTGAGTGAGACCCTGGACCTCAGGAAAAAAAGGCCACGAAAACGGCAGGTTTAAGGCCACGAAAAGGGGGGAAAATCTACATAGCACTTGGCAAAATCTACTGCTTGGATGAATCTATATGTCTATATATTCTATATGATTATAGAAGAGCAACCATCCATTTTGTGTCCAGCCAAATATGTGGATATGTCCTACAAATCTCTCCATGCAATGAAGCCCAACCAACTCAACCAACCCCCATTTCACCAAGGATCTCCTCTGTAGAGCAACGCTCCCTTCAAGGAACTCTCGATGCGAATGGTCAGCCGAGCCTCGCCCAGCCAGAAATGGGGGATCGGCCAATGTTTTCATCTGATCCTGGGATTCGAAACAGCCTTTCCAAATGGAACAACCCCACAATGGCTGTGGTTATATATGGTAACTATAGCATACTATAGCTATTTCCATCTCCTAACGAATTTAAGTATTAAAATGTATTAAATGGATGATCTTCCCAGGACGGCTTCTAATGATTGCCTATTTGATCATCTTGCAGCATCTCAAGATGACAAAGATCAGTGGCGAAACCGTTTCGCTTCAGCACACCTTCCAGAGATCGACGTGGGTATTGTAGAACCTGGACAAGGGACCAAAGGACAACTGTGAGCCATTGACGTTAACGCTTTCGGAAGAGCTAAATGGAAACAACACAAATAATTTCAAACCATGCCACCTATCGGACCTATCGGATGTTACTTGTGAGCAAGTGGGATGTGTTTGATTACATTTCTGCAGGATGTCCCTACACTGTGTCTTGATGTAGGCTGATTGGCAGGTGATCATGCTGGGCCATCGGCTTCCTCATGCCATCTCACATCATACCCAAAAACAATTCCTCTGTGTGACATTCTCTTCTTCAAGTAGTGCACCTCTGGAAAATCCAGAACAAAATACAGAAAATGCTAGAAATCTACATAGATGCGATCATTTGGCATCTGTTCCCTATCCGAACGAGTGCTCCCAACCCAACCGCAACTTGCGCCAAGGAGCAGATTGAAGATTCCGAGACCTTGGTCAGGGTCGCTCAGAAGCTTCCACAAAAATCCCCATCAACGATGATGATTTATGATGATTTATGATCTATAATGATCTATCCACGCAACAAAAATCAAGAAACCGAGAGGTTTTAAGGAACACGTGCCACTTGGACGTCACGATTGTTGCATGACCACTGCTAGGCTTCGGACAAATTAATGCACCTACTGCAGTGAAACCATGTTGCGCAGCCTCGGAAGCCACGCGGCCCGTGGAAGAATCCATGTGATGCTCGTAGTGAATAATTAAAACACAACATGTAAATATCATCTCGGTCTACCCAAACAAATACATTCAATACACGCTTCATACTTTCAAAGCAATTTACATGCCAAAGAAAAAAATCTCACATCAATTCTCCTCTAATCAAAGCTGATGGAAAAACGCACCAGTTAATACCAGTTAGTCAGTTCCAATGATTTTAGCGATGGAAAAAATCCAGTCATCCGACGATTTTGCCAGGCCGCACTTGAAGACAGCACGTTTTTGTCTGCTTGGGCCTGACTCTCCAAACATGAATGGTAGATGTATCTGTGTATATTCTGGATCATTGATATACATTGATATAATGAATCTCATAGATATAATATAACAAATCCAACCCCACTAAAAAAAATATGATATAATCTGATATTGTGTACATGTGTGTGTGTGAGGAATTACTGCCATATTTTTTTTAAAAAATAAGACTTGAAGCACCATCAAATTTGGGAGTAGCCTGTTTTAAAACTTAAATCCGCGTGAAGTTCACCGATTCACGGCCAACAAATAGATACAAATAGGGCAAAACTGTGGCTTCAAACACATATGGCAACCATGAACCGTTGGGGGTTTTAACAACATTCTTAGACAAACACCCATATCTATACTGTAATATACAATATATATATATGTATATATATGTATATATATATATGTATATATGTATATATATATATGTATATATATTCTGGTTGATGAACGTCGCTTATACCCCCACAAAAAATATCAAAAAATAGCTAGGCTATGCCCCATGATGCCTGGCTGATGGCATCCCATCTGGCCCGGAAAACTTTCGGTGCGGCGACACCTCTTGGAAGATGAGCACACGCTGCAGAATAAAGGGTGAAAGCAGGCCTCGGCTCTCAGGGAATGCAGTTGTTGATGGTTTACCAAAGGGGGATGATGTTGAAAAACTGACCATGTTTCACCATGTTTTACCATCAAATTGGGATGATCATTCTATATCGTTCTTTTCTGGAAATATGAACGATGGAACAGAAGACATGGAGGATCATGGATCATCCGAGTTGGGATGGAAAAGAACTGATACAGTAAATGGACCATATTTTGAAGCCCTGAACCAGCTAGGAGACTTTTCTGGAATCAGATGGTAAAGATCATCCTCATCTGTGGCCCAAAAACCTGTAGCCAATCCTTGCCTAGCGGCTACCAAGGTTCAACCATGCTGAAATAATACAGTATCCGGTGCGAAGAAAAAAAAGATGTTCAAAGTCATGACTAAGTCATGACACAAACCTTGTAATCTTGTAAACAATGTGGTTCGCTTCAAGCACTCTGCCGAAGTAAACTCAAAAACCAACGCTTTGCGCAGCATCTCTGAGTCCCTTCACCCAGCAAGTACTGACTGATCTTCATGATTTGCCTCAGTACAACATGGCTATGGAGCCGCCCAGCTTGTCCAACGGACAGAATGCTGCGCAGAGGTACATCTGATGATCTGAATCTATGTCCATTTAGAAGATTCCCCCTAGTCAAAGGAAATCATCTGCAACAAACATTACCGGGCAGTTCTTGGTTTTTTAGCCAAGCTTGTTATATGGGATTATATCCATTATAATCCAGATAGTAATATCATGTAATATCCCTTCTCCTTGAAATTCCCGTTCAACTGATCAGGATTGCCCTGCCAGATCTGCCACGCGGCAGTAGCAGCAACTGTGGCCAGAATGCCCAGAAAATCGCCGTGATCAGCGGATTGCGCCTTGAAACATACGCGGATTGGTTACCCGGGGTTGGCAAAAATGGTGGTAACTAACCATCAACAATAGGGATCAATAGGGATGGTCAATGGGATTCTATGGGGATACATAACAGAATCCAGAAACACATCTTTCGATGCAAAAAAAACAGAACATGCCCTTGATGAATCTTAAGCTCAGCTGTCACCCATGCGACCCATCGTGAAGGCTGAGTGACTTTCCAGAGCGCTCTTCCTCTTCCAACAAATGCACATATCGACGCCTTAGAATTCGAAACGGAGAATTCTAGTCGTGTCGTGTCTGCGCTGTCTGCGGACAGGGCCATTAACACCCTTCTGAACTATTCTTAGCTATGAAGACCTGTTGTCCAAGTCTAGTAACTATACAAAGATAGAATTTAGATGAAATTATAAATATTTAGAATTATTCAGAATAAGGTGTGCCGTTTGTAGCGCACAAACTGTGGAAAACGCATGGGTGCTTGCATGATCTTGAATGGTTCTTCTCTGTGCACTTCTTTGACATCTAGGGGGTGACCTTTTAAAGGATGAAGTCATCTAGTATTGAACGCGCGCGCAAACAAGTACTGTATCCATCTGGGAAGTCATGATATTGCATGAACTCAATACCACTGGTTGTTCTTGGCCTGTGGCATTTCACAAACCCGAAATGGCATGGTGCCCCTCACCCTCTTGTGTCATGGTTGCGAGGTCGCTTCGATATGCAATGTCCATTAATTTCCGGGGAAGGTGGACTTCACTCAGGTCGAGTGCCACCCACATTCCAAGGTTGCACTGCCAGGACACGTATTTCTGGCCGTATCTTCCTGGTCCCCCAAGGGTGGGCTGTCTTGCAGATTCACTTGTCGTTCATAGCCACGGTTCACCTCAGAACTTCAACGGTGGCGATGGCAAGGGGCCGAAGGTCGGATGCTCAGGCGCCCCGGGGCCCCGGCCAGGGGATCCAGCCATTTCAACGCCAAATACGATGCCTGGGCGGATATCTCCGGTGTCGGATGAAGCAAACTTCGTTCTGGGCTTTCCATCTTTGTCTTCCACTTGATGGCTTCCATGCCAAAGAATGACAAGGATATATGGATCTGTTGAGGCATTTTTTTCAATATTGATGATGTTCATTGCATTCTTCTTCTTCGGTGTCAAGAAGGGATGATGCCCTCAACACATATGGAACCTGGATGGCCTGGATGCCCTGGATGGTCCCAACTCCAATGGCTTTCATCATGTCTTGCCCAGCTACCCATGAAACTTCATCCAGGGCAGGTGGCGTCGTCATCACCTCAACATCGATTTCTGGATTCAATGGATTAGTTTCAGGGACAATCATGGAACATCTACAGGAAACCATGGTTTTATTAAATATATATATATATACGGTAACGACATTTAAATATACGGATTTTTGTAATATACGAACAGGTATTTTAGACTACCTCCGGGAAGGTTTTCCTTGGCCCGCCCAGCCATTTAAACATACGGAATCCAATTCATTTAAACATACCGCAACTACATTTAAATATACGAACTGGTATTTCATACTACCTCCGGGGCATCGCGGTTTGGCCCGCCCTCCACATATTTAAATGTCGTTACCGTACGTATACACATGATAAATTATGATAATATATGAGGTGTATGTAGGGGGGTTCCGGCTTCAATTTTCCCTTAAACCAATCCAATGATGGATGTTGAACTGTTCACATGAACAAAGGGTCTACGGATCTCAAAATGAAAGGTGTTGCGTTGGTATTGGAAGAAAATGGGAAGTTCTTAAGATCTTCACCTACTGAATTTTTCACTGGCATCAAGAGATCCAGGAACAGGATGGAACAGGGGTGTTTCGATCAAGCAGGAAACAAAAAGCCCCTCGGGTCCCTACCAATTCAGTGCCAAACCACAAAGGTTGATCGGAGAATCGGCTCGGCTACGAGAGCAGCGTGCTCAAAGAATCTGAGATGAAAAATATCAAGATATGTCAAGTGGATCGTTTTAAGACATTTGAGGAGCTTTCGATGCAGTCTTCTGGGCTCACATTCGACCCTAATGGAATCGTTTCAAGCACCTGTTGTTGTTGTTGTTGTTGTTGTCGTTGTTGTTGTTGTTGATGTTTGTGTGGGTAACACCCTGTATGTCCTCTTAGACCTGCAATGTCGGCACGGCGAGATGACGGCGATGAAAACTGCGCAGTTTTTCGCTATTTCTATGGGAGTTCAAGGGACCCAATACACGGATGAAATGTGACCAGCCTGAAACCATGTCTCAGCATTTGGACTAGGAAAGAAACCAACGATGTACTTAAATAATCGTTTTTAAACCTGATCATCTGATAACATATCAAAATTATGAAGCGTCCAAAAACATGGATCCCCAACATATAAATATAGTGTGGTATAATTATACAAATACCTACAACCTGTGCGGTCTCTTTCATCTCGCTTCTCTACCCATCCAAGACATGACATGAATGACTCACACGTGGTCCATGATCCAATAGGCCCTAGCCCAAGGCACGCGCTCGGGACGGGGTGGACCTGATCGGTCCGATCTCCAACTGAGCACTGGTCAAGGACTTGTCTGCCAGCACCTGGCATTCGAAGTCTTGGGAACGTTTGCACTTTTTGAGATTCTACATGATTCTACCCTCGAAAAGATTCTACTTCACAAACTTCACAAAGTTCAAGAATTCAGAACAACCAACTGTGGCCCAACCATATCCTAACAGTTATCCTAAGCATATCCTAACAACCATATCCTAACCATCCTTCGTCCCCGACCATTGGATCTCCATGGATCTCCTTGGATCTCCGGATCGCGCGCCTGGGAACTCCAGGCCAGGACCCAAAGCTTCTGCCCTTCGGAGACCTCCAAGCAGGTTGCTTCGGATGGTCCGATGGTCATCCGATGGTTTCATGACCTGGTTAGGATGGTTAGGATGATCTTGATGGATCTTGATGGTTAGGATGTTTCTATGACCTAATCAACATATGTCAACATCCATCAAGATCCATGATGCGTTACCATCTTGGCTTCAGGTTTCACTGCTTTACGGAGATCAGTTATATCTGCATCTTGCGGCACTGAGGTTGGGACCGAAGCTTGCACAATGGTCTTGGTACGACTAGCACTCGCAAAGCGACCTGAGCACCCCCGATGGGGCGGAAAATGTCACATGGCCAACTATTGGATTGAGCGATGGTTGGGAGCAAAAGTGAAGGACACACGACACACGACCCAACATGTTGTATTTTCTTGCTGGGACTGATATTGCGGCCATGCGATATTTACCATGTTTGAACATGTTGGAACCATTCCATCCACACTAAACTGTCGAAACCGACCCCCAATTCATGACGTGCTGATCTGATAGAACATGATAGAACGTTTACTTTCCGGAGATGTTCATCTTCTTGAAAACCATGAAATAGACATTGGTGGGCCAATGGGTTAAGGTTGAAGCACACGTTTGCTGTTCCATCCTGCTTGTCAACACTTCAAACACTCGTTGACCACATCCAACACAGCAGCTATTATAGGTTTGTCTAGAAATATGGTCCCAAATTCGATCGTTTATAATCATCTTCAAAAAACATAGCAATTGGCGGCATACCACAAACTACTGGTATTTGCAGACACGCTGCTCAGCTTTTACAGTAGGAGGTCATAGTACGATATAGTACGTACCTTCAGAGGGCCTTCGATATCAGTTCTCATATCTTCATGGCAACAAAAAAACTAAGCCCTCAACATCCATCAACATCCATCAACATCCACCCCATTCAACAAAGTCTAGCTATGTCTACCTCATTCTACAACCACTCAAATCAACTCCTCGTTGACGCCCGCTGAGCATCCCTGGCTCTGGAAGTGCTCCACAGATCCCCCCGTGGTTGCCACAGATCCGGCGAAGGAGATCTGACTCACCACGTCCTGCGGATCCAAAACTCCCAACAGTTGGGGCACTGCTCTCAGTGCTCTCAGTGCTCTCAGTGCTCTCAGCCTCTATGCTTCCCTTAGGCGACTCGGAAAAGCGCAAGGTTAGCACCTGAGAGGAGAATTCGGATCAGCATGACAAGCCAATGATCCAATGGGTATCTGGGTCAATATGGATCAAAATGGGTCAATTTATGGCGGATTGACCCAACAACAAAGCGGGATTTAAACACCCAAAACAGATATGAAAAGATTGGGATTTACCGTCTTCAACGCAAATTTGGGATTAAGCCAACTAAAAGAAAATATCAAACAATGGGACAGCCTCCTACTCAAAATGACCATGAATGGTGGTCCCTTGCCTCAGTGCTACATCTCAAATAATCCTCTGGGATCTCTGTCAGGTTCAAAATGGAGCCTGAGGAACCCAAGAAAAAACATTAGAATACATTGAATACATTAGAGTTGGTCGCCTTTCGGACAAAAATGCAGCAAAAAAGTGGGAAACGGAGCTTTGGGTAGTCAGTTTCAAATGATTCTTTGACCAAGTTGACTCCAAGGGGCGACGTCGACACCACGCACCAAAGGAACTGAAGCCAAAGGATTGACCTTGGTGCCATGGCCCGTAACGGGACCATTGATTCATGGGCGCAAATCGTTGGCCTGGCCGGCCTTCCATTTTTTCGAGGAGCTTACCCAACCCCGCATTCAAGCGATTTAAGAACCTACAGAACGACCTCGTTTAGTTTTAATTTGGTTGTCTGAAGATAGTACCCTAATCTCATGGTTAACATGGCAATTCTGCATCATTTAGGCATCTTTTGGTGTTTTGTCGGTGTTTGAATCCAAATGTCACTTCCACCACCACCAGTAGGCATCTGAGGTTTCCAGCGGAAAGCACCTTGGGGCGGCTACCGCTGTAAACGATGTTGACATCGAAGGAGAATGGGAAGCACCTTGGCAGGGGTGCATCGGCAGGGGTGCATGTCTTCCCACGTCTTTGGGAGCCCGGCGCACGGCTGGTCTTGATCTGATCCTTGTAATGATCGTCGGCCACCTGAGTAAAATCTCCGGCACCGTCGGAGGGGTTGGGATGGCCTTCTTGTTGAGAAAGCCCAGCAAGTTTTCAGGTTGTTGCCAGAGAGACTTGCACCAAAAAGCGCAGAAAACCTTGACTGTTGAAAGGGTGCTTTGCCTGGGCCACTACCCACTTATCAATCTTATCATCAGTTTTCCCATGTGTTCCCACTGAAATTGCCATAAATTGGGACTTCTTCCTGCCGCATCTGGCGGAACAATGGGATGCTGGGCTCGAATGAGATAGTCCCCCGGCGGTAGCACAGCACCTACAGGCGATTGGTCATGCTAGAGGCCGCTGACCCGGCTCAGAGAGGTTGACTTCAACCCATATCCATACGCTGTACCCCAAAGAGATTAAACAAAAAAAGTGATGTATCATCATTATTTCAGTATAGGATCATATATCTGTCTATCCTTTTGGTGGTTACTTTCGGCCTTAGGCTTTTTGACGCACCATTCACCACAAGGAAATACGACATCTCCAGATATCTCCAGCCTGGAACCCAAAAACATCGGGTGCTACGAAGTTCCATCCCGTTACATGCATCAATTGGTGTCCTTCAAAAGGTGCTAATAGATCTAATAGGATCATATAGGAGATACAGCCTGAACCATTCCTGAAACAGTTGGTTTCGCAACAGAAAACTTGTGGAATTCTGGCGTCCCTACAGAAAAAAGGGCGAGAGCCAGGGTCTTGGCCTGCAATCAGCTTGGCATTCATCATGTTCTCGCGACCATTCGCCGGCTCCTTCGATTGACTTGACATATGGGGCGTCTCTGTAGATTCGCTTGCAGCTTGGATGACACGTTTTGGCCGGCTGATATGTCTGTGTATTTGCGTTCATATGCAGCCGCTGGTGGTGTGGTTATTGGATGCCGCTGCCTGAATGGAACCTGCGACGCATAATTCGTAAATGTTGATAATCATCTCTAGTCAATTGGAGGGATGATGATGATGATGATGATGATGATGAGGATGAGGATGATGATGATGATGATGATGAGGATGATGATGATGATGATGATGGTGGTGATGGTGGTGGTGGTGGTGACCATCACCATGAGCATCAGCATCATCGTCGTCGTCGTCATCACCACCACCATCATCATCATCATCATCATCATCATCCTCATCGTCATCGTCATCATCATCGTCATAATCATTCATATTCATCATATCCATCATGTGAAAATATGTGAAACATAGTAATAAACATATAAATAAACAATATAAATAAACATATGAATCATCATATTTATCATATCACTCAAATTAATCACATGCTAGTCATATTACTCATATTGCTGATTATCATCCGATCATCCCGGCAAACATGGAGCCCACCCCGCTCCATGACGCTGAGCACCAAGGGATGGGACGTCTGAGGGTCCTGGCTTATGGGGGGTTAACTGGGGTCAACATGATTTATGGAGTTTGAACCAGGAATCTGACATGTTTTAACTTTCACATCTTCAATAAAGTATGGGGGGTTAACATGATCTGACATGTGGTCGTTTTGAGAGTGTTGGGGGAGATTGGTGGAATGACTCGCAGTTTTATCCATCGGTGCCCAAGAAACAGGTGCATGCTTGTATCAACCAAAGTTCCTCCATCATCCAAACATCCAAGACAAAACCAGCTATGGCACGACAAAAAGGGTCCTGATTTTAAACGTCCTTTGTGTCTTCATCTCATGAGGCAAAGAAATGACTCCAAAACTCTCCTTTCTGTGATCCTATCAGAAACTTGGGGATGCCTTAACCCCTCAGTCTCCCAAATTGTGTCAACAGCTGATTCAGTAATCCTTAGGTAAACTTTAGTTTGGAGAAGTTTAATCTATTCCAACAGGGTTCCTCTAAATCCACAGCTTTTCTCGATGCGACACCTCCGTGCACTGTCCTGGGCAGGGACCACATCCATCTCGGCATGCGAGATGAAGTAGTTGAAGCCCACCTTGCAGCTGGTCGATCAAAACCATGTTTGCAAATAGTAAACACAGGCAACGGTTCCAGAATCTGTACAAGGTCCGGATTCTCATCAATAGGCCTATAGTTGACCCAGGTTACAATTACAATGGTAAACACATGGATAGCCGTTCGACTCGGGATCGCTTCATATATCTTCAATATGTTTTACGCGACTCGCTTCAAATGTGATTTTGCCACGGATCATGGCTGAATCATCCCCCAGCTTCAGCGCACCTCAATTCCAACCCATGCAGGTCTGGATAAGGAGATGCGGGTCTTGGTCAGAAATCCTGCAGCCAAAACATGCCAAAACTGATGTCGTTGGATTTGACAAACTTGTTGAAGATCTTTGAAGCGACGCGAATCCCTGAATTGCTTCGAGGGAAACGTTCGAGAAATTATGTGTATGTATATATATATGTATATTGCATATTCTATTATACATATTATGAATATGATGTAAGAACCCCTTCATGCGGGGTGTCCGAGGTGTCCTATAAAATTGACATAAATTGCCCTTTCAACCAATGAGTATCTGAGTATCAATGAGTTCAAAGCACAGCTCGGCAGTGGCCTAGCTGTGCTTGCACCAGCGAGGCTAAAGGCTTGCTATACCTCAGCTGTTCCAATGCTGCATGAGGATTCTACTGGTTGGTTGTCATCTTCCCTATGACTGTGAAGATTCACACACTGGGCGTATGTCCTCCATTTTCAGATACACCCAAAAGAGGAGACAAGTTTTTTTTTCGGACGAATGATGCGGGACCAACGAGAATCATCAATTCACTGCAGATCGGAACATGTTAAACAGGCCAAGTGGCTACGCTGGTGTAGGTTGCATCTGATTTGCAGAGGTTTGTCTATTCATATTCAAAAATATCGAAAAAAAAATGGGATTTTTACCAACCAGGTCTGGGAGGCTTTGGTGCAGAGCCAGTCAGGTTCAACAGGGTTCCGGAGAAGGTTCCGGTGAGCCAGGTCAGGTTCAACAGGATTTGCGGCCATTTAACTCATGGAAACCCAGCTGAGGTGTTTCCAGCGCTTGGCTTCGCAGCACGCTTCGGAAAGATTTGTAAAAATAAAACGTTGCGGCTGTTGGGGATACCACCGAAGCTTATTTTTAAAAGTTTGTTCTTTCCCTTCTTTAGATGTGGCTGCCATGGAAGTTGACACTCCATGCTACCTATTGTATTGAGTGAACATCACTCATATTGGCCTTGCCACAGAGCGGGGGTCTGGCCCAGAGACAGCGTGACTGTCCGAGAAGTGTGCCCCAAAAAAGGATGGTTCAAGGCCTAATTAAACCCCCAGAAATGACATCAAAGGGGTCGTAAATTGGGAGTGGAGAACTTAAATGGGGCTGGAAAAAATGGCAGGCTTTCAACAAGACGGTGGCTTGAGAACAATATCCGCCAGATGTTTGTTTTTTTTTGCATGTTTAGTCGAATGTATTCTAAAGGAAAGCATGGATTTACCAGCCAAAACATGCCAAAACATTTGAGTTTTCCTCCAAAGTCAATCTTCAGAATTGACCCATATGCCATCATACTCCATCATATCCCCATTCTTCTCCGGAACCCTCCCAGACCTTCTCCGTGAACCTTATCCGGAACCTTCTCCAGACCCCCTGTTGAACGTGACCTGGCTCTGCACTAAAGCCCTTCGCCGGAACCTTCGGGACCCTCTGCGGAACCTCGTTGAACCTGACCCGGCGCCTGCACCAGTGCACACCAGAGCTATTCTGGGCTGAAGACCCCATTAGCTTACGCTGTTGGGGAACAAGGTATTCATAATAACAACCTGTAAACGGAATCACAATTAATCTCCAGAACCATGATTTTTAGGAGATATCCTCTGGTAATCAAGGATGGCTTGCTGGACAATTCCCAATCTACAGGACTTATAGATGATTTTCCAATTGAACCCTGCATTTTGGTGGATTTACCAGCTAGCCATGCTTGATTACCACATGGTTCCCTTCTTGGAGACAACAGTTAAGGCTTGTGCTTGAAGGCTTCAGTCGAAGTTGCATCCAGCGAGGGCGGAAACATGTCCTCGCGAAGTGGATACAACAGGAGCATCCTCCCACTTTATATGCCCTCTGGTAAGCATGGCAAGCTGGAAAATCCATGAAAATCCTATATAAATGGAGATCTAATGGGAAAATCATCTACAAATGGTGGATTTTCCAATGCCTGGAGGGCCTGGAGGGCCTGGAGGGCAGCACAAGGTTAAAGAACTTTGATTCATATATTGTGATTTCTCACTCTACAGGAAGTTGTAAGTTGGTCTGTAACCCCATCATAGCATATCATAGCTATATCCACCATCAATCCCAGTTCATCGAGTTAGATCCCAACTTATACGGGGGTGGCCTTCCTGTATAGTATGTGTATGTGTATATATATATATGTAAATATGTATATTGGTTTCCCGGCTTACAACGGAGATGTGACCCCGGCCGCTGTTGAACCAGTTGCCCAATTCTGAGTGAAACACCAAGTAAGTCATCCTAGTGATCCACCACACCAGTCCTACTGCTGGCTACAATATGTCACAAATTTGGTCCACCAGCATCCACCAATCAAGAACCATCAGTTGGCTATGAAACAAAATGAGGTATGTAAACCGTGGTGTTTACCATCAATAATGTCCCCATGTTCACGAAATTTTGCCAGCTACATGCCCATTCTTCGCATGTTTGTCGTTTATATGATGGCATGTCATTGGTCATTTGATCCTCAATCAAACATGGCGCAGGCTGGACAATCCATGACAACCCCGCAGCTGTTCGATGATGTTCCATATAGATGCGCGGCTTAGTTCGGGCAGTTTCCCATTCATAAAGCTGCATCACTTCCACGATGTCCCTATCTTTTCCCAGGAATTTCCCATGATTTTCCCATTTTCCCAGGAATTTCCCATGATTTTCCCATTTTCCCAGGAATTTCCCATGAATTTTCATGGGAAATCCATGGCTCCTCCGGATTCATGGTGCTCCCGGGGCAAGCCATCATCCTGGCCAGTGTCATGGCCGCGACTCATGTATAGCATGAACAAAAAATGTTGGCATCATTATATTAAAATATACTGTAGATAAATATAAAATATAATATATAATATATAATATGTAATATGTGATATGTTATATATTATATAATATATATATATCGGCAGTATAACGATGTAACCATCCCTATATCGTAAATATGGATGTTTCCTAAAATGGGAGGGGTACCTCCAAATCATTTAGGTCATTAGAGCATTTTAGTATTGAGCCCGATTTTGTGACTTGGGGATTTCCCATTTTTAGAAACCTCCATCATAAATACATAGAGTGGAACAGTATATCGGTGGTAAAACTGTGGAACCATCCCTATACTGCCTATACTGCACATGTAGGATCTGTAGGATAGGATAGGTATGGATAGGTACTGTACTGTAGCATCAACTGTACAAGCCCTATGTTATCTTCTAGCACTTGGTAGGGCCATGGCCTGGGAGCCTGGGAGACTGGGATCCAGTTGGGGTCAATAGCAGACGGTACCAACGGGCTTGACAAGTCACAAGAACCTGGTGGTGTTCCAACCCCAGGTGTCCAATTCAATGTGTGAGAAGAAAAAGATCAGAAGTGGAGACCCCAAGATTGGATGCCAATATGAAGCCTCAAAATGACATAAATCACTGGATTGAAGGGAAGATCGTACCCCAAAACCAGGGTTTTCCTAATCAAATATAGGGGTTTCCTGCAAAAGTTCCCTCAAAATCAATCCAAAATCTGCAGGTCTCAAAATGTCAAGCCATGACGTGCGCTGAAATTTCTCCGTCCTCGGTAAGTCACTGATGGGATGGACCTCCAGCATGAGTCCAAAGTGGAGACAGGCCGACCTCGCCCCAGTCCATTTTCAGTTGGGATCGGTATTGCTTGGTGTGAAAAATATGTGAAAAATGGGGTACCCTCAAATCGAATGATTGATAGTCATATCCATTTGAAGTTGGGTATTGCTTGGTCTGAAAATGATACCCCGAAATCCAATGGTTGATGGTCATATTCTCTATTAAAGTATTTGGGTGTATACCCCAGCTATGGGACCCGGACGGTTCACATCCATAGGGCTATCTTTTCTACTCAGAATGTCAGCACATTTCTGCTACCATGCTGTTAAAACATGTCAAAAACTGACGGCTGTCGGGTGGACGTTGTCCCCTGGGGAGCACGTCTCGTATTGTTGGTTAGGTATGTGTCATTAGATAGTTGTGTCATTAATAGTTATGTCATTAAATATCCCCATTATACCCCAATGATTTTACCATATTTCAATGATTTTCAATGCGCAAACGCTCCTAGTGCTCACCATCTCCCATTATACATCCCCTATCATTCCATGAAATATACTCCATTGTTTTAAATCCCAATGTTTGATGGTTAAAACCTTGTTTCATTGGAGTTGGTTGCCCAAACTGACAATAGACCGCAACGGTTCCACTACTGGGAGCTCACGCTCAGACCTCTCCCGGTGCGTGTGATGCCAAGATAGCCAGTACTGGATCCGAGTCAGGTGTTGTGCTGGAATTCCTAGACCCCATATGATCCAAGTATGTCGGTTTTTTCATTCATGCAAGGTTTTCCCTGTAAAAAATGAATAGATCATGTCAATGTGAACCTGGCTTGTTTTAAAATCCTCAACTCGCTCAGGAAGTTTGAAAAAAACTGCTCGAATCATGCAAACAGTGTGGGACACCAGCACTTGGTCTGTTCCAGAAAACCTTTCATCTTGATGGGTGGGGCAAATCTTTGAAAATCAACCGCGATTTTTTAAAGGGCAACAACCAACTCTTCCTTGGAGGTCCAGAATGCAGGACCACTGCATCCGTCCTCTGAGTTCGGGTTGAGATTGTAGATCTGGCACACGAGAACTACCCGGCCAGAAACGACCAAATGAACACCATTTTCCGCCCAGAGATCCAAACATGGCGGATGAACCCTTTCCCAGCCATCTTCCATGGTCCAAGTCTCTGTCTGTGCCGCAGCAGGGGACTCACATCATCGATTCATGGATGTGACGAACTGTTTTGGACACATTCACGACGGTATACAACGGTCTTGTACAATGGCATTTTGATACGGAGTTGCCCAGAGATGGGAAGAAAATCATAAATTGCCATCACAATTTCCATAGGGAACCCTTGGGATGCTAAGTAAGCCATTGGATTCTGGGGATATTTTCTTTTTTGTGTGACAAATCAAGAAATCCAGCCTGCGTGGTCATGGAGCTATCTCGAGTGTCCGTGACCTCTGGTGGCGGCAGGTCTGATGTATACATTCTGCGCATATGTCATATGTATTGATATATGTGCATTTAAATGTATACATGTAAAAAAAACATAAGAATACAACACAATTACTTGCATGTATATATATATATATTGTGTATATATTGTGTAAATATCTATATAGTGTAGTTATGGAAATGTGTATATATATATATATTATATTATATATGTATATATTATATATACATTATATATATATTGTATATATAATATTATATAATATAATATTATATATATATATTATATTATATTATATTATGTATATATTATATATAATACATTATTATATAATACATTATTATATATTATTATTTATATATTACATTAAATGATGTTTTACATATATATTATAGTATATTAAATATGTTATTATATCATATATTATATGATGTTATATTATATTATATTATATCATATTATACTATATTATACTATATTATACTATATTATACTATATTATACTATACTATATTATATTATATTATATTATATTATATATATTATATATTATATATTATATTATATTATATCATATTATCATATATATATATGTATAAATCTATTATATATATATCATATATTATAGTGTGTATATATATATACGTATATATATAATATAATTATATATGTATATCTACTCATTTTTGGAAATAATCTACCCAAGTCCCCCTTGCAAGGTTTTATCAACATATCCAGCCTACCAGGGGTTTATCATAGTTCAACAACATAGGACGTTTCATAGGGGCAACCCTGGGATGGCAGTCCCCAACATCACTAAGAACTAGTCATCCATGCCTCTCTTGAAGACCCACGCAATGGATGCTATGCGAAGGGCTTCAGTCAGCAGGGTTGGATGGTTTGCTTGCGGGTACGCAGGAGCGGAATGGGGAGTATACCATTTCGGAGGACTGCGTGCAGAAGCATTTATAGAATGAATAAATAAATAAATACATACATACATAAATATATATATATATACATATATGTATATTAATATATACACATATACACCTACTTACACGCAATTATTGAACACATAAATATATGCATGCAGCACCATCTGGCTCTCCCAGCCTCTTTGAAATGCCTGTGATGTCATTGGGCCCCAGGTTTTGCCAGTAGAGATCGGTGTTGCTGCGTGCCCCGACTGTGAATGCCACTTGTGAAGCCAGAGAGAATCTTGAGTACCTTGAAATCCGGTGTTGGTCATGGGCTTGGCTCAAAATTCGATCATTGATGTGATCATTGAGACTACAAAAAAAGCGCATGTCTGGAAAATCAAAAACAACAATCTATCAAAGCAAGGTTTACCCAATAGAGGGACCAAAATCTTGGCTAACTGTTGCGATTGTTGTAACCAGTTTTAAGCTGGGTGCTCAAAATGATTGATCTGCATGGTTACATACTGAATCATACTGAAAATGACGACCCCTAAACGGCTAAACGAGAGCTTTCTGGCCCAGGCGACGTCGTTTCAATCATGGAAAGAACATGAAACAAAATGTGATGGCTTTGACATGCTTTATCCCATGTTAAGCCCATTTACAGTGTATCAATAGTTACCCACTGGTGCAGGATTTTTGCGAACATCTGCATGAACATTACAATTTGGGGTCATTTCGGGGTACCTTCTGGTAATTTAACATGGCTATTTAAGATTTACCTTTTCAACATGGTGATGTTCTATAGCTATCTGCCGGAAGATATTCGCATATATTCCCATGTTGAGACAACCTACAGTATATGCGTTGGTCGCATCAATATTCGTCTAGCTCCTGACGGCGCACACACACGCGATCGATGAGCCATCTCTTGTGAGTCGTTTCGCCAAGTTTGCTCTAAGTCTGAAGACTAAATGTGTTTGTCTGAACACAGAGTAGCACAAAATCCAACAGTTGATCATGTTCCGTATTAAACTTGCCATAAATTAGGTTGTATGATCTCATTTTCAGACAAATCCAAAAAGAATGAATTGCTAATTCGTTAAACATCCCATTATGTATGTATATATATAATACATACATACATATTATAACATATCAGTATATATATATAGCCCATCATGGTTGGTTATGCCCCGTTAGCTAGCCCATGAGGCCAAACAAGTCGGCGCACCCTCCCAGGATAACAGCAGTCTTCAGCTGCAGGGCGTGATTTCCCGTGGCCAGGAAGACCTTCTTGCGGCCTTGGCTGGTACGTTGGTCAACTCGGTGACCATGTGACAGACCCAGTTGGTGACCAGATGTGTATATGTATATATATATATCATATATATATACATAATAAGATGTGTAACTCTATATATATAATTATATAATGTATAATTCTATAGATATATATATATAATATATATATACCACGAAAAGCTATTGCAAGATGGATTTAAGGACCACACAGAAGGTTTTGACGATGATATCCAGACATGGAACATGATGTGGAATTACCACCGTTTAAACAGTTTCATCATGTTCCATGTGAAAAAAGATAGACACTGTTTTAAATAAATAAATAAATATATATATATATACATATAGAAAATAGATCTTTTTCACATGGAACATGATGAAACGTTTTAAACGGTGGGATAATCTATAATTCCACATCATGTTCCATGTCTGGATATCATCGTCAAAACCTTCTGTATGGTCCTTAAATCCATGTTACAATAGCTTTAAATAATTATATATATATGACAAAATCATGGTATTACCACAAAAATTCTGGAGGTGGGCCCCATTTTCAGACACCAAATAAAGGAGATGCTTCAGCATACTTCAGCGCTTTACAATGGCTATACAACGTACTATTGCCATGTATCCCTCAAGAGGCTCAACTTATAGCAAGCTGCAACTTGGTTTGACTTGGTTCCGCACCATCATGCATGTCGGTCAGCAACACATTGCTCCGGATAAGAAGCCGCCCATCCTTCGCCAGTTGGCACATGAACAAGTCCGCCGTGTACAATCAAGGAAGCATCCACACCGTCCACACCCATTCAAGTCAAGTAGATTAGCTTGATATTCCACCTTCACTTCAACGTTTTGATGTTTTGTGGCCCCCTAAACCCATTCAACGCCGATTCAACGCGTCCTTATCAAGAGGACCTCCAAGTGATGCTGAGCCACCCTTCTCGTTGGAAAAATCCAAAGGAAGGGCCACAGTGCCTGGAAACCGAGATCTTCATCCCGACTTGATGAATGAACCAGTAAAGTTAAGGTATGTTAAGGTCATTTGAGTCATTTGGGGGTTTCCGGAAAATGGTGGTACCCCCAAATCATCCAAGTCATTGGACCATGATTTAGTATTGAAACCTATGGCGACCCCTATTTTGGAAACTTCCATTTAATGAAAATGCTAATCGGCAACCTGGTATTTTATTGCCATCAATCAATATGTCTTGTCCACAAATTACCGGATTGCCAAAGAACAACTACGATGACCATCTTATGAGCATAGGAAATCTGTGCTTTGCATGTGGATTGGCTCTTTCGCAGATATTAACATGGCAACAAAATATGTTTAGCATTTGGAAGTGGGGTCAAATCATAACAAGACAAGTTACAGAAATCTTTCAAACAACACCCAAATTGGATCAAATAGCTGATGGAAATATGTTGGTGCTAATATGTGGGGTTCCATACATATATCTCAATATCATAAATGGGGGTACCCCAATAGCTGGATCATGGAGGGTTTGTAATGTAAAAAAAACATTAACAATTAAAACCAGGAATGAAAACTGCAACCATTGTTTATGTAATTACCTGTTAAAACCATACCTGTTGTCATTAACACTATTAAAATATATTAAAATTGATGATAGCTGCAGGTAGCCCCCATGACTAAACGGAAAGCTCGGGATCAGGCCCATCGAGAAGCATGAGGCCGTCTGCACGGCAGCCTCGGTGGTCGTAACCTGAAACCTTGAGGAGATCTGATAGTCAATGTCTAAAGTATATAAGTAAACTTGAAAAAGAAGTGACACCTTGGTTAAGAACGTCAAGAGTTAAAAGTAAGTAAATTTGGAGAAAAACCAACTCAAAAGAGTTTGCTTGATTTCTTACCAGTCGATTCAGTTTTTTTTCAACAGAAGACGATAGAAACGGATACAAATGTGTGAAATTAGGCCATGATGACATGGTTCATCTTCTACCACTCAAGGCCGTTTTTCTACCGTATGCCTCTGTGTGTGTGTGTGCAAGCGCGATGTGTTCCTCCGAGTGCTCTAGCGCATTCCACTGATTCACACCACCCGAAAGCCTCGTCCTGTGTTGCAAGCTCATTGGAGGGGTTCTGGCCCTGACGTCCATGGCGGGTGCTAGCAGCTAACACTCCAAGGGAATGGATCGAACCAATAAAACCATGCCCTGAAAATTGGATGCTCTTCAGGACAAGTCTAAAACCATCAAACTCCATGGATTCTTTTGTAGCACCCAGTCAACAAATGCTGCAGAGAAAATTGTTCTGCCAACAAAGGAGGCAAATCATGGGCCGGCCGGTTAGCCGTTACCCTGCAATAGACGAAGAAAGACAAACATATATATATATACATATGTAGTTATATGTATAGCATTATATACTGTAGCATTTGGGTGCAATTGGATGCGATTGGAAATCCTTCGTCGCGAAAGTTACCGAACAGTAGCGATCATCCAGCGCACCTTCCTCCCGATTTCCCATGTGGTTAAGGATCAAAACGTTGGTACCCTTCTGCACCAAAATAATCAGCTGGGAGTTATGGATGTTCATCAAAAAATTGTTAAAGATTGCAAAAACCATGGTCAAATGTTTCATTACTTGACCCATCCCCACGTTCCAACTGCGATTCGTTTTGCCGCAACGGCGTATCGTTCGTTTTTAAACGATCACGGCTTTCGGAAGTCCAGCCCGGCCTTGGACGGCGACCGTTGAGGGTTGTTGGGTTCCTTTGCATAGCAACCTTATGTGAGCCATGGTCAATACTCACTATATGGTTGATGGTCATCCCCTCCATAATAAGGATCCTTATAATGGTTATGAAATAAATCCCATTAATTCACCATTGGATGACTAGCCCCTATTAATGGTTATTAACCATGAGTATTGACCATAGCTCATGTGTTGCATATTCAATCACCATCCTGGTTAGACATGATTAGACCATGGTTGAAACATGTTGAAACCTTGGGGATCCATATGATGTTGGGAAACACCCAAAATGTTGAGGCATGTTGAGAAGTTAACCGTCTTTCCATGAGAAACTGAAAAATAAGGTCTCTGTCATGGCCTGTCATGGCAACAGTGCTATAATTTGGCCGTCAAAGGTCTTGGACGACCTGCAAGGTCTAGCTACCAAAAAGGCACGGCAAATGGACAGGCAATGTTTGGTTTCACACAGCGTCACAAAGTGACATTCAAATCATGAAGCTGAGTTTGCAATAAGCTCCATGTTTGCCTTTTTTCCTTTTTTACCCCTGCGTTGATTGCGGTTAAGGGATCACTTAGAGCACCGGAAAGTGGATCACTTAAGAGCACCGGATCACTTAGAGCGCACCATGGGCTCAGTTAGAGCACCAAAAAATTGGATCACTTAGAGCACCAGAGGTGGGGTGGGAGTGGATTATAACGTCCATGTTTCTGCGCACACACACAGGCACAGCAACCTCATCATCTCTCCTGCTGTCATGCAAACACAGGCACTGCACTTTCATCATCTTTCGCTGTGGGGTGCGGTGGGTTGGTTCGGACACAGAACTACTTTCTTACACGGAACCAGTTGGTATACAAAGGAATGTTTCTATATCCTAAAACAACGAAAGTGATGATGATGATGATGATGACGACGATCATGATCATGATGGTGGTGATCATGATGATGGAGATCATGATCATGATGATGATGATAATGGCCATGAAATTTGTGGGTAGTTGTTAAAGATGATGATGGTGACACTGACCATGATGATGGAGATGATGATGGCAAATGGTGATGGCTACGGCTATGGCAATACTGATGATGGTGGTTGTGGTAATACTGATGATGATGATGATGATGATGGTAATAACCTTGATGATGATGATGATGATGATGTTGATGATGATGATGATGACCATGACGCTGACGATGAAGATGTTTGTGATCTTCATGATGATGTAGGTCATGGAAAGATGATGATGACGCCAATGATGCGAGTTGTAAGTTGTTGTTGTTGATGATGAAGATGACGAAGACGTTTATGATTAGTTATTATTTCATGATCATGATGATGATGATGATGACGATGATGATGATGATGATGACGATGATGATGGTCATTGTGATGCTGATGCTGATGATGATCATGATGGTGATGATGACGATGACGATGACGATGACGATGACGATGACGATGACGATGATGATGATGATGATGATGATGATGATGATTTTGGAGTCACAAGCGAGATGGCTTTGGAGTCACGAGCGAGACATTGCCCTTCAGCGACTAGGCACGTATGAATGTGTCCATTTATGTGTCTGTGTCTCTGTGTGTATATGTAGCTCTAGGGCCTAGACTCTAGGGCTATGTACCTCTTATGTGTCTGTACGTGTCACTTTTCAGCGTTCCAAGCGATCCACTTTCCGGCGCTCTAAGCGATCCACTTTCCGGCGTTCCAAGCGAACCCCCGACCACGCTGGGTTTCCCCGTGGTTACTTGGGAATAGATCAAAGCCTGAATGCCCTGGTGAACATACCCAATATAACCCCTTGTGATTTAAGCCGGAACGTCATGGGCCCCCATTTTATAGGGATAAAACGGCGGGGTACATCCCCTCCCCAACAGGGTCCTCTATAAAATGGGAACCCATGACCCTTGGCAAAGAAAAACCCTTACATGGACCTTTGGAACGACTCCCAGTTGTATAGGTTGGGTTTTGATGGGATGGGTAGGGTATGGTGTGGTGTAGTGATGCAGGTTTTTTTTGGTGATAACAGCTTCAGCCACTACAAAATAAGAACCCATGACGTTGGAAAATTGCGGTTTTCCAGAGTATACGGTCTCTATAGAATGGGAAGCTATGACGTTGTACGTGGCTGCCACCCAGCAGGTGAACTCACTATAAAATGCTGCTCTGACCCCCAAAAAAATCCCGGAGAATATCCCTCCCCATTTTATAGAGGAAATTCCTAAGGGGACCCCACTATGAACAAGAATTGTCTATTATTTGGGTATGTTCACCATCATGACTCCGTGGCTGCCTAATATCAACCCGTATCATTTTGGCAACGAATGACAGAGCAATCGTCCCACTGGATCTTCCAGAGCAGTGGAATAAGAAACCTGCAGTGTTTTAAAAGGCAAAAAGAGTAAGGCCATGTAAAATCACGTAAAGCTACTATGGCTTTAATACATTTTAATACGGCTTTGTTTATAGTCACCACAAAAATAAATGTCACCACCACTTTCCGCGAAAATGGGATGAGATGGGTATGGTCACCAAGTTCCCCCACGTACACTGCACGGTCGCCAAGCTCTTCCTCGATCCGCAAGAGCTGGTTGTACTTGGCATTCCTCCATGGCTCAGAGATCTATGTTGATCTCCCAACAGATAGATAGGTTGGTGTTGAAAAAATGCCTTGAAACATGTTGAAAACGAGAAATTGGGATGGAAACTGCTGAGGCTCGAAGCTAGAACATTGGGGTGTTGAATTGATTTGAATTGCCCACGAATTGAAGGAACTATATCATGTTATATTGCAATAATATGCAATTAAATTTACCACCTATGAGAACAGCCAACAAATAGCTGACCCCTTGAAACTTGAACGGTCGATAAGGAGAATGACATAAGTTGTGGCGCTCCGCTGATGCCTCTCCGATCGGCAGGGCGCCCCGGTCTTGATTTGCCCGGCGCGCAACCCCACGGAGAGATCTGCTATGAAGACCTCAGATCATCCCCTGGTGGGTGACACCGGGTGCAGGGTTCATCCAGCTTCAGGAAACAGGAAAAAAAAACGACAGTGATGGAAACTGGTGCCTGTCTGCCTCTTTGGAGGGACAATGTTGGATCTTCCAGTCTTTTTTGCGAACGATTTACATGAAGCACGTCCAAGACCCCCGCAGTATCTCTAAGTTATCTCAGTTGGGGTGATGGATGAGGTCAAAAAATGGTGGATCCCTCATTGAAAGCCGGGTCATGGCCTCAGGCCATAGATCACAGCAGTGGGCGTCTGAAGATGTCAGCTAGGAGCGACCAGTGAGCGTGCCCACTGTAAAAACAAAGGATACGCAGTGATTGCTAAGTGATTACTCAACACTCACCTACAAGATCTACAAGTACTAAGTTACTAGGAGGGCCTATTTATGCCTATTTAATATTTAAAAAACACCGTAGGCTGCCCACACGAAGCTTCCTATCAGTTGAGACCCAAAGATCACTGGACTATGGCGAGAGTCGTCCTCCGTCTCGCCGGATCTGTGCGACACCATCACCTCAGAGGGCAAGAAACTTCGCTGGTTATGAATCAAACCCCTCGTGCCCGGATGGTACCTTAAAATATCTGATTAATGTATCCCAGATGCTCCATGTATGGTATATTTACCTATATTTGGGTGATTTTTAGGGCAAATGTTGGTAAATATTCCATACATGGAGCATATGGGTATGGTTATTCCCCAAAATATGATAGTTAAATGGGGTTAAAAGTTTTGACCCATTCCCATGTTACTGTCCACTAGCGATCAAACATGGCCATGGAACATCTCCATTCCTCTTGGCCCCTTTCGGGAGAATGCGTTTACCTGATGTGTTTATTGGAAGGTACCCAACGAAATCTGGAGCCACGAAAAACCCAACATGATTTGGTCGTTGGTTTCAGACATGGGTCCACAATGGTCCACACATGAACCGACCATCTGACATGATCTGACATTAAACCGTCCGATTTTGGGTTTGCCCCACTGTTTGATGGTTGTCCACCTATTCTGGTTGGCGCCTTCAACTCGAAATGTGTGTGAGGAAGGAATATCAAAAATAGAGAATGTGTTCAACATTTTTAACCACAACCACCAACCAGCTACAGTATGCTTTGCAAGTCAATCCATCTCCAGGTTTCAAGAGGAAAAAAACTCGAAAACCAACTAGCGAGGGCGCGCTCAGTACTGTTTTCAGTCCACGGTGAAATACGTTGATATAAATGTTGAAAATTCCAAAAGTGTTCCAGAAAAACACAAAATACTGCTGTGATCGCTGTGTATGTTCCCTGCTGTGGTGCCAAGTCACACCCCAACCTCTGTCTTGGCACATTTTACAGGCTTCGATCGCCTCTGAGATTGACCCAATCTGATTGACCTGGCTCAAATGGATGGCCCACTTGGCCGAGGGACTCACATTGATTGAGGACTAACATGGAACGAATGGGTTCAACATTGTAACAACTCCGAAAACCATGAAACAAGTCTGAGCATTGTTCAAAACCCTGCGTCGTCCCTCGAAAAAACTGGGTGGTTGAGAACGGGGTTCCCTGCTCATGAATTGTGATAATCGCCAAGATATTGGTTAATATAATCCTCAATCATCATCAACCATCGGAGGTTTTGAACACTGCTCAAATGGATCCATGGGGACCTTTGACGCTGCTGAAATCCTGTTCTGACTTTGGTGTAGGTGCCAGATTTCAAAATTCTGGGCCATGGCAAATTCCCAGAATATGCAAGAATATTCGAAATGTCTGAAAGGTCACATTCTAGAATTTGTGTGCCCCAACTACCCAACTACTTGTTGAGTTGTGTTTTGAGTGAGCTCCAATGAGGTCCCCTAAAATATCCTAAAATTAGCGCCTTGAGCAGCAAAGCGTTGCAGGCCTCAGGTTGCCACACCAGGGTCGAAGGTGCAACTGTCATCACTTTCCAAAGGTATCCCACGGTATGCCCAGAATCAACCAAGGTGTATTGATCCGTAAAACAGTTTGGGAGAACCAGAATAGCTGTTTAAAATTTAGTTTGCCCCTGAGGATCCAAAGTATGGACTATTTGCATGCATTTGGGCATGCACGCTCTCAGAGCATCCGACCATGCTATTTGCGGTCTGACCATGATTTTTACATTTCTTTCCGACGATTTCCGATTAATTCCAAGAAATTTTGGGGAATGATGAGTAGCCGCTGACCTTGTCACGGTTTGTCACGGTCTGTCACGGTCTGTCACGGCGTTCTCCGACAATGCCCAAGATTTAAGTATATTTTTTGTCTTCTGTTACAATTCGTCACGGTTCGTCACGGTTTGTCACGGTTTGCCACGCACAAACAAAAACACAGCAATCAAGAGAGGCCAATACAGCTGATAACCAATTGAACCGGGTTTTCAACACCACAAGACACGAACCACAGAGGAAAATCGCACAGCGCAACTTTTCACTAGGGGCATCTTGAGCCAAAGTATTTGGCATGTCAACCTGTGACCATGTGAAGAAGGGATGCTATACTTAACGAAGATGAGGGGCCATATGTGGCCATATACACCCAATTTCAAGTATTTCCGACCATTTATTTTCCGACTATTTTCCGACAATTTTTGGGGAATAGCCGCTGACCTTATCACGGTCTGTCACGGCGTTTTCTGACAATGCCCAAAATTTAAGTATATAGTTTTTTACGGCTCGTCACGGTTTGTCACAGTTTGTCACGCAACCGTCAGGCAATTTGAAGCCAATATGAACCTTTCTCATATTTCAACTGTCACATTTCGACAATGCATGCGCTATTTGCGATTTGACATGGCTTCATACATGAATGCATTTCCGATTTGACCCTATTTATGCTCATGGATCCTCAGGGCCTCAGGGTATTATATGAAGGTGTAGTGAAATTTGGTGTTCACACGTGGTTTCTGAATTCTCAATGGGTACCCGTTACAAAAAACTCGCGCCAAGCCAGGGCTTCGCCAAGGCTCATCGCCATCCTCCACCGCTTTGCCGATGCGCTTGGGATTCGTCACTAGCAAGTCATCCCCGACAATCTGCACCTAGCTGATCCGGGCTTCCAGGCCCAAAGGTGACTATATGGAATATACTAAGATCTACTAAGAACATGATGTGCAAAATACATCAAAATAGCCTGACTATCCCGGACTGGCACAGTTTTCACTCTCCGAGGTGTGGAGATTTGATGAGATTTGTTGGATCCCTCCGACAGATGTACTATGTCTATGATGTCTATGTATCATTCTGTATCATTCTGTATCCACTTCTGCCATGACAATGTGGAAGTCCACTAGTCTCATCCTCTCTTTTTCGCTTCCAGTGTCAAAGCATCTCAACATAATTACGAAGTCTCCACAGCGAGGAATGCATCGATTTCGTAGTCTTTCTTGATTCACAGCGTTTTCGTTGAAACCTCCGATAGTCCCTTAACACCAAAAGGAAAATAGCTAGATAGGCTTCCCCGCAAAGCTTGGGGTCCAACCGCCCCAAGAATCTCTGGCCTTGTCACCAACTGCCGCTGTGAACGGCCGATATCCATCCCAGTCATCCTGGTCGAAAGGATCTTCGATGGAAACCATGGGATACCTCAGCTCTAAATGCAAACAGAAAGAGGCAAGAGATGAGTGTCTCTGAAAATGGTATACGGTATACCATGGTATACCCAACTGGCCCATCGCACAAGGACATGATGATAAACTGATAACTGATAGACCATCAACGCCTGGGGGTATCTTATTTTCAGTCAAACCCCAAATGAGAACATATGGGAGCTACATTGAGTTTCCTATAAAATATTGGTACCACAAACACCATTTATGTTTTCCGATTGATAATAATGACAAATAACTTGGATGACAACTTGGGGCCCCCCATTTTAGGAAACCCCCATTTTAGGAATCAGCAATCGCTCTGCAAATCCAAGGGACTTCTCTGTCCATCCTTTGAAGTATTCCGCCAACTCGCTCGTGTTCATCAATTTTTGCCTTGGCCGAAGAAATGCTTTGTCCATGTTTGTCCCATGGGGGTGGAATGCTAAGCGCTCTTCTCGCCGGTAATCGCACAGCGCGAAAATTGCAAAACTTTTCGCAAAAAGTCAAAAAGTCAAAAAGTTTTCGACTTTTCGACTTTTCGAATTTTTCGAATTTTTCGAACTTTTCGACTTTTCGACTTTTCGATTTTTCGATTTTTTCGATTTTTTCGACTTTTCGAGCCGAAATCTCCTGGAATGTGAACTTTTCGACTTTTCGAATTTTTCGAACTTTTCGACTTTTCGAATTTTTCGACTTTTCGAGCAGAAATCTCCTGGAATGTGAACTTTTCGACTTTTCGAATTTTTCGATTTTTTCGACTTTTCGAGCAGAAATCTCCTGGAATGTGAACTTTTCAACTTTTCGGGTGAAACTTTTCTACCACGGTTGGAGTTTTCAGCGAAAAGTTGCGTTTGAACCACCCAAACAATACACCAAACTGAGTACGCAAGGGTTCCTGTCTTATCATCTATCCTCCACCAGAAGGCAAGCAAGGTCCAGGTTTTGTGGATCGCGAAAATGCCTATAGCCAGAAACCCAGAAAAAGGCCGCATCGATTTGGGTTGAGATGGGTAGTTGTTAGGATGTGTAAATGAAGTAATAATATACCCGGTAAGGCTACACATATAATACTATACCATGTTATTTTATATAATTTGACATTAAGTTGCATTATGCTACATTATGAAATATTTTCCTATAACACACAACACATCACAAAACCATATCATTCTATATGACATCCCATGATGTTACCGGTATGTTATAGTGCATTATTTTTTATTGCATTATAACTAAAACATATTATGTATAAACATATTTTACCTATGATATTATATCGTACCAGATGATATTTTACAATATTATATTATACTATGCTATATTATATTAGTTTATATTATATAGGATCTGTTATTATGTTTTAAGTTATTATGAAATATATTATTTATTGTTTTATCATAGCATAATATTTTTCATATATTATATTATATTATATATTATATTATATTATATATTATATTATATTATATTATATATTATATTATATTATATATTATATTATATTATTTTATTTTATATCATATTTTTAAATATTTGATATTGTATTATATTATGCTATATTTTTTTAGCGCTAGTCAATATATATATATAAATATACTATATATATATATTGATTAATATATACATTATCAGTATCATGATAACTCAGAACTATGCAACTGTTCCTTACTTATTTATTGTTATTATTTTATCAAGAACGCATACATGACTTTCAAAGTCCAGTTTTGTTGAATATGAAGTGCATTGCACATGTCATGTCCAAGCAGGATCAGTGGACTTTTATATATGTTGTTATTCTTTTTTTGCCACGCTACTGAAATTTCTCTTGAACTTTCCACGTGTACGTCATGCTACGCTACTGTAAGTTCTCTTGAACTTTCCATTCATGCGTCATGCTAAGCTACTGTAAGTTCTCTTGAACTTTCCACTCATGCCTAATACCACGCTACTGAAAGTTCTCTTGAACTTTCCAGGCATATGTCATGCTATGCTACTGTAAGTTCAATTGAACTGTAAGTTCTCTTGAACTTTCCACTCATGCGTCATGTTACGCTACTGTAAGTTCTCTTGAACTTTCCGTGCGTACGCCATGCTACGCTACTTTAAGTTCTCTTGAACTTTCCACTCATGCGTCATGCTAGGCTACTAAAAGTTCTCTTGAACTTTCCATGCGTATGTCATGCTACGCTACTGTAAGTTCTCTTGAACTTTCCATTTATGCGTCATGCTACGCTACTGTAAGTACTCTTGAACTTTCCATTCATGCGTCATGCTACGCTACTGTAAGTACTCTTGAACTTTCCATTCATGCGTCATGCTACGCTACTGTATGTTTTCTAGAACTTTCCACGCATATGGCATATGTCATGCTACTTTCCACTCATGCCTCATGCTACGCTACTTTATGTTCTCTTGAACTTTCCACTCATGCATCATGCTAGGCTACTATAGGTTCTCTTGCACTTTCCATGCATATGTCATGCTACGCTACTGTAAGTACTCTTGAACTTTCCATTCATGCGTCTTGCTACGCTAGTGTAAGTACTCTTGAACTTTCCATTCATGCGGCATGCTGCAGATTTTCTGGAACTTTCCATGCATACGTCATGCTACGCTACTGTAAGATCTCTTGAACTTTCCATGCATACGTCATGCTACGCTACTGTAAGTTCTCTTGAACTTTCCACTCATGCCTTATGCTACGCTACTGTAAGTTCTCTTGAACTCTCCATGCATACGTCATGCTACGCTACTGTCAGATCTCTTGAACTTTCCATGCATGCGTCATGCTACTCTACTGTAAGATCTCTTGAACTTTCCATGCATGCGTCATGCTACGCTTGTAGGTTCTCTTGAAGTTTCCACTCATGCGTCATGCTACGCTACTGTAGGTACTCTTGAACTTTCCATTCGTGCGTCAAAAGATGACGCAAAACATGTCACGTCGAATTAGTTTCAGAATCGGCAAAAAAACCAAAAATGTTAGTTTCGTCTAGGCGAAATGCCTGCTTTGAAAAACTGCACCAGAATAAGGGGTTAACGGCCTTAAATTTCACATCAAACAAATTCCTATTTGCACGAGCGCATCAAATATGATCCATGACACCCCGTTGATCACAAAAAACCCACGGCCGTCTAGACTAGTTAGTAGTTGTAGGCAAAACTGATCAAAACCCTGTTGGTTGATCAGGGTCATGCTGCCCCATCCCTGTGGAAAATTCCTGCGGCACAACCAGAAAGCCTCAGTTTGGCTGCGCCGAACACTGTTTCACTCCTCAAACCGGCACAGTAGCTGGAAACAAATCTTGAGACGCTTGGAGAGTGCTATTTGCCCCCTAAACTGGTAGCAAGATGTGGCAAGCTGAGTTGCATTGGCCTCTAAATTGGTTGCAACTCAAGACAGTTAGTGACAGCAGTGGCCCTGGTAGCCCTGAGCCTAATACCTGCTCAGCAATTCTGTGGGTTTTCAGTATCCAGCTTTCAAAACCCACAAAATCAACACAAAAAAATAGAGAAACCCACTAATTACATGAGCAACACAAAATCTAATCCTGATACAGATACACTGATTGCAAGTTTCCTGCTCCCCTGGAAAGTAACCAACCATTCGACCGGGAAAGAGCAACCAAACAACCATAAAAAGCCCTGTGCGTGGATACTGCCTGTGCTCCAATGCCTCCAAAACCCACGGGGTTTATCACTCTTCCAGGGAAATTTTTCGCAAAATTTTTCGAATTTTTCGAACTTTTCGACTTTTCGACTTTTCGATTTTTTCGACTTTTCGAGCCGAAATCTCCTGGAATGTGAACTTTTCGACTTTTCGACTTTTCGACTTTTCGAGGGCAAACATCGTGATTTTCACGGTGTGACCGATACCAGCCAGAAGAGCACACAGTGGATACCGGGATACCCCACGGTATGACCATATTATGCAATTCTCCAGGAAAAATGATGATAAACCCGAGGATTTGGGTGTACAAAATTGTGAGACAAAGCATGACAAAGTTGTGTTGCAGGGGAAATCTGTCGCAAACTGGTAACGATGAAGTCAGGAGTTTGGTTGAAAAAAAATCGAGCGTCTCGCAGTGAAACTGCGGTGGAACCGACTTTTTTAGTTCCAATGATGCCAGACACCACCCTGCCCACTAAAAGGGACGAGTTCACCCTTTCTGGGAAGAGTCTTTCCAATAGAGGTCGTACTTCTTCTCAGTTGCCTTGGGCGCCAAACTTCAAACTTCAAGCCAGTCACTCCGGGAAGCCCAAAAACTGCAGATCTGAAGCATTGTCAGTTTTACTGGGTCTGTCCAAAAATGCGGATACCCCAAAAAAGGCAATGTGAATAGGCATATATCATATACAGTATGGGGAAAATGATGATCACCCATGAGATTTCAGGGGTTTTGTTTCGACAAGCCAATACTGTGCAGCTCAATTAATGATCTAATTCTTGGCTACAATGGGTATGGTCCACATATTAGCATTACTCACTGCAAATAGTTCATGGTCCATTCACCGTTGAAGGATTGAGGTCCGGCATCCATTGGATTCCATGTTCCAGGCAGCGAAGGCACATTGTAAAATTCCGACGCTGCCACGTCTGTTCCAAGCTTGACTTTTGCAGCCTCAGGCCGCTGATGGGTCGCAGTCTCACAGCGCAGCCAGCTGATCATCCCCAGATAGAAATCAAACCAATCTGTCATAGCAGTGGCCATTCCGGGAAAAAAATACATTACTTCGAGTGATCCCCACCCTGACACACTATTCTGACATTCTTTCTGGCATTCTATCTGGTATCTATTCTGGCATACTTTCTGACATACGGATGTTCAGACATTCTATCTGGCAGTCTTTCTGGCATCTCTTCTGACATTCTATGTTTGGGTCCAGGCCTGGCCCACTGCATCCGAAGCTCGTGATATGGCTCGGATCCGTTCATGCCCACAGTCAGAGCTGGCAGAGGAGGAACCCAGGGGGAGAAAGAGGAAGAAGAGGAAGAAGAAGAAGAAGAGAAGGAGTTGCACCTGTTAAGATCTAGAGGCCCTCTCCTGGCAGGTGGGGAAAAGGAGGTTGGATTTGGGAACCGCTCAGTTCCCCGTTACTGTGCCATGGTCACAAACACCTACTGTTGAACTGAACTCTGACCTTCTCAAGGTCGTCATGGAACCGAAATCTCTGTCCGGCAGATTCCTTAATAAAAATAAATAAAAGACAAACTGCCGAAAAATTACCCCCAGGCTGCCCAGGCTACCAAACTGAGACCGTTTTTGGTCGTTGCTGCCAAGTATCGTGGCCAGACTTTTCAATGGCTGTCATCAAGACCTGAAAAAACGGCTGCAGTCATTTCAAGGTGATGGATTCCCCAAGTCCAGGGACATTGACACCAACCTCTTTCCAAAGGTATATAGAAGTACCTCTCCCCATACTGGATTGAAAACGGTTTTCAGCAGCATCATCTGGGCTTGTCTCAAAATAGGATATCCCAATACTCCATGATTTCTCATTAGTCTCCTCATTGAAATGGGCATGTAAATGTATCTTGCGTTTTGAGACAGACCTGCGACACATTGTTGGTGAGCTATATCCCATGAAATCGTCATTATGATGGTTGGTGTTGATATCCCCATTGCATTCCTTTATATCCTATCATATCATCATATCCTATCATGTCCCAATCATGTATATACCATCATGTTTCATGTTTCCTATATCTTCCAAATAATATCTCCACAGTGCTGGTTATTTTTCCCGTCATATCCCAAGATATGTGCATATAATATATATATATTATACACAATCAATTCTCCTCCCATGTTATCCCTATATGTTCCTCATAAACTGGTTACATTTTTCCTTATAAGAAACAACCATGTTCCAACAATTTTGGGTTTCCAGGCCTGCAATGCTTCGTCACTCTCAGTGACATTGGGCGCAAAACCACCTTCATCGCCCACGTTGGTGGCATCCTGTCCATATTTCTCCTGACAGATCTCCCGTGATTTGGGGGAAGATAAGTGGTAAACATGGTAAAAAATGGCCGTTGCAATCAATAAAACATCAAAAACCCTCAGAAAATGTGTTTTTTGCTACTGGGGGGGAGAATGAAAGATAATGAAGATGGCAAATAATGGAAGATAATGGACGATTATGGAAAATGATGGCAGACCGGCAACCAATACTGGGAGTTCAATGTGATTGAAAACAATGACAAATGTATACCCACAAGCACTGGGAATTTCAGCAGGAAACATGACGGAATTTGGCGTACCCCATTCTACAAACCAATCTTTTGAAAATTGGGGTTTCCGTGTTCTCGCTTGGAAATCGAAAAGAAATAGGGAGTGTCTGGCGGGTTAGGTTCATGGAAAATAACTTTGAGTATCAATGCAACCACAAAAGCCTGCCAATTTTAGTCTCCAACCAAGCGTCCAATTTTGGGGTTCAATCATTTTGAGCCATACGATGCCATACCCAAATGGTTGTGGCAGTTTAATACAATGTCCCAACAACTCAAAAGTGCACAAATGCTCACAGCAGTTTGGGATCCGTTTTGTTTTCGGATTCCGGGAGGGTCAAATGTCATCGGGATACCTAAGTCCAGTCCATCTCATGCCGTTCCCCGTACCCAAGGCTCGCTGGCTCCTGAATCACCTTCTTCAAATGATGATAGACCTGCCACAAGACTCATGGCTTTGTGAAACTTGGCCGTACAACCATGCTGCTCTTAAATGGACAAATGGGATATTGGAGGACCCCGCCAAATGCTGGTCATTGTTCATCCCTGCCTAGCCCAAGTTCGCGCGTCTAGGGTGCTTCGTTCAGGGAGCCCATAGGAGTCCCACAATGTTTATCGGGGTGCGTCCCCGAATTTCTGGCCGCTTTCATGCGAGAAAAAGAGCACTTTGTTCCTCACGTGCCCGGTGAGGGTCTCTAGATTTTATCAGAGTTGCTTTCTCCTCCTCGTCCTTCTCCTCCTTCTCCTCCGGCACTGCCGGGCCTCAACCGCGAGTGCCAGATCTCAGTGGGCACTGCCGGACCTGAAAGAATGTCAGAATAGATGCTAGAAAGAATGTCAGCATATATGCCAGAAAGTATGTCAGAATAGATGCCAGATAGAATGCCAGATAGAATGCCAGAAAGAATGTCAGAGTATATGCCAGAAAGTATGTCAGATAGAATGTCAGAATGTATGTGTGTGTATATATACATATATATATATGAGTAGCCCACAAAAGTATTTGCTAAATTTACTGCCATGCACAAATTAGGGTCGTCCCCTATCGGTTGTGAGGATTTCAGTTCTCCCGGAGATATCACAAATGGGGTATCGGTACAGGGTCGTCCCCTATCGGTTATGAAGGTTTTGCGCAGCCTCAAAAAGGCCAGGGCGAAGCAAAACTAAACTAATATTACAATAATTTTGTTGGTTACTCATATATATATATATATACGTATATATGGTCTCGTGTTCCGTGTTCCTACCCCCCCAATGATATGGGTCCCCAGGTAGCACCCCCTTCCCTTCTATTTGCAAGCTATTGGCAGCATTTCTGAGGTCCAGCCTCGTATTTGCTAGGTTTTTGCAGCGATTCTGACTACCAGCCTCGCATTTACAAGGTACATGCTACCTTTGAGACGACCTACGTAGCACACATACTCCCTCAAAGTACCTACGTGCTACCTATAGTCATATATACATGTGCAATGTATCTACTTCCTATAAATATATATACATATATATATACATATATATATATACATATATATATATATATATAAATATATATATATATATAAATATATATATATATATTATATATATACACATAATATATACATACATACATATATATATACATACACATAAATAAATAAATAAATAAACAAATAAATAAATCAATCCATCCATCCATGCATGCATGCATACATACATACATACGTACGTACGTACGTACGTACATACGTACACACACACACATATACATACATACATACATACATACATACATACATACATACATACATACATACATACATACATACATACATACATACATACATACATACATACATACATACACATACATACATACATACATACATACATACATACATACATACATACATACATACATACATACATACATACATACATACATACATACATACATACATACATACATACATACATACATACATACATTACATACATACGCACATATATATATATACATATATGTGTGTGTACATATATATATATACACAAATTCGTATTTAAATATACATATATATATATACATATACATATATATATATATACATATATATATATATACGTATATATATATATACACATATATACATATATTCACATATATATATATGTACACATACATATATATATATATATACATACATATATATAAGCATATATATATATAATGTATATATATATATACATGTGTTTATATATATATTATATATACGCAGTACCACACCCCCACCACACCACCGGGGGCGAGGGGGACAGTACTATGGCTGGCTGACCCATGGCCATGGCGGGGGGGGAGGGGGAGGAGGGTTGGAACGCTGGACCATATATACTTCCAGATGGTATGCCAGAAACATCCAGAAACTATGTCAGAATAATTGCCAGGGTGAGGATCACTTGAAGAAAGTATATTTTTTTGGAGGGGGTATGAGGGGGTACAGTACCCCATATTGTTGGCTGCATCAGCCTTATATCATCATATTAACATATATTAACTATCAAAATTACCATTATATCATCATATGAACTATCATCATATTATATCATATTATCATATTAAAAATGGTTGGCTTAGTTGGCTTTTTGTAGCCCCAGTACTTTCGGGCCTAGTCTCCCTTTACGGGGTTCTTCATGACCCTGTGTCACGGCACCGCTTAAATGGAGCCGGCCAAACCTCGGCACCGATCTGAAGTGCTTCTCTGAAGCTGGCAGCACCCACTGGGAGAATCATGAACTCCTGGGGAGTCTGGGGAGATGGAACTGTTTGGGGACTGTTGGGTTTTTTTTGCCTTTCTTTTTTCCGAACACAAAAAACCGGTATATAAATATAATTAATTATATCATATACATTTTTTGGGACATTTTTTGGGATGGAAACATCATTAACCAACCAGATGGTGATTTGGGTGTCAAAAAATGGGAAGACCTCTCCCAAAATGAAAATGCCGCTAGGGTAAATGATGATAAAGTCTGGATTCTTGGGGGGGAGACAATTTTCAGACAAACCCAAATAGGGGATGGGCACTGACTTCATGGCTAGTGACTGAACATGAGGAACATGCTAACCCAGGAATTGGATATTGGTGTCCAGTCTATAGACCATCCATGGTGAGGTTCCTAGGTCGCTGCAATTTCGACTTGATGGCTGCCCCAGTGTTGGCCATGATTTTTGGTGAGGTCGTCTAGGATCACCAATCTCGCTATCAATGAACTTATCCAAATATCCGGAGAGGTGTATCATGGTGTATCATGGTGTATCATTGCGTATACATACCCGCATGTTTCAAGCAATGTGCCCTTTGTGGTCCTTTGTGTATAACTGCCCACTGTACGTCGTATGTTGTAGAATCTCAGTTGCCTGTCACCTTATGTTTAGCGATTAATCCATGTTAATCCATGCTAATTCAATGAATTTCCAACCTTTTGGCATTTCTTTTTGGTATTTCCAACGGACATCACCCAGCTTCACGCCCAGTCTTTTGCAAAGCCGGCCTGGACTGGAAGGCCATTGCCCGCGTGGCTGCCTCCATTGATGACCTGCAGAAGTCTGGGAAAACATCAGCCGTTTATCCTCCAGGAATCCATGTGAAAATTCCTGGCCCACAGTGAAGGAGCCTGGCTCCTATTCTGGTAGTGTGGTAATTACGAGTTTTCTCCAACGGAATCCAATGGTCTGCAATCGAAAATATCGACAAAGATGGTTTCAACATGTTTCAAATTGCAAAGCTAAATCACAATTTCTGATTTGAAACCATTTGAAACCCAAATTTCCATTTTCGTTGGCCCAGTTTGGCTTCTCAAATCCTTTTTCTTCAATCCCTAGTTTTGATGCTGCCCTGCAGAAACCAAGGCACGTTGAAGGCTGGTACCGGCAGCACGAATTTGTCCGTGGGCTTTCCCGCCAGTTCAGCTACTCGTTGGTAGAGCCTCGGCCGGGAAAGTGCTGGAAAAACTTTGGCGAAATGACATTATAAAAAGGATCGCTTAAAATAATGGGAAATAGAAAATTCCTTGATTAGAAAAAAAGATGGGAAACTCGTTAGAATGATGGGACGTGATGGAAGGCTTAATGGAAAATGATGAGATCAGTGAGGTGAAGATGAAGCAATTAAGCGCATATTTGACATCCTTAGTGGCCTGCCAAACCAGCGATTTTTCATCCATCCACTAGCAAGAACCTCACCAAGAAACGTCTGGTTCTTGCAAGCAGCTGCAGCTCTGCAAATAGCCATGCTCACCTAGGAAACAGGGTTGTAGGGTGCCCTTGGTCTATGCAGAGTGTATGCAAAAAAACCGGGGAAAAACAGAAAAACTATGGAAAATCATATATCAGCCAACAAGAACTGTAATAAATATAGGCATGGCATGGCATGGGTCAAACTTGGGCCACAAAATCCAGCTGGTCTACCTTTTGGACACCCTTTACGGGCCACAAAGCTCAGGATGTGATGATGATGTGGCTTTGTCCTAAAATGGAGGCAGGCTACCTCCGAAATGGCCATTTCATGGAAAAAATGTTGGAAAATGATGATGAACCATCAAACTAGTTGCCATGGGCACTGCAGGGCGCCTGGGTGTTTCGTTGTCTTTTTTTTCTTTTTATTTTGCGTTTTGCCGTTTTTTTTTGATGATGGAGTAGGGTGGGGTGGGGTGGGATGTTAATGTTCATGTTCATGTTACACTGATGATGTTACGTTGATCATGGGGTGGGGTGGATGGGGTCGGGTGGGGTGGGATGTTAATGTTCATGTTACGCTCATGATGCTACGTTGATCATGGGGTCGGGTGGGGTGGGATGTTGACGTTCATGTTCATGTTACGCTGATGATGTTACGTTGACCATGGGGTGGGGTGGGGTGGGATGTTGACGTTCATGTTCATGTTACGCTGATGATGTTACGTTGACCATGGGGTGGGGTGGGGTGGGATGTTAACGTTCATGTTCACGTTACGCTGATGTTACGTTGATCATGGGGTCGGGTGGGGTGGGATGTTGACGTTCATGTTCATGTTACGCTGAAATTGTTCCATGGTTGAAGTAGCTTTTGAGAAGTGAAAAAAACAGGCGTGCGAGGCTGCATGCGCAGTTACATTGGGAAGTGCACGCAAACCCCCTTAAAACCACCAGGCGCCTCTCAGCGCCGTTCCCAACTAGTTTGATATAGGTTGGTATCGTCTTACATGTTCACGTCGAACCCAATTCCAGCAGGTTCGTCAGCTGCTAGACCGAGACACTGCAAGGATTGCATTGGCACCTGCGGATGAAGGCTAGGGATAAGTGGATAACGATCTCTCAATGGCATGGAGCATACTCTTAAGTTCCAGAAAACATGGCGGTTGCTGGAAATTACAAGAGATGTGTGTGTGTGTGTGTCTGTCACTGTGTGTGTGTGTGAGTGCTTGTCCTGCAGGATAACAAGGACTTCACCGTGCTATTCACTTATATTCACTTGGTGGGTGAAACAGAAATGGCTCCCCTCCGCACTTGGGTTGGTCATGGTTGGTCGATATTAGGCTTTGCCTGAAAATAGGCTGCCCAAACATGTGAGGTTAAACATGACTTTGACTACTGCAATTTGTTGTTTGATCTGTCAATCCCCGATGTTTGAACACATCCAAAACATCGAACAAACACCTGTTTTTTTGCTCAACATCCTCGTGCAGCATTTGGTCGGTGCCTAGCTTTGCTTTGCTCCAGCCCCATTCATTCTGAGAGCCATCCATCTCCTGCGAGGCAGGACGCAAATAACCGGATTCAAACACGCTCGCTAATATGGGTCTATCTGAAACGAGCCCCAAAATGGATGGCTTATCGTGATTTAACATCATAGTCCCTGCTGCATTGTCCTCGTACATCATCTTGTCAAGTTCTGCCTGCGGATTCGCGCACAGCGGATTCACGGCTTTTTTGGGGGCCATCAAGGTATCCTGGTACCCTGGTGAACCCCCAAAATAGCCTATATTGCTATAGTAAAATGGATGTTCATCCCTCCAAATATTGGCCCTAGAGCTTTGAACTGTTTTGACCCATACCCGTCGCTGATCCTCGTCACGGAGGTGGTACAATCTGGTACAATCTCTCAAACTTTTCAGCGGTCAACTGGTCAACTATCCAGTTAATCCAATTTACCCATGAACCAGTATGAGTGTGATCTGGACCACTGACCCACTTTCATACTTGCCTGGGTCCCTGGGAGATCATTGAAAACACGCATCGCTGCAGATGGCAACATTGAAACACCTGGGAACACAGATCTCTGATAGGTAAAGGCCGGAATCAACCCAGAGAAATACCAGATGTACAACCCGCTGCTTGTTGGCCAGATCCCACCGCCCAGGTCAGCCTGTTCTAGGACGCTCTTTCCAAAGAATTTGGGGGCAATCACTTCGTTGACATTCTTCACAGCAGTTAAGACCTCGTCAAAAAAAACATCAGAATCATCAGAAGGGCCCATCACAAGGGCCCATCACAAGGACAAAAACATACAAAAACCTGATGGTTGTTGCAGTTTTTTGAGTACACAATATGATACCTTGCTATTCTTGAGGTTGGAAGTCTCATCTATCTATTCAAGCGTTGAAATCCAAATTTAAGATATTAAACCTGTGAAGAAACCGAATCTCAATGAATATTGTCAAGTCCTACAAGTCAGGTTCATCACCTCTAAAGTGGTCCCTACAAGTAGGTCTAGGTCCTAGCTGATGAATTGCCTAGCGATCTGAGATCCCCACTCCCTTGCCCAAATACCTGGCAACTGATCCAGACCCCATCACCAGGTGAAGCTGATCCGGGATCGCCACCACTGTATGTTCAGGGTCTCTCATTTGAATCATGAAACCACTGACGTTGCATAGACTACGGAACCTTCACTAGAACATGTTGGTGTTGATTTTGCTTACAAGCATATCCATCCAATTTTTCTGATTCATATATTATGGTTATGGGTCAAAACCTTGGTACTCTAGGTAATTTAAAATAGTTTGCTAATGGAGGTTTATCTATTCCCCAAAATATGGTAATAATGGGTTTTGACCATATTAATTCATCTTTGTTGGTAAAACTATCCTTTTCGTTGTTGAAGTGGACCAGCTGTATGTGGCGAAGTGATGCCCAATTGGCGAACTGATGGGAGTGTCTGAAAATGGCGAATGGGCCTCTCAAATGAATTCATTTCAGTAGGGAAAATGGTGATCCATCCATTTTTTGGGGGTACCCCATTTTCAGATACCCTCTGGTAAACTAACATAGCTATCGAAAATTACCATCGTTAATGGGTAAATCAACTATAAATGGCCATTTTCAATAGCTACGTGAAATTACCAGAGGGTAAACCACTGATATAGGGAAGTGCTTCGAAAGCCTGCATTTCTTCAGGTTTTATCACCGGCCTGGTGGTGTCCTTATCCCGGAGCTCCAAGGCTTCATAGACGCCGGTAGAAGCGCCTGAGGATTTTAAGCGTCGCTCTTATCGGATCAGCATTGAAGCAACAAACATGTTGCAAAGCCAACCATTTATGATGATATCATGGGGATAAGTCAAAGGTTTTGCATATATGTACACATACATTAAAAAAAAATATCTATATAATATAATATATAATTATATATATATTTATTAATATCATATTATATCACCACCAATATAGATATTCATATCCCATAGATATCCCATCACGGTGGTATTTTTCCATATCATAGTTGGTTTCTCATGTTGACTCTCCCATTTATCCGGAAAAAATTGTTGGTAACTCCATCTCCCATAGTTGTTTTTGCGACATGTTTTCCCATCAATTTCCTATCGATGCGGTGCCTTCCCTTCTTCAACCACTCCCAACCTGAAGGCACAGCAGCCCGAAAGAGGCCCTTGTCTGTGGCCAGGTCAACCTGTCACACCATTGGTTGGGGCACATCTTCAAACATAGATAATGATTGGTAATTGATGCGGAAATGTTAGATATGAAAATTGTGATGCTTTAGGGGCGATCTTTTGGATATGACAAATTTAAATGGTTGATGGGGAATTGATAGGGGGATTTACGGGTGGTTTCTGAATATTTGGAAACCGCGAAAAAAATGACCAGCACGAATAGGATATAAACAAAAAATACGAATGTTGAGAAATTAACCACAAATGGGACATGAACCAAGAACCAACAATATTCCATTCAATGTTTCGAAATTAAGCACCAAAATAATACAAAATAATGGAATGTGAACCAACAATAATCCAATATTAACGGATTGATTTAAGGGAATAAGTTGGTAGGAAACCCTGGTAAAGTTACAATACTCGGTGCCGTTGAGGTGATTTTATGGGTGAAACATGGTGAAACTGACCCGCCAAGTAGCCATGGGATCGATGGGGTTTTAAAAATGGATGAGTTCAAGGGAAAACTCCAGGGAATTTTTAGCATTTTTTTCTGAATGCAAAATATCGAAGTTTCTTTAGATGTTCCGAACCCCCAGCAAATATGGGTGGTTCACATGGTTTAACCATGAATATCTTCAAACATTCAATTATATTCTTATTGTCAGCTACGGCCCTCCCTTGGTGGCTATGGGGGGTTCTTAGAATGGTGGATCCCCAAGTCACCATAGGTACTAAGTCATGGTCATCCATGGGGTAGTCCTATTTGAGGCTTCGGAAACATCCATAGAATGTATCATATCAGGGGTGGTAGCTCAAACTCCACTTCTCCATGGCTCCCTCTGCCTCAATGGTGGGATTCCCTCTGGAATCGAGGATTTCTCGCGCTTTCAGCGTTCGGATAAAGGCCATAGCGCAAAACAAGAGTTTTGAGCGTCGCAACTAAATGGCTGTGGTACGAGTGCAAACCCATGAGCTGGATAGGCTGCTCATTTCCCCAACTACACTTTTTGTGGGGCCAATTCAATGCTTTAAAAACCATGCCCCTAGAAAAACACAATTGACAATGGCACTTAAAGGGACCTGTATATATAATATATATATATAGCCTTAATTTCGGTTATCTGGATGCAACCAGCCCAAAATCACCTTCTCGTAAGGTTCAATGATCAAGTTTACCCACCTTTTGTCCGCTTTGTGCCCTGAAGTGTTTGCTATCTTTCAGCCTCCTGGACACTTTAACAGAAGCAGTCATTTGCGGTCAGCTGTCTTAGTTAGCGAAGGTGGTTTATATGGTTTCTAACTGACATAATTGGAGTTTATGGATCTTCAAGGTAGATCATGTTTTTTTTTTTAATGTGGGATCCCCAAGTCACCATGGGTTTCAACACTAAGTCACAGTCTAATGACTTGGATGATTTGGAGGTACCCCCCATGCCACACCTGCGAACTGGAGTCAGCCAGCGCCTCGTCGTTGCAGCCATAGACGTGCATATACAATAGTACACATAGGTAAGTAGATATGGACCTGTAGATAATAGATACATCAGCACAAGTGTATTGCAGAAAATATGTGTATATGTATACAAAGAAAGAAAGAAAGGAAGAGCGACAGAGCGACAGAGACTGCGGCGTTGTTTTTTTCGTAATGATTGTCGATTCACCGATTCACCCGTCAAGATACCGAAAAAAAACTGCCAGATCCATCCAAGGACTGCACGGGATTCACCGGCATGCACCGCACGTAGACACTGAAGTCCAGACACCTCTGGATATCTTCCTGAGCCAAGGCTACAGCAGGATAGCATAGGATAGCATAGGATAGCTACATACAGCTACTACTGGCTGAGCTGAGAGTTAAGCGGAAACTTCTTCTGGGTTAATATTGCTTATTATTGGTTAATATTGGTTAATGCAAGTTGATACCGGGTTCTTCAAAAAAAGCAGCCCCCGACCAAAAAGTGTCAACATCCATCTTCAAAAGAACCAGGTATGGATTAATAAATGTATATAAATGTGGCTAACATTGTCCCACCATTCCAGTCACCACCACGATTTCTGTATTTTTGTAGTGCATGAACACTGTATTACCCGGGCCCCCACTGTCAGTGGGGGACAACGCAACACAGGACTGCCAGTTGGGATCATTATCCCAGGTAGCTAAGCTTGGAGCGACAAGGTGGGATGGCTTTGGCTGGCCAATTTCAATAGTGTACCTCACAGACAACTCCCCATTGGGGTGATCCCCATTGGGGTGATCCCCATTGGGGTGAGCAAGATATGGGGTTTCCAATCCATGGGGGTACCCCACTGGATGGTTGATTTCATGGGAATCATCCTATTAAAATGCTATTAAAATGCTATAAATGGATGATTTGGGGATGCCCCCATGGATTGGAAACCTCCATATGTGTGTGTGCCATGGCACTTCCCAGCTGGCAGCTCAATCTCCAAGGAGTTGCGGAAGCCGCGCTGCTCGCCCACCCACAGTCCTTCAGGCACCTGGAGAACCAACCGTTTCGAACAGAAGCCATGAAAGTTTGGCTGTTGATGGCTGTTGTCTACATTGAAAGAGAATCTCAATTCATGATTATAGATAGTCATAGATAGTCTATCCAAAAGCTGCACATTCTGCTGGCATTGAGTGGAAAAAAGAGAGAAATCGTCTACCACAGCAGTCCCCACCTGAAGAGCAATCCTCACCAGATCCAGTGGTAAGGCAGAGCCCACCTGGCTGTGTGCTCAAATGTTGAATCTCGTCAAACCCTGGTAGTCTGCTGATCTCTGGTGAACACCAAAATAGTTGGGATTTATGGATGTTCATACCCTTTAGATCTGGTGGTTCATAGGTTTTGATCCATCCCCGTTCATAAACCGAGCTCAGAAATCGCTAAGGACCTCATCAACTGTCACAACAGACGGGTGCCATGTCGACATCTGCGTTTCTTACTGTCCAATGAAAGTCAAAATTCAGGTCCTGCTGATCTGGAATAAGGATGCAACAAATAGATGATTGGACAATTCACCATAAATGAATCCAAATGATGATGCTAATTTACAATTGGACCTTAAGCACAAAACATCACAGGACTTGAAATGACCCAAAGATTTAGGTTGTTCAAAAACGGCAATTCTAATGGGAAAAGAGATGATAACCCAGTGGGGGGTCTGATTTCCCCTAACCATACTCATGGGTTCAATGTCAGTATCCCCATGTTAAATCCGAAATCATCCAGCCAACTGACATATGGAAAATCCACCCCTATATATATCCCTTTATAAATCATTTAATCGAAGAGGAAATGCCATGGATTTCCGAACGGTTCTTCGAGTTCTAAAAACTGGAAGGTCATCCGAAGCGCCGCCTCTAAGTAGACCACAGAGGAGACTGCTAGGGAGATAGGCACCTCCGGGTTGGAAAAATTGTGGGTCAACATCCCGGCTATGGAAAAATCACTAGTTTATACACATAAAAAAATGCATACAGACATACTATGTAATACTATATGTATACAACTCAGATCAAATTATAGACATGTTCGAAACCACTCATCAGCCATTGTTTATTATTTCAAAGATTTTAAACACCCGGAATGCAAAATGAGGTTGATTTTAATATGTTTTAAAAATAAACGGCGGAATTGTGGGCTTTCCACTGATCGCCTTCGATCTAAAGTCACTGTGCCTTCATCAAAGCTCCTTGCTGTGTCAGGTAGCTGGATCGCAACCTGACCAGCCAGTGTTCCATCTCTGGCTTCAAGGTTGTTTGATCTTGGCACTTTTTCGAGGTTCAGATTTCAATGGGGGTTGTCCCCGAGTTTCTTGCCAGAAAGCTGGACCAAACAATCCAAACATCCATCTGTGGTTCTGGTGAAAACGACTCACCAAATGATGGCCCATGTGCCTTACGAAGGTCGGGCCTATGGTCCACCTCAGCATGCTGTGGCTATCGTGGCAGAATTGGTTCACCTCCCAATTGTCAGGAATCTCCTTTTTTTTCATGGGAAAAGCCATGCTTTTTCCCTGTCGATTTTCCCTGAAATCCAATGTAAAACCTGTGGATCTCAGCCCCAGACGCATTGGCCGTGAAATCCACCCCTGCTGCCAAGTCCGGCAGAACATCAGCACAGGACCTTGGGGAAGCGATGGAGAGATGGGAGTCTCCAAAAATCATCAAAATCCATGGTTGATCCATGGTTGATCCATGGTTGATCCATCATTTTTTTCCCTGTTGAAATGGCCATTTTGGTGGGCAATTGTCATCTGCCCTATTCAAATGGTCACTTGGGGGCTTTGGCCTATTAAAGTAGTCGGTGGATGGGAATTTTCGTTAGGCAAAGGGGGGATGTTGGAGGTATTGGAGGTATACCGGTAGACAGCATTTTCAGACAAAACCATGTTTCTTTGAACAAAAAAACTGTGACCCTATATTATCCCGCTGGAGAGGCATCCAAACATGGTGCATGTAAAGGGTTTCTCCCAGCAAGCATTGAAAACGGGAAAAAAAAGTCAGGATCAAAACTTGGCACCAAAAAGATTGGCTAATAGATGGTCAAACGTGGTCAAACTAAATATGTCAAATGACCAACTGTAGCTAGGTAGCTCGAGTGATTTGACCTTAATTACAATACTAATCACACCTGTACACATCCTTCATGCAAACAATTGGTAGGGATACCTTTTGGTGAACAGACATGGCTATGGAAAATCCCTGTCATAACAGTGTTCCAGTGGCAGTTTCCCGCCATGGGGCCGTTCTCCATCACTGGGGGCGTCCCAACCCAGCATCTATCAGCGCCAGATCTGAACGTATCCTGAAGCGATCCAACAGCATCTCTGGATGGCAGAGGGCATGTTGCAACATGTTGAAACCATCAGATTTATGAGAGGTTTAAAGTTCAAATCATGGTTTCGCCACTTCTCCATCTAACATCCTGAAGCGTTTGTAGGTTCTGTTATGTGACTGGGGCTCCAGTGAGTCAAGAGTTCAGGATCTGTCAAGCGTCGACAATTTAAAAAAAACGTGGGGAATAAGACTTGGGTGAAACGATTTCAAACACACCATATGTCAGAGCCAAAACATTGCATATATGGTATGGTCAGCCATCATGAATGGTTTTCCGAAAATACTGGGTACAACGGGGGAATGACCATCCCCTTTGATGGGTAATTAGATTAATTAGATCATCCAACCATCTCCAACCCCAGGCTGCCAGGTGCACCGTGTCTCATAGGCTGCCGCCAGCGTCACCAGAAAGGGCGCCTCTGCTTTGGGCTTCAGCTTCAAGACCTTGTCAAGGAGACTGGGCGTGGAGGGCAGGAGCAAAAGGCATATACTATGATATATATGTACACATATGTATAGATAAGCCAGTAGACATGTAGATGTAAATATATTAATGTATAGAAATATACATACATAGACATGTACATATATATAATATACACTATCTTAATATATTGATATATATATATATACATATTAAGAGATAGATAGAGATAGATAAAGAAAGAAAGAAAGAAAGATAGATAGATAGAGATATAGATAGATAGATAGATAGATAGATAGATAGATAGAGATAGATAGATAGATAGATAGGTAGATAGATAGAGATAGATAGAGATAGATAGAGATAGATAGAGATAGATAGAGATTTAGATAAAGATTTAGATAAAGATTTAGATAGAGATAGGTAGAGATGGATAGAGATGGATAGAGACAGATATTGATATATCAAACAATACAATTATCGATTCTTATCGTTGCCTATCACCATTAGTATCAATTAAAACCACCAACTCTCTAGAAAATAACAAAGTCCATTGGGATCATTATCCCAAATACTCCAAATCCAACTAGGATGGAAACATGTTTTAAAAAAATAATGACACCACCAACAAAACAACCGTACTTGCTGGTTGCTAACCCCATTTTCTATATGTATTCCGCCAGTTCTTGCTAAATAGCCTCAAGATTGTGGCTGATGTGGGTTTGTCTGAAAATGGAGTGCCCCCAGGATCCCAAGTGCTATCTTGAGTATCCCCCACGTCCAAACAAACCCATTAGGCCCATTTGATCAATGGAAGTGGAGGAGCAGACCATTCCCTCCTTCCAAAGTCTTTATCCCTCGGCTAGTTAAGTTGCTACACCACATCCACGGCCGCGTTCGCTTGTGGCACCGGACATAGCTACCTTTGTCAATCTCCGCCACCAGCTGTCCTAATCGATCTGACCTTCAACCGCGCGGCTAGTCATGTGATTCTGATAGAAGATTGGTCAAACACTCAGGGGCTTTGCTTGTACTGGATGGACAACAGGAAATGAAATGATCAGCGTGGCTGTGTAGGGGTCATTTAACACTGGTTGCCTGGTTATATTACTCAAACAGAACATATTAAGTTTTGAACAATCCGACTCTCCAAGTGTTGTGTCTCAATTGACCATCATTACCCCTCTACAAAACTGTCTCTGTGGAAACCTGCCGAAACAGTGAGTGGCCCAAAGCAAAAGGCCGCATTACATCATCCACCTTGTTTTTGACGGGATAATTGTCCCTCAATCAGGGGTGGAACACCAACTAGACTATTGTCTATAGTAGCATGCTAACAATTTCTCGTTTTGGATGTGGGTAACTCCCTTGTAAGTACCGCGCAAAAGTGGCTTTGAATTGTTTATCATCAATGCTTCGCTGCCGGCCCGTGGGACCGTGGGTCATATTGTGAATTTTCATCCCATTCGGCAAAATTCATGTGTCCGCACATTTTTTACATAACCAAAGAATGACATGGACTACCCCCAAAAAAAATACGCAGAAATTACATGACAAACATGACGGATCTGGGGGTTTCCCAAAATGGGGGATCTCCCCAAGTCACGGGCGAATCTGGGGTACAGCCCAGGAAACCCTGGGCATCCCTGGGCCACCCCCACTCCGATATGCTCCGGCCGTTCTGCTCGAGGGAAACAAGAATCTCGGTCATTGATGTGCCACATTTTGGGGAAACCATAGGAAACCCAATGCCAGAAACCTCCAATTGTGGAAGGTTCAAAATTTACCACCCATTTACAGTAGCTGTTTGATTGGGAATATGGATACCATAGGATACCCGGTAGGATACCCCCAAGAACTTCCCTCAAATCACTTGAAGGTACCTGAGTCATTGATGTGCGCATTTGGGTTCGTTGGATGGAATGCCATGTAGAATCAGAAAACTTTGGATCAATACCATCGGTCATCCCTTGTCTGGTTGCTTAATAGGATTTCCCACACTGAATAGTGATCCTCTCCAATATCCAATATATTGGATAGTATAATCCCATTAATCATCAACAGGGGTTTTGAACACTGCTCAATTGTCAATCCAAGTCATGATGTCCAAACCCTCTGGCTATCTAACCTGGCGTGGTTTATCTGAACCACCAATTTGAGGATGGTAAAACAAACATTTCTGCTACAGTAAGTCATGGTTGGAGAGGTGGGCCATTCCAATTCGCACCAAATAGGCATGCTCATTCTTCTATTGTTAAACTCAATACTTCCATAGTTTCTATTGATTAAGAACCGGTATGTCAACGGGTGGTTATAACATATCATGACTACAGTAATCCAACAATAAGCTGTCATGGTCCCCATAAATTTCATGTCTATTTCACGACCATAACCCTTTGGCAAATTCTCACAACTATAGAAATCACCCATTTTCGAGGGATGATTCATCGAACTACACGGGCTACGGCTTGCAGTACGCAAATTACAAACAAACTTACCGGAGAATATTAAATATTATCCATCATTCATCCATTCTTGTTGATGATTTTCCTATGATTAATCACTTTTAATCACGATTAGCAACCATAAAGCATTATTAACCATACATATATTACATATGGGTAAATTATAATATTTCACTAGTTAACCTGAATTCAGGCCATTTGGGGATGATTTCCCTTATTAGCCATGATTCCAGTTGGGTCGCAGTGAGGCCGTTATAATTTACCCAGATATGTATATATATATACATTATATATATATATATATCATATATATCATATATATCATATATATCATATATATATATATCATATATATATATATCATATATATCATATATATCATATATATCATATATATCATATATATCATATATATCATATATATCATATATATATATATCATATATATATATATCATATATATCATATATTAATATTAATGATATATTAATTTTTCATGATTTTCCCATTCTTAACCAACCAAGAACCATAGAAAAATCACCCCAGGCGTTTCCGCGTTTCCGGTGCGTTGCATCCGCCGGTGCCAAGTCCGGCGCATCGGCATTGGACAAGTCCGCAGGCTCGCTCACCACCCGCAGGATGGCCTCAGCGGTGCGATTTTGGTTGGGGGGAAACGGGATGAATAGCCATGATAGCCATGATAATAGCCATCAAAAACCATCAAAATGCCATGGAAATCAATTGAAATCATTGGAAAATCCCTAGAAAATCATTGGGAAATTGATATCATTAGTGATGATGATGATGATGATGATGATGATAATGATAATGATGATGATGATGATGAAGAAGAAGATGATGATAATGGTATCACATATGATAGATGATAGATGATATGATACCTGGGACCTGGGACCTATGATCTTTCGATGTGATATGATGATATGATGATACGATGATATGATGATATGATGTGATGTGATGCGAGATGAGATGAGATGAGATATTTACTGGCATTTGGGCGTTGTCTGAAAATGGGACTTCCGGTTCGATTGAACCAACAGAAGTAATAAAAATGAGACCGGCATCCAATTATAGCTTTCATTAATTCATGATAAATTCAAAATCTGATAAATCATGATGACATTACCATATAATATATGATTAGTTCAATAATATTATGAGTTCAATAATCAAATCCAATCATAATTTCCCAGAGTCATCCCCATTTCATCCGCGCATTTCCGCGCCTTCTCTTCTAAGGTGAGCTGTGAGGTGTGGACGTTATCCGAAAACCGGTAGACCTGGGGTCCATAAATGGGGGACAACCAGATTGATGGGATGGTTTACAATGGAAAATCATGGTAAAAACATCGGAAGATAACATGGATGATTTAGGGGTACCCCCATTTCAGGAAACCTTCATATTTATATATATATATATATACATATACATATATATATATACATATATACATATATATATATACATATATACATATATATATACATATATACATATATATATATACATATATATATATACATATATATATATACATATATATATACATATATATATACATATATATATATACATATGTTATGGGTGTGTCTGAAATTGCGCTGTACCGTAAACCTATGAAACACCCGATGTTCACATAAATCCCATCTTGAGCATTCAATCATGGTTGAGATAATGGATGACATTGATGGCTATTATGGTTGAGTGCGTGACAAATACTCTTCACCGACCTAATCTATACCATTGTATCATTGTGGTAATGCGTTCAGTATATAAGCGGATGTGGATGTACAAAGTATAGATAATGTAATATACTACTAATACTCGTATAGCTAACATACTCCATGAGCTACTATACTATTAGCCGTTCACTGCATTCATGATTGACCATGCTAATTGTTAACCATTGATTTATGGGTTTCCATTCGCCACAGTAATCCACCCGTTGGCCATGACCGTCCAGCGTTCACCACAGAGACCCGTTCACCAATCATTGTAACAATCAATTGTTAGCCCATAACATCCCATAATCGGATAACCCTAATATTAGTATTGATTATTATAATTATTCTTGAAAATAGTAATTGAATAAATTTGAATAACATCCCATAACCCAAAAAAATCAATCGTATTCAAAAAACTGACCGAGAAAACCTGGTTTAGTATTGGATGATATTGGATCTATTCATGGGGTCAAAGGGGGATATTTCAGATCAGGATGAGATTAACAACCATGGCAACCAACAACAGGAGGAAGGTCCAGAAATGTCCAGATCCTGCCAGAAACCCATTGCAGATGTGCTTTACTGGTTTGCGGAGCATCCCATCACTCGATTTAACCATGCACAAGATATTGGTAATGTGGGGATACCAAAAGGTGGTTGCTGAAGATCGGGTCACCAATCGCAGCTGTTCTGCAACCAACTTGAACAACTGTGGAAAAAAATACCATGCTTCGATGTGGCCCGGGCCCAGCCTGCGTCCCAACTGCCTCGGTCGTGCTCCCAGTTATCCATCCAACCTTCCAGCCGCTTCCCGAGGGGGCGATGGGTCAAACCTGGGTCCTGAAGTTCGTGAATCCCATGATTGGAGTACAAAATATCAACAACTACGCTGGTATACAAATATATATATATGTATATCATGAATCATGGATTATTATGGTATCAACCATTTCAGCAATCATCCTAAGTGTGTTTTTGTGGCTCATCCCAAGAATGTCTTCGTAAGAGGTCCCTTCAATACGCTATGGGTCAGCAAAAAATAGGATCCAATCTGGCTATCAGTTCACCAGAGAGACTCCCCGAGCGGTTGCAGGGATGCCCCGTCTTGCAAACATTCCCTACCTTCAATGCCCAAACATGCTCAAACCTGTGACCCCTGAAGATTGATTGAGTATATAAGTGTATATATATATATACTAAAGTCCAGTGACCCCTGCAGTTTCATAGTTTATCTCTCGAATTTCTGCTCAACTTCACCTCCTTCAGTGCTATAGCCCCTTTTCGCCTTTGCACGCGCCACACCCTTTCCCCTAAGTCACGAGCCATGTTCATGCTCGGCGGCAATGGCTGAACTGCCAATAAATCCTGCGATTCCCGCTACCGTCAGCAGTTTGCCGATTGTATATGGGGTCGTCGAACAGGACATGTCCAAGCAGACAGTTTTGTCAAGGGACCTTCCCAACCTGAGAAACTAGAAGCTTGAATCACCAAAACCCTCAATTGGCGCGGAACCCAAACCGCCTTTCCATCAATAAAATCATCTTCAATACCAATCTTTGGACGTGTCTGCTCCTACCAACTCAGATAGAATTGGGGCGAAAAACTGACTGAATAAAGGGGTAAAGCATGATAAAACGAGCCATTTCTTCCCTTGTCCATGGCGGGTTCGCCGTTCCCAGTCCGGCAGGTCGAGCAATTCGGAACGCATGGAATTCACTGCATCTTTGGAGGAGATACCCACCTGCTGATGGATGCAGCAGATGCAGCAGGTGAATCCCATGCTGAATGAATAAACTTTGAATAATAGAGGAGGGCAGCTGCATTCCCTCCTGTCTTGTATAGACATAGAATAGAAACATATATAGTTACATAATGTTACATAGACTATACGGACCGGGAATGACCGGTATATGTTAGATTCATCCGAGACATCTCCGCAGCTTCTCGGAAATCAGCAGGGTTCATATCCCGTGGTGAACTTGCTTCCCCAGAAAATCAGATTGCTCCAACGTGTTCCAACCCCAAGGGACCTTAGAGTCCTTAGAGTAGAACTTCATTTGTCCAAAAGCGAGGGGGCCAATGGCCATGGTTTCCAAATCAACTCAGAATCGAGTTTCTGGCCTCTGCAGAAATCGTCAAATGAGCACACAGCTCAGACAAATCCTGACCGCTGTCGCAAAAAACAACAATAACAACGACATATTCCATGTTATTGTTGGTTTGTGAACAATTCCACTTGTATATCATCATTATTGTTTTTTTCTACGACCATGCGTCTCATGCAGATGCCCTGCATGTGTGTGAGACGCTTTGGCGCCTGGCTTATATGAACCTTTGTCTGGCAACTTGAAGAATAGATTGGTTTTGATACTCTGATCCAGTGTATTCCAGCTGGCTTCTGTTAGAATGAATCGACTCATTCGTGCTGTGTGCCCAGCTTTGCCTGGGTCTACCTACCTGCCCAGCTTTGCCTGGGTCTATCATTATTGTTAACAAACATAAATAATTCCATAACAGTTCCATAACCAGACTTCTTGTTATATTATCATGTTTGCATGTTCACAAAGCATCACAATTCCACTTCGGTTTTTGACCTTTGACCTCTAGCATCCAGCATCCATGGCTCTCTCAGTGGAGCCTCTTTGGCTTGGTTGGAAAATGCCATGTATTCTCGACTCTGTAAAAAGTTCACCTGGTACCTGGCATGCGGCAGATAAATGCCAGGAATATTTCCTGGTGGCCTCAGCCAGTGCGACATGAGTTTCAAGTTCTGGAGGATCACCTTATTGTTTGATCACCTGAGTTGAAATGTTAAGATTTGGAGGACTCAGTTTTCTAACATCTTCTGACATCTTCCGAATGGATAAAGGCTGTTGGATGGTATGAATATGGGTGTGTCTGAAAATAGTGTACCCCTAAACCCAATGGTTAATGATCATTATCCCTATTAAATGGCTATAATTGGGAATATACCCTATTTTCAGACAAACCCATATTCCTGGGCGCACTCCCCGGGAGGCAGGTCGTTGTACATCAGCAAGAGGCGATGCTCGGTCCTGGCGGAAGCAGTGCCGGTTTAGCAGGCGCTCGCCGTGCCATCCGGGTGATGAATTCAGTTTCTGGATCTATACCCTCTGATAAAACATGAAAAGACATGGGAAAAAACTACATATATATATATATGACATGATAGAACCAGGATTCTGGGGACTTCCCCCCAAAAATGTTCAGACCATCAACAACCTAACAGCTATAGTTCTTAGGGGACTTTCGATTGCCGGAAGTTCCGAAGTTATCCGAAGTTCCTAGTGGCTGCTGCACCCCACGGACGGCGCACCACTCCGCTGTTGCCACCGCCGCTTCCAGTTTGCCCACTTGCCGCTTCCTCCTTGGGCCAAAAGGCGTTGAACAAATCCCTGGTGGTTGACAAAAATAGATCTTGGTGGGTAAGATTGATCTCTAAGATCCAATTCCAAGTAATGATCCAACTAATGACCCAGGCAACCAACTACAAAAACAACCATATAATACTATATTATATATATATACAACAGCAATTCTCAAAAAAAATGGGAGTCCGTGTTAGCCACGTAGATGTCACCAACCATTAAAACAGTTGAAAATTATTGTCGATGCTGTAGTTTGTTTGAGTATGTTTGAGTCACCTGTGATAGAAGCGATGGCCAGCGCACAGCAGATTTTTGCAGATTTCACCAATTCAAAAAGCATGTCTATTGCCCCTCAAAATGCCCTCTCTAAAAAATCATGACCCAGGATGCCCTTCCCAAAAACGGAGAGCCGGGTTAGCCATGTGGAAAAAAAACTTCTTCCCCCCAAAAAAAAAACAACTTTCTTAGGGACAACCCGGGTTGTCCTATTTTTTAGAGGAAATTCCAAGAAAAATCCATGAATTTCACTGAGCTCAGCCCGACTTTTCTCCCATCCTGAGTTCAACCTCCAATGGAAGGAACGGAGGTTGCACTGACACCTGGCAGATCCGCAAGGCCATGGATCCATCCCGAAGAACATGCGCTCCGCTCCGTCAAATCAGGGCGGCACGTCGATGCGAACGGCAGCCATTGAGTCCACGGTGAGATCCACGAACCTCGGAGATCATATCCTCAAGGTGACTGTTAAGGTGACTAGTTGTAGCTTATGACTGGTAGTGACTCTTAGCAATTGATGACTTTTGGTGATCAGTGACCATTGTAGTGACTATTCTAGTGACTATTCTAGTGACTATTCTAGTGACTACTATAGTGACTACTATAGTGACTACTATAGTGACTATTCTTCTGCCCTCAGTCGTTAGTGACCATTATATTAGTGACATATGGGTCATAGCGAGTGCAGACATCATGGCACTTTCGTCCAAGGCACTTCGACATGCCCTGTGACATCCAAAGTGTCACCGGTGGCTGCTCCTTGGCTAAAGATCTGTTCCAAGATGGCAAATGACCATGCCAACGGTCGATTGCAATAAATGGCAAATAATCATGGATTGGTTTATTCCAGTCATAGGTACTAATAGTGTATATTTAATAGTGTATATTTAATAGTGTATCATAGTGTATCATAGTGTCATAGATTTACTATGGCAGATTTGGAGCTGGTGACTTTGGTGACTTGATTTCTGGCAGGATCTGGCAGGATCTGGCGATCGCTTCATCCCCGATAGAATCGAAACAGCATAGCAAATCTTAGGTTTTAGCAAAAATCAACGATCCATACGTTGACATTGTTTACAGGCTTATACATGTTTATACCACCCATAAAAATTGGCATATTTGGGGATGGTGGATCCTACTGCTGTATTTTCCGCACTAACTTGGTTCCGCACTTCAACTTCTTTGGAGATTTTCTTGGGCACGAGTCGTTTGAGTACCTGCCAGATATGTTCACTCCCTTGATCGGAGGAAAGGCTCAAAGGCTGCAAACAAGATGTACCATGGTCAACCTGGGATTTCACAGGGAATCCTAAATCCCATCAGATTTATAAGGAATCCCTTATGATGGCGTTGTCGAAATCTTATGAAAATAGATTGATGGCCACACCTTTATGGGTATAGAATCCAACTTCCAACAATCGCACATATGATGATCTTAGTTGGTTCCGCTCATAATTTGGACCCGATTCTGAGACAACATGTTTTAACCGTATTTTCCCTATGCTTGCATGGCCATCACTGGGGGCCCGGCATTCTGACACAAATCCATAGTCTCATATCTTATTGTCGGTTCTATCAAGTTCTATCTCATATTATGTGTATATATATATATATATTATCTCCCCTTCATGGCTGGTGATGCTACCTAGTTACGTACTTTAATCCCCATTTTGTTGCTTCTATGCACGCATCTCTGCCATGGTCAAGTTACATGGCTGAAAAATGGGGCCCCTGATCATCCCGCAACTCTAAGACTCTAAGAGATTCCCTATAATATCCTATAATTATTGTCATTATAATGGTGCATGTAGTATTAAACACGATTATCCTGTATTATGTAATATTAATCATATATTGATATAATTGATATTATATATATATATATCATGTGATTCTCATAGGTCATAGGGGATGTGCATGGATATATACTATCAAGATTGGTGATCCCCATCCCCCCATTGGGAAAATCCAGCCTTAAAAAGAACACTGTGGGGCACGTTGCCAATGTGATCGCTGGCGCTGCGTTGCGCCTCTGCGGCCGCCGACTGGTCCTCAAATTCACCGGTGATCAGAATGGTCTCAGGACATTTACCCCTGTTCGTTCGCATCCCTTCGTCAAGCATTTCACCTGACGCGTGGGGGTGAAAAGTTGCAGAGCTCGGAAAAAGGGTTGGTGAATTGGTTCGTGCAAGAAGTCACCGAACCTATGGTTTGGGCGTTCATAAATGTATGTATGTACTCTTGTTAACCCATCTTCATTTCAACGACTTCATGATCCACTCAGCCCTGAGCCGAAGAACTGCTAGCCCACGGACAAACGGGCCTCAGATCGACATTTGATCAGGCCGGAGGTGCAAATGAGGTATGGGCCTCCCCAAATGGCCATGAATTTGGAACAACCATGAGATTTTTGGGGACTAGCCTATGTTCAGGCAAACCCATATCATCATATTACAGTTATGACTACCGATGCTAGGCAAGCTCTGGAGAGGCCCAAATAATTATTTTGACTTTCAATCTGTGATTTTTCTGTAAGCTGAAACTGTGAGAAATCTGTGAGAAATCTGTGGGAAAATCAGGGTCTTCATTTATATATGTGAACAATTTGTGAGATGTACTACAGTCTGGGTGCGTGCATGTGAGCAAAGTGTGGCGTGTAGCAGACCTTTCCCTTACAGGTCCACTCGCGCTTCCCTTCGCATTCTTTCACTGCCTTGACACCCCCGTACTTCCTCACTTCATTTCTCCTCACATTTCCTTTACGCCCCACATCTCGTTCACACTTATCACAAATACTTTCACAATTCCCTCACAGACCCCCTCACACCCCACAGTTCCACTCACAGATCCCCTCACAGACCCCCTCACACCTCACAGTTCCGCTCACAGATCCCCTTACAGACCCCCTCACACCTCACAGATTTCTCACAGATTTTGATCACAGATTTCTCACTGATTTCTCACAGATTTATCTTGGCTTCCGCGCGTGAGCCCTTGGCACCCCACATCACGAAAGCTTCCACAATGTTTTTCAACTTTGGTGTATCATCGAAGCAGCCGGGTTCTGTGGCTGGTGGCCGAAAATTGCAATCAGATTGCAATTTTACCTAGTAAATTGCAGATTTTCTCACAGACAGCTTCCTTTGCGTGGTGAAAGGAATCTGTGAGAAATCTGTAATTTACCAGGTAAAATCGCAGTTTTAGGTCACTAACAAGAAAGCCCAGTTGCTTGAATCATCCACCAACAATTCAAAAACACAAGCTAAATCACAGATTTCTCACAGATTTCCTTCAGCCATGGGTAGGAAGAAAGCTGTGAGAAGTCTGTGAGAAACTTGTCAGAAATCTGTGAGAAATCTGTAATTTACCAGGTAAAATCGCAGTTTTAGGTCATTAACAAGGAAGCCCAGTTGCTTGAATCATCCACCAAAAAATCAAAAACACAAGCTAAATCACAGATTTCTCACAGATTTCCTTCGGCCATGAGTAGGAAGAAAGCTGTGAGAAGTCTGTGAGAAACCTGTCAGAAAACTGTGATAAATTTGTAATTTACCAGGTAAAATCGCAGTTTTAGGTCACAAACAAAAAAGCCCAGGTGCTTGAGTCATCCACCAAAAATTCAAAAACACAAGCTAAATCACAGATTTCTCACAGATTTCCTTCAGCCATGGGTAGGAAGAAAGCTGTGAGAAGTCTGGCAGAAATCTGTGAGAAATCTGTAATTTACCAGGTAAAATCGCAATTTTAGGTCCCTAACAAGAAAGCCCAGTTGCTTGAATGATCCACCAAAAATTCAAAAACACAAGCTAAATCACAGATTTCTCACAGATTTCCTTCAGCCATGGGTAGGAAGAAAGCTGTGAGAAGTCTGTGAGAAACTTGTCAGAAATCTGTGAGAAATCTGTAATTTACCAGGTAAAATCGCAATTTTAGGTCACTAACAAGAAAGCCCAGTTGCTTGAATCATCCACCAAAAATTCAAAAACACAAGCTAAATCACAGATTTCTCACAGATTTCCTTCAGCCATGGGTAGGAAGAAAGCTGTGAGAAGTCTGTGAGAAACCTGTCAGAAATCTGTGAGAAATCTGTAATTTACCAGGTAAAATCGCAGTTTTAGGTCATTAACAAGGAAGCCCAGTTGCTTGAATCATCCACCAAAAATTCAAAAACACAAGCTAAATCACAGATTTCTCACAGATTTCCTTCGGCCATGGGTAGGAAGAAATCTGTGAGAAGCCTGTGAGAAATCTGTGAGAAACCTGTAAGAAATCTGTGAGAAATCTGTAAGAAATCTGTGAAAAATCTGTGAGAAATCTGTGAGAAATCTGTGATCAAAATCTGTGAGAAATCTGTGAGGTACAAAGGGACCTGTGAGAAGATCCGTGAGAAATCTGTGAACGGATCTATGGGGGAGGACGGGACATGTGAGAAAATCTGTCAGATTTGCGCGAGAAACTCTGCGAGCAATCCTGTCTTCAGATTTCTATGGGTGTTTTTTGGCGCCTGGTATGTGCTGCATTGCGTCATCATCGCAGGATATGGCCATTTGAATTGTTCAATGTCCGATTTTTTCATGATGTACATACATGTATATTATATATATTTAGATTTACATTTAAACATACATATATCCGTTTAATCATGCAACATGATAGTACAAAATAAATGATTCCAATCTCACACATTCACTCACACGGTCTAAACTAAAACAAAAAAAACTTACAGTTTTCTTACACTTTCTTCTTACAGATTCTTCACACCCTTCCTCGCAGAAATAATTATTTTCAGTGTCCTCAGTGGTTAGCAGGGTTGGTAGTCATAATATTACAGTAATTACATCATATTGTTATATTATCCATATTCCGTCCGTGGCCATTTCAGGAACCTAAATTGGCGGTGCCTACCATACCTAAGGTTTCAATTTCAGGGCGAAAGTTCAAGGAATATTCCCACAACATAATGGCCTGAAAAATAGCAAATGCTACCCAGCACGGCCACACGTTGCTCAGCTTCCGACAGCATCTTGTGCCTTGGTATCTTGGCCAATCGTCCATGGCCGTGGCTCATGGTCATCAAAAAGTTCCGCCGGGTGGGGAAACATTAATTTGTATTTGATCTATGCATAGTATACATTGAGATATATATATATAGTATATAATATATATATATATATATGTAACAAAATATGATATATATATATATATATATGTAGAAAATATAGTATATATTTATCAATATATATATAATATAATATATATATATATATTTATTTATTTATTTATTTACATATATAAATATATACATAATATATATATAGAATATATTGATATACATTGTATATGATATACATTGTATATCATTGTACATTTTTGTGTTGTTTCACTATACATTGTAATTACAGTACATTGCATCATTGTACATTTTTGAACTGTTTCACTATGTCATACTATGTGTTATCGTGCTGGATCCCAACATAAGGTGTGTGTGTGTGTATTTCAATGTTCCCTGGTGAAGTTGCCCCCCTATCTTCCGGTGGCGTTTTTTCCCCACATCTTTGTGTGGGGTTCTTGTTTTTGGTTCTGTATCCCGCCTCCTCTTCCTCCGCCTCCGCCGCCTCCACACCATCTACTTTGTCACACACCATCTTTCTCACACCATCTCACTCACACAACTTTGTCACACACCATCTTTCTCACAGCATCTCACTCACACAACTTTGTCACACACCATCTTTCTCACACCATCTCACTCACATATATAATTTTGTCACACGCCATCTTTCTCACACCATCTCACTCACACACCATTTTCTCACACACCATCTTCACACACCATCTCACTCACACAACTTTGTCACACACACCATCTCACTCACACAACTTTGTCACACACACCATCTCACTCACACAACTTTGTCACACACACCATCTTTCTCACATCATCTCACTCACAGAAATTTGACACCATCTCACACCATCTCACTCACACAACTTTGTCACACACCATCTTTCTCAAACCATCTACAGAACTGCGTGGCAGGCGTGGCACTTGGCGACATCCACCTTCGTTTTGCGTGGCAGGCGTGGCACTGGGGGACTGGGTTGGCTCTGGTCGGGGCGCCGCGCCACTTTGCGTGGCCAGCGTGGCACTTGGCGACATCCACCTTCATGTCGCGTGGCAGGCATGGCACTTGCTGACATCCAACTTTGTTTCGCGTGGCAGCCGTGGCACTTGCTGACATCCACCTTCGTTTCGCGTGGCAGGTGTAGCACTTGGGGCACTGGGCTAGCTGTGGTGGCGCGCTTTGGTCGCCCGGGGCGCCGCGCCACTTTGCGTGGCAGGCGTGGCACTTGGCGACATCCACCTTCGTTTTGCGTGGCAGGCGTGGCACTTGGTGACATCCACCTTCGTTTCGCGTGGCAGGCGTGGCACTTGGGGCACTGGGCTGGCTCTGGTCGGGGCGCCGCGCCACTTTGCGTGGCCAGCGTGGCACTTGGCGACATCCACCTTCAGTTCGCGTGGCAGGCATGGCACTTGCTGTCATCCAACTTTGTTTCGCGTGGCAGCCGTGGCACTTGCTGACATCCACCTTCGTTTCGCATGGCAGGCGTGGCACTTGGGGCACTGGGCTGGCGCTGGTGGCGCACTTGGGCGCGCTTTGGTCGCCCGGGGCGGGGCGCCACTTTGCGTGGCAGGCGTGGCAGGCGTGGCAAGCGTGGCACTTGGCGACATCCACCTTCGTTTTGTGTGGCAGGCATGGCACTTGTGGCACTGGGCTGGCAGTGTGGCACTTCGTCACACACCATCTTTGACACACCATCTTTCACACACCACTTGGTCACGCACCTTCTTTCACACACCATCTTTCACACACAACTTTGTCACACACCACTTTGTCACACACCATCTTTCACCAGACCATGTCACAGACCATCTTTCACACACCATCTTTCACACACCATTTTGTCACACACCACTTTGTCACACACCATCTTTCACACACCATCTTTGACACACCACTTTGTCGCACACCATCTTTCACACACCATCTTTCACACACCGTCACAGACCATCTTTCACACACCATCTTTCACACACCACTTTGTCACGCACCATCTTTCACCACACCATCTTTCACACACAACTTTGTCACACACCATCTTTCACCACACCATCTTTGACACACCACTTTGTCACACACCATTTTTGACAAACCTTCTTCACACACAACTCTGTCACACACCATTTTTCACCACACCATCTTTGTCACACACCATCTTTGACGCAGACAACATTGTCACACACCATCTTTCACCACACCATCTTGCACACACCATCTTTCACACACAACTTTGTCACACACCATCTTTCACACACCGTCACACACCATCTTTCACACACCATCTTTCACACACCACTTTGTCACACACCATCTTTCACCACACCATCTTTCACACACAACTTTGTCACACACACCATCTTTGACACACCACTTTGTCACACGCCATCTTTCACACACCATCTTTCACACACCACCTTTCACGCACAACTTTGTCACACACCATCTTTGACACACCGCCTGTCGCACACCACTTTGTCACACACCATCTTTCACACACCATCTTTCACACACCATCTTTCACCAGACCATCTTTCACACACCGTCACAGACCATCTTTAACACACCATCTTTCACACACCACTTTGTCACACACCATCTTTCACCACACCATCTTTCACACACAACTTTGTCACACACAACTTTGTCACACACCATCTTTCACACCACTTTGCCACACACCATCTTTCACACACCATCTTTGACACACCGTCACAGACCATCTTTCACACACCACTTTGTCACGCACCATCTTTCACCACACCATCTTTCACACAACTTTGTCACACACCATCTTTCACCACACCATCTTTCACACACAATTTTGTCACACACACCATCTTTCTTTGTCACACACCATCTTTCACATACAATTTTGTCACACGCAACTTTTTTTTACTTCTCGATCCTCCACCACCTCCTTTGTCTTTCCTTCCTTCCCCGTCCCGCTACAACAAAAATTGGTGCTCATTTTTGGGAGAAGTTGACTGGTGGGGTTGTCCGGTCCTTTAGTTCTCCACTGAGCTTTGCGCTGGATGAGAAGCAGATTTAATGAAAAGGTAGAGCACGAAGCCAAGGGTGTATTGCCAATGGCTCGAATGCTCAACCTTGGTGGTCTTGGATTGGAGGATCTCAGGAGGAAAGTCCACTTTAGCAGCAGAAACCTTGTCCACATATAAAATCAATGGTGCCCTCCAACCTCCGTTCCATGCTCATGGTGTAAAAATTGAGCCAAGTGAGTTTTGATGAGTTTTGTCTGAAAATAGGGAACCCCAGTTGTTGTCATGCTTTCTCATTCTCAATAGCCATTTGATGGAATTCCTTGGTTTCAGGTGCCAAAGTCCAAGTGCAAGTGCATCCAATAATCGGTTATTAAGTTATTAATATATCCACTTATGGCCCGATGATATCCCACAAAATGGTTGCTTTTTAATATTATGATCGAAGGAAGTCTAGAAGTCAAACTTCCGACAATATGGACAGATGAAAAGCAGAGATGGGAAGATTCAGAGAAGAGAAGAGAAGAGAAGAAGAAAGAAGATCAAAGAAGAGAAATTCAGAAGAAAGAAGATCCAGGCGGGCGAAAAGGTAGGAAAGCGATTCACTGCGTTTTCCCAATGATTTGTGCAATGATTTGTGGTTCCGGAGGGTCGAAAAGTGGGCTCGCTAAAGCGGCAGATGCGGAGCCATGTGGCCAGATGAGAGATGAAAAGTTGCACGCAGTTGTGGCGCGAAGCGCGTTTGCAAGTGAAGAAGCTAAAAGCACCTCATGTTCCGAGCACTTTTGGAAGTTGTGATGTCGAAAAAGTGCACGCCGTTGTGGCGCGAAGCACATTTCCAAATCAAAATGTACAAAACACACCATGTTCGGACCACTTTTGGAAGTTGAGATGTCAAAAAAGTGCACGCCGTTGTGGCGCGAAGCACATGTCCAAGTCAAAATGTACAAAGCATTCCAGCTTCGGAACATTTTTTGAAGTTGAGATGTCGAAAAAGTGCACGCCATTGTGGCGCGAAGCACATTTCCAAGTCAAAAGTGAAAAAACTTAGGGGTTCGGAGCACTTTTGGACGTGGCCGGCGCAAGGGATTGTGCACCGTGTCAAAAGTGAGCAAAACGTAAGGGTTTTGTAACAATTTCATCTACAACCACTACACTTCACTACACTCCACTACACTTCACTACATTACACTACACTACATTACACTACAACTACAACCTACAACTACAACTACAACGCTACATTACACTACACTACACTAAATACGTTACACTACATTACACTACATTACACTACAGTAACACCACACTACACTACACTCCGCTTCTCTACACTACAACACTACACGCAATTACACTACACCGCACTAAAACCACAACTACAACTGCAATTGCAACTACAACTACACTACATTACACTACACTGCGCCAAACTACAACTATAACCTACAGTTACAACTACAACTACACTACCTTACACTGCACTAACGACATTACACTATACTAATTAAATTACACTACACTACATTACACTACAGTAACACTACACCACACTGCACTAAACTAAACTACACTAAACTACACTAACTACAACTACAACTGCATTACATTACACTACACTACACTAATTACATTACACTACGCTACACTCCACTACACTACACTCCACTACACTACACTCAATTACACTACACTACAACTACAACTACCACTACAACTACAACTACACTACATAACACTACGCTACGCTACACTACACCGACACCTACACCTACACCTTCACCACACTACACTACACAACACCAGACTACACTACACTACACGACATTACACTACACGACACGACACGACATTACACTACACTAAACTACACTACACTATACTACACTATACTACAACTACAGCTACAACTACAACTACGCTACTTTACACTACACTACACTAGACTACACTACCCTACCCTACATTACTTTACACTACACTCATTACACCACCACAAATGCAACTACACTACACTAATTACACTACACCACAACTACAACTCCACTACACTACAACTACAACTACAACTGCGCTACACCACACTACATCCAGCAGTTGTGGGTGAGGTGACCGACTAGGTGACCACTGCAACCATTGTAACCACTCCAAAAAACACAACTCCAACCACCTTTCAGTCCATCAGTGGATTTGCTCTGCCATCCGTGATTCACAACAACCAACCTCTCCTATAGGTTCCCTATTCTGAAACTTCCGCCACCGCCTTGTGCGGTACTACTGGTACTATAGATACTATAGTATATAGAATCCCTCATGTTTCCGCCTAATGACTGTTTAGCATTGTTTAGGCCTATGGTCCAGGCCTAAGTATTGAATTAATATTGTCATGTGTTGACCAACATTTACCACAAATGACCGGCGGGTAATCTTCGGCAGCCAGGCGTGACTAGATAGGTCCCCGCATCCAGCGCCAGCTCGATGCCATCCTGATTTCTGGACAGAATCGCCTCGGGGTCCGCGGGGATGGGTCGATATCATCGATCTTTACCTCAGAAAACCCATTGAATGTTGGAGAAATTTGGACAGCATTGGCAGATATTGAAGTCGATGCTATGAAAATGGCTATTCAGCATCTTTATATCTTTGGCACGCTTACACTTGTTCATTTCCACTTTTCGGGTCAAAGCTGTCAAGAGGCATCAAACGAGGCACCTAGTGACCTAGACACTAAAGGGTGATGCCAAAACAGGAAACTTACCGATGACGAGGTCCAGACCTTTGGGCGTTGCTCATATTAGGAGCTTCGGAAAAGCCACAAAATTGGCAAGTTTTCTGGCTGCAAACCTTCCCAGCACCATCCAAATTCATCCGTACTGGAGACCCTGTGTAAATCTACCCATTCTCAACACACGGTCTTACCGGCGCGCGGAGTCGTGTCCTTTTGAAATGTAGATTTATAGAATAATGTTGCTGCTAAAACATCCCATCAGCCAGGTGAAAAGGCCGCTGCACCATCTGATCCAAGATGCCAAACCAGTCTGCATGCGTGTGACCCATCTGCGTCAGCAGAAAGGCGCTTCGGTCCACATTAAAATGGATCTCCATGGGTCGAGGCGACATCTTGGGAAGTCGTATCAGCAGCATGTCATGCGACACGTTGGACATCTTCCAAGTGCCTTCAGACCAATTGCCTGCCTTTAACACACCATTGGCCTCGAAGCGGAAGAACCCAGCTGAGCACATACCCAGGGTGGTCACTGGCTGTTTATACAGCAAGAACAGTTTCTCCCAAAAGTTAGGAGCAATGGCCTTTCCCGAAATTTGGGTGTGGCGATTTTCGCAGACTTTGCCCTCAGGCCGGGTTTGTTTCACAAACCAGGTGCGATTCGTTCGGGGATCCCATACCCGGTGGTCGTACTCCTTGCCATCCGCCCCCAGGCCGATATTCTGGCAGCTCATCATACCGGCAGACTCCAGTTCCGTCACAGCTCGTTCCACCTCGTCCGTCCAGGTATCGTGGAACACCAAGTGCTTCAGATGCGGCAAGTAGCGCAGTGCATTCTCTGCATCCGCGCGCACGTATTCATACCCGTGGTTGGCGTCAATGACCACCACATCCACACGGTTGCCCGCAAAAAGGCTCCAACCATCGACAAACAGGTCCATTTCCAGAAATACCACTTTTCTTTCGAGCTTTCCTAAGGTATCTGCCGCCTTCTTCAAGAATTCCTGTTTCAAGTCCACCGCAATCACTTTCTTGAACATGCTGGCCAGTACTGCAGTGGTGTGACCATGGTATATTCCAAGTTCCAGCGCTGTCATGCTCTCAGACACGCCACAGAGATGCTGCGCCAAATGTCTCTTGTAGGAGCGAGAAGTTGTCGCCTGGTGCTGGGACCGTGGGAAGATCGCGAATAAAATGGGCACGGTCACTAATCATGAAGACTTTATTTCTAGGGCAGGGCTGGAGAACCAATAATCGCATCATGTTGGCAAAATGGAAACATGTTCAAACACTTGGAAAGACTTGAAAGAGTGAGAAAAAATAAATACGGTATTCGAACCGCCAACCAGTCACAGGCTCTTGCAAATTGCTGGGTGTTGCGCTAATCACCTCATCCGCTGCACGAATGCAGGAGCTCCTGTCGACACCGCTGGCCAGCACAAAGGAGCAGAAACCGATCGCATTGAGCATCATCTGATCAGATCTGATCTATCAATCTTATCAGCAGTATTTTCTGAGAAACGACGTTGCCAAACAAAAACCTGGATGTTGAAATTGATGCATTCAAGATGGCTGCGATGTTCTACAGACTTGTTTTCTAGCTACTGTACTTGGTTGGATTGTGACAACAAGCTGTGCATCTCAAACGGTCTTATGTGCCAATGATCTGGGCCACTTTGGGCTGCTAAACGAGCGTGCAAGCAACATGTCAAGGATCCAGGTTCTTTAAGGCTTAAAAAAACTCCACCGCTGCTTTCTGGACGGAAAAACATATGGGTGGGGGGTCCTAGGGGTAGCCCCAAATCATCCATGTGTTCCCCAAACAGCTCTCGAACTGATGGGGTTCTGAATTCTTGCTGAAACAAGTTTTTTGCCATCATGATTCAGATCCTGCGTGATAGAGGTTCCGGCGCTAAAGAGGCCCTTTGCCATCATGATTTGCTGGTTCCAGTACCAGTTCCGGCGCTTAAGAGATCGTTTGCCATCATGGTTTCCTGGGATCCGGTCTACTGGTTTCGGCACTACAGGGTTCCGGTGCTAAAGAGATCTTTTGCCATCATGATTTCCCGGGATCCGGTCTATTGGTTCCAGCGCTTAAGAGACCCTTTGCCATCATGATTTCCTGGATTCCGGTCTACTAGTTTCGGCGCTTAAGAAACCCTTTGCCATCATGATTTGCTGGTTCCGGTCTACTGGTTGCGGCGCTTAAGGGACCCTTTGCCATCATGATTTCCTGGGTTCCGGCCCACAGATTCCGCCGCTAAAGAAACCCTTTGCCATCATGATTTCCTGGGTTCCGGTCTACTGGATGATTCAAGACATGCGGGCAAAATGCGCTATTGCTGTTTGGGGTCTATGCTGGTGTAATTTAGTTAGTTCTCTATGAACCATTGGTTGTTGGGGTCATCCCCCATGTATGGAAACCCCCGTAAAAGGCGAGCTCCACAAGCGCATTGGCCTCGGCCCCTTGACATTGCCTGAGGCTCTAGCATTCGTGTCCATTGACTTCACCTGAGGTGCTGTATTATGTGGTTATCTATCTATCTAATCTAACCTAACCTAGTCTAATCTAATCTAACCTATACAATCAAATCTATCTATTCTAGTTATATTCGTTTACTTCCTTGTGTACTTATTTACTATTCATATGTGGGGCCTGATGTGTACATGTATCATTCACTGGACCCTACAGCTTTACGGTTTCGGAAGGGGATTCCCAGTGGATTTTGATGATTCCCCACTAGAAGGAACAATGATCATATGATTCATGGGGATTGTTGATGATTTTGATTGTATTAGAATCATCCCCAACATATGATTATGATGATATTATTATTATTATGTTAATTAATATGATAATTAATATAATTGATGATGATTATTATTATGATAATCCAATAGATCAAGGGTATATTTTTCTTCAGCCCCGAACTGTTCGTCAGTCGACCCATTTCCTGGAGCAAAAGCCGTTACGGTGTTACTCCCGAACATCACCAACAATCGTTCCAAAGCTCCGAAAATATCAATCCATCCCCACAAAATACATCAAAATACACTTACCAGCAAAAAACACACAAAAAAAATACAGACATGATCTAACAATATCTAACATGTCTAGGTTCCAATCAGTTCCAATCAGTTCCAAACAGTTCCAAACGGTTCCAAAGGGTTCCAAAGGCCTTGATAGTGAAGCTGGCATCCTTGGAGGTCGCCTCAATGTCTGCGCATCCTCTCAGTGATTTATGACCCTTAACAGCCTTAACAGTTATAGTCGGTATAGTTTGATATGCGCCATTTAATCCAAGATGATCCAAGTGGCTTGTCATATGTTTCATCAATATTCATCAATCTAAGATAAAAGCCGTTAAAACCACCTGCGATTCGCAGGGAATGCGCATCCAAGTATGACATTTGTGGGATGTTGGCTGCGCAAGAAATGAAAACGCTGTGAACCCAGAGGAAAACATGACAAAACTACACTAGCTTTCAAGATCAAAGTGTGAAGAATCAGACATGTGGGTCAAACCACTGGAAATGTGGCTGACATCACCAAGAATTGGGTTCTTGTAAAACATACAATGATGGGAAGTCAAAAAGAAAATATGGTTGCCAATGAATGAAAACCAAGGGCTCGGGGAACAATGAATGGACTCGTCGTAGAATTCCATTCCATTTTTCCAAACCTATACATTTTACCCATGCTCATTGAATGTACACATTCAGTATCATTATTGCTCGTAATATTTGTTCAAGAGATTTCAAGAGCGTTTTGACTTAAGCCCTTGGGATTCAGATGAACCGCCCCTGTCCAAACAAGGATGATTTAGCTAATCATGCCCAATGCACTGCCTTGCACAAACCTTCTTTTCTCGGATGTCCAGCAGCGGTGAAAACTCGCGAAATCATCGGGTCGGTGGTCATAGTCGGGAACCCGGTTCTCCGTAGTTCTCCGTCGGATCTTGATCCAACTGATCTTGTGAGCAGCTATCTATCCTGATGTTTTTCTTATCATATACAAATCTGGTTGGTGGTTTCAACCCCTCTGAAAAATATTAGTCAATGGGAAGGATTATCCCATGGATTATGGAAAATAAAAAATGTTTGAAACCACCAACCAGAAATGTTCCTCCTTGCGAAGGGGTTGCGTCCACTGAAGCGGCTTCAATTCGGACACAAATTGAAGGCAGTGGCCTTCTCACCTTACCCACTTCAGGAGCCGCGATCTGTGCCTCCCTTGGCACCGGGGCTAAACAACAACGTCCAAACGTGCGTCAGCAGGTGAAAGGTGTAGATGGCGTACACCACAGCGATCCCAACTCCTGCAGAGCTGCAAGGGGTGTCCCTGTCTAGCTACAGTGAGCGCGCAAAGAACCACGAAAAATCTAGCCAAGCTCAGCAAAAGGATAAGAGAGGTGAATTTCATTAAGACATGGAACATAGTGGGCACAACAATGAGAAACCAACTTGGCAACTTGGGCCTCCCATGATGCCTGCCTTGGCAATCCAAGCAAATGATGCAAAATGTGCTGGTTTCCGCCACCCCCCCGTCCTCCCAAGTCTTCAATCTGTCCGTTTTCCACGTCAATGAGATCGATTCGGACTTGCCGCACAAAGAAGATGAAAACGAAAAGAGTCAAGGGCAGCGAAAATCCGCTGATGAAGTACCACACCTTCTTGAACCTGACACTCTTCAGCCATTCGCTGGCACACTGGAACGGGGGGAAGCTGGAAAAAATCAACATGGCCGTGTCATTTCAGTTGTTTGATGATTTTCGATGTCTATGAAAACCGCTCATGATTCTTAATGATTTGAATCCTGACACAAATGATGGCGAAAGTCAAAATTGGAGTTTCAAAAAATGGGATGACCAATGCTACTCAAAAACAACAAAAAAAATGTTGTTTGTCTGGCCTTCTGCTGTCCTCATCCTCAAGCCTGCGATCCAACAAGAGCCGTGCGGGCCACATCTCTTGCACGAACTTGGCGTACCTGAGCCCGCTGTGAATGGGAAATCGACCAGGACACCACGTTTTTTTAGCGTCAATCTATAATATGGTAAATGGTAAATCATCGGACTACGTGAGCGTCCTGTAATTTTTGAGATGTCATCTGTTGAAACCAATTGTGTGAATGGACCGAAGGTCATGAAGCTGGTGGGATAAAATCTGAGACCCCAATGGACCACAAATAGTCTGGCGATCTTTCGTAGTAAACAGTATACCATCGAATATTAGGGTACCCAAGTTTGACCACAAGAATACGATGGCAAACAGTAAATAATGGGTTTCAATGGATGATACTGTACGTTGTCCAGGAAGAGAACCTGAAGTGACCACCCAACAATGGCGAGTTCCACAGTGAGGTTGGGAGTTTCCTGGCAACTTGTTTATTCCTTCAGCCACAACACCATCTCGTCCACTCTTCCATCTCTGAAACTTGGGAAGCCAATCATCAATTGAAAAATGTCGTCACAATTCAATATGTCAATCTATCTACCTACTTCTCTATCAAACAATCTATAGATTCTGTCAATTACTGATTCAATCCTCATTTTTTGGTGTGATTCACAACTCAATCCCCCTTTTATCTGTTTTTGTGGAGCTTGGGCCTTTTCCCTTCACTAACTTCGCCACGCGACTGGTCCGGCTTCGCTTTGCTCAGGAATTGGTCCGCCCTCTCGAGCAAGCTGGTGCCGGCCTCAACCTGCGAACTCAGGAGAAGCGGAGAAACTGGGAACAGGAAGATTCAGCACGACGCTGAATCTGAAACTTGGATAAGAAATGAAATCTTAGTATATACTTAATATATACTTAATATATATTTAATATATACTTAATTAATCTTAATTCAATTAAATCTCAGAAAAATCAACTACGCAAAGAATCTCAGAGCTTGTAAAAAAATGAACCCACATGGCCCAAGGTCAGCTTCTCAACACTTTCTTGAATCGGGGATCCGCAATAAACCATCCCCTAAAATATGGTGGTTCATTATTGAGATGATATGATGATGTAAATATAATGTATAAGTACACAAATGGTTTCGAATTGGGGATGATTGATTTCTTGTTGTGGATCACATTGATGACTATCAGAACTGGAAGAATTTTGAACATATGGCTTCCACGTCCGACGCTTTTTATGGGAAAATGAGGAACCCCAAAATCCCATCAAAGCCCAAGGGTAACCTCAAATTCACAGCAAGTTGTCAATTTCCCCATCAAAAGTGCATAAAGTTATCACAAAAATTGGGGGTAAATCATGGTAAATCCATATCAACCAACCCCCAGCTGCCTTGCTCCCCTCTGGATTCTGAGCTGCATTCACCAAAGCTTCATAGACCTGCTGCGAGGTGGCCTTCGAGGGAAGATGCAGCCTCACGAGGCGTCTCCAATATCTCCCATGGATGGTTTGCCATCCAAAAAAGAGGGCTGTAAAACCAATAGAAACCACCAACCACAATGGGGTTATCATGGAGATGACATGGGATGTCTGATATTCATGATATGGCTGTGTCCAATGGCGGTTGTACAACTGGTACAACTGGTGCTGGACGTTGGGTATCATATTGCCACATTTTCTTCATTGAAATCAAGCCATTTGGGGGGGTCCCATAATAGATGGTTTACGATGGAAAATCCTATTAAAATTGATGATTTGGAAATACAGTACCCCTATTTTACGAAACCTCCATGTGTGTTGTTGGCATTTAATTTGTTGGCCACATCTCAAACATGTCCATGTCCACTGCATTTTCGTTATCAAAACTATGGAACATACCATGGTTAAAACATCACCGGAAGCATCCTGATTGAAATGGAGACCGCGACTGGATACCCTCCGGAATCAAACACGGTGATGGACAAATCCCCCATTTTTTGGAGGGCTGGATTTTAGATGCTCCCATTGAAAGCTCCATTTACGGGGGATTTCCCATTGCCATGTTTGACCGGAGGGTAAACTATGGTAAACTTGGATCTGGGTCAGCAATCAAACTCTATCGTGAGCATTTCAATGGCTTCACCCAGCCTTCATGGAACGTGCAGCATCCCTCGATGTTCGTTGTTTCGTTGTGAAATCATGTATAGTCATTGGAATCGACGTGTGGATATGGGTCAAGAAAGGTATCCCCAAAACATGCGCCGTTCATTTCATGGTTGCCCATCAGCATTCATCGGCAATCCAAGTGACCCGTTCTCCACAGCTTTGGAGGCTGCATCTTCAGAAATCACCACCATGTGATGCATCAAACACCTTAGCTTTGAAATTTGGAACCATCAGACGCCTCAAGGCAATGGGTCTCCATCTTCGCGAATGTGCGACCAGCATCAACTGTGACTTGCACTGCATCAATTCTTGGCTAGTCGCTAGTCAGGATGACATCATTCACCAACCCCGCCCTATTCAATCTATTCCCCTGCGCATCTTGGTAGCTGAACGCCATGAACTGACTGCAGAATTTGATCTGGGAATCCAGACTTTGCAGCTTGCGGATCTTCTTCCACATACTTGCTCAGAGGCAAGAGTTGATTTTCCTCGCCACGAATGCCAAGGGGAGCTTCAAAAAAGGAACAACATAACTCTCAGGTTGATTGAAAGTTGGCTTTCCCATGCTTTCCCCACGGATATCAATCGGGTTCGCCATGTCCCCCTCCGCACACCAAGCGTCTGTATCATAGGCTGTCGCCAGAAAGGCCAGAAATACGCAGGAGTGGGCCAAGTACCGGGTGACTATGGTATTTATGAAAACCATGAAGTCCTTAAAGCCTTGGATCTCTGATCTCAGGGGGGGACCATAAAAAAATGAGCGTCATATCAGAAATCCCAATAGATTCCCCCTTAAATGGTCGAAAAATCAATGGGAAAATGTGTTTTTTTATTAAAGAAAAACATCAGCTCAAATCCAGGATTCTCTTCTCATCATGGTGAAATTGCCAGGCCACGATCAGGCAATGTGACAGGGAACATACCGTTAAGAGAATGAAGAGAGGATCGTGGATGGGGGACACGGTCTCAAAGTCCAGCATCACGCCTCGCCGCAGCATGACGTAGTAGAGCCTCAGGGAGAAAAAAAGATTAAACAAAGGCATGGGGGTCCAAAGAAACCAAGCTGCAAAACTGCAAAAGTGTTACATACTCATATATATATATATACACTCTATTATCATATTATGTATGTGTATATATACATGTATGTATATATATATATTATCTGTGTGTAACATATGTACAGTATGTGGACACTATACAAATAGGTAGATTTGTGACTTCTTTCCATCTTTACGGTTTTAATGTTGAGCACATCCGCTTCCCGGTTCCCCTTCGGGCCTTTGTCGTGCGATTTGGCGAAGCGCAATGAGCAAAGAGATGACCATGGCCAGCAGAACAAAGGAACGCATGCTGGCTTTCCTTGGCGTGCTAAAATTCAGTGGCTCTGGCTGAAATGGCCTATGAATAGAATGGATAAATATTGTAGTAAGATGAAAAGACCTGTGAAAAATGTGAGGAAAAAAATCAGCTAGATACCATGGATTGAATTGGGGTGCAATTGGGTTGCAATCATACTTTTGCTATGAACAATACAGTATTGATACCAGCATCCAGAAGCAATGGAAAAATATCCAAGCGTCGTGCATTCACAGGCCAGCGCCACGGCGATGGGCTGCTGGCGACTATCGCATTTCACGAACAAAGTGTTGGAGGTATAAACCGTCAACGTGATGACGCCCAGTGCAGCATACTGCCCTGCCACGCTGATGATGGTGGTCAGCAAGAGCTGGAACGGTTCACCCCGCTGGTGCCACTCAAAAGGACGTTCGAGAGCCTGCGGCCAGAGGGATGGGTTTGTCTTTTTGTCGGGTGGGCTCGGGATTTTAAATTGTGTATATATATATATATTACATATATATATAATTATATATATATATATAATATTATATTATATTATATTATATCATATCATATCATATTATATCATATCATATCATATCATATTGTATTGTACTGTACTGTATTATATTATATTATATTATATTATATTGTATTGTATTATATTATATTATATCATATTATATATATTGGTATATATTGGTATATATTGGTATATATTGGTATATATTGATATGTATATTGTATATATTTATAGTCATGTATATACAGTGAAGGCCTTTAGTCACATCAACTTTTTGGGTGCAGCATAATTCCTATGCAGGGAAGTCGATGCGACCCCTTCACATCATGGTCACATCAACCATGCCAAATCGCTTGGGGGACGCTGTTAATGTTTAGGAGGTTGGCTAACCATCTGATAGGTGATACTTCTTGTACCGTGATCCTTCTATGTGCGGCTGAGTGGCCAATGTTTGCTTGCTTTGTCATTAAAACAGAAACTAGTATATAACTTGCAAGTAGTTCTCAAAAGTTGCAACTTTGCTTTTTACATAAACGATTGAGCAAATGATCTATGGAGCAACTTGTTCTCACAGTTAAAACTTTACTTTACACTACTTCATAATCAACACTGAGCAAATGATCTACTGCGGTTTTGCAACAAGATGTGGGTATATCACAAAACTGACTTTCATTAAATCATGTCAAAACCTTGGTAAAACCCCCTTGCTAGGCCTACATTCCCCCAGCGAATCTCACCTCCGCATGCTCCGGCGTGCCATAGCTGGCCGAAGCCTTTGCAACGGCACCTGGTTGCGACGTTTGCGAGGCGCTGGACGACCATGGCCACATCAGCAGCTATCTACAGCTGCTGAGCACAGTTTTAGTAGCGAGAAAATGGCGTGGGTTTCACTCTCAGATGGCCTCAGCTCTGGAGATTTGAGCCTGAGACTTGAAAATCATCACGGCGAATCCACGACCATGGTTGCTTCTCTTTGTCCCCGTCTACTGCGAAAAAAACACCAAAACATCAATCATCTGGGAAACCCAATGCCATAAACCTACCATTTTATACGTTTGGGGATGGTTTATACCACCCACTCATGGTGATTTTGGGGATGGTCATGGACCTCCCAAACCAAGGTTGACCCAGCTCGAGCTCGGCTCGGCGAGCCGGCCTTGATTCGCAGCAGCCGCGAATCCGCCACCTATGCCGTCGGTGGAAATCTGAAGAAATCTGAAGGGTGGCTTTGAACTTAGTCATGTCTGGCGTGCTAAAAAATCTACAAATCAACTTTCAGTTCGATTTTCCCATGGCCACAAGGAAGCTGCAAAAAAAAGACCTTCCAGAGCCAAGCCTTCACTGTGATGCTCTGCTTCCCCTCGGAGGGTACCATGTATTCCGAATCGATCAAGACCTGTTTGGGTTGGAGGTCCGTGGAGGTTCGTCTTGCTCTTTCCAAACGATCTAACAATCTTATCATCCAATCATATCTAATCTAACATGACCCAATCTAATCTTGTCTCATCTCATCTTGTCCTATTGGTCCTATTGAATATCTTCGATCTGGTCTAGGTAAATAGAGCTATCAAGATCATCTTGGCCCCTTTTGCCCTAAAAAATGTCTCCTTGCTTTGGCATGATGTGAGCCTAATTTCCCTCATTTGAAAAATAACCTGAGACCTCTCCCGGTCACCATGTCTGGTGACAATGCACCTGCTCATCTGCCTGCGGCGACAAGGTGTCGGGCATCGGCACACGCGTGGACCTCGGAAATCCGGTGATGTCGATGTGTACATTTCACCCCCCCTCAGTAAACATGTTTGTTAATCATATGGCTGTGGGTCAACAGTTGCTACAGTATCCACAAAATTACAAAATTCCATAAAAGCCTTTATGAATATCAAAGATGAATAATAAAAAATAATCATACAATAGTAACACCAATAATACCAAGAATGCTAACAATACTAATAATATCTTTAATAATGTGAATAGTACTAATAATAATGAACAACGTCTGTGGTCCCTGGGCCTTAAAATGTCAGCCATCAGATCCACCGATCCAAGATCATCCCACTCCGCTGTTCCACTCATCGCGCGCGATCATCGGGCGTTGGACACTTCGATGACGCAGTTGGCAGGACTTCTCCACGGAATCATTTGCTACGTGTACAAAGTGTCCAAATAGATGTATATTACAAATATTATGTATGTATATATATACAGTATATACGTACATGTACATCTATATCTACATGTACATGTACATGCACATGTACATCTACAAGTATATATATATATATATTTGTGAAAAGTCATGAACTTTGATCATATATTCGACATAGATATCTCATTTGCATATTCAACGCGTCTCAGGAGCAAATGCCACCCCAAGTCACCTGCTCACCCCGAGAATGGCACCTCTAATGGTACCCTAATTCGCGCGACCAAAGTCTGCACCCAGGCGAATCGCCGGTGGCTTTTTTGAACGGCAGTGGTGGCACCATCTTTCAATTCATGGGGAGTTATGATGAGTTATACAACTCAATGAACTTAAATGAAGTTTCACTTGTTCTCAAGATTTCTCAGGCATGTTAGTGGAATCTATGGGGACCTGACATCATTGACCAAACAGCCTGATGTGCAGTCCTTGATCGAGCTGTGCAAGTCTTTTTTGTACACTTGCTCTTTGCAAGCACAGAATGCGGTATCATTTGCGTCGAAGCACAAGCTGCAGAGCAGCCCTTCCGCATTTCATAAGACCTAAGGAGGCATTGTCTGTGAAAAGTTCAGACTGTGCCTGTTTTCATCTGGGCATCGGAGTATGGGTCAAATTCTTAGACTCAATCCACAACGATAGATCAGCCCTGGATCAGCCCTGATCAGTTTGACGCGCATCAAAATTGATAAAAGTGTTCACGAAATTTCACGAATAACATCAGAACATTTTAGACTGAACCTGAATTGAATATCGCTTTTGAGGATCCAAAATTTGACCCGTACCCGTCGCACTTTGTGTCTGACTATCCAACAGATTTGCTGTGGCTCCACTAGCATCGAGCAAGGCCTGCTTGGATATGAGATTCGCGAGTGCTCGAGTCCTTCAATTTAATCTCAACTTCTTTTGGCCGCAAATCAAATTCCTCATGAACTCTGGAAACATTTGCCATCTGATCCTTTCAAACGTTTGACAATGACAGCGTTGATGTATCAGATATATTCAGAAACCTCTAAGGTCACCAACTTTTCTCATCGCTGCCAAGCCTTTTTCAGCACCTGGCCCTGAGGCGAAAACACCTCCGTCTCGGATCGCACTCGGCACTCGCCTAATACGGCATGAAGCGATCATCACCAAAGCCGCCAAAGTCATCTTCCATGGCGGCCTGGCCCAAGAAGAAATATCATCGGGATCATCGATTGGAACACGTCCTGAAATTTTCAGGCATCAAATGTCCATTTGGAAGGACGGTTTTTTTGTCTTCCACTCCCCTCAGCCTCCAGAAATGATACATCAATATATATATATATTGATATATATTGATATATATTGATATATCACTGATATCACCATGAAAATTCAGCTTCTAGCAGTGGTATAGCAGGCGCCTTCTTGCGTCCACGGCCGCCCTTGCCACGGCCTTTACCACGGCCCTTGGGGGCACCAGCCTGGGAGTTCACCCAAAAAGATGGGTGGACAGTATTTCCAGGATGGTCTACAGATGTCTACAGTATGCAAATGATGCTTTTCCCATCATTTCCGGATTTTTTGAGGTGTCCGACTGTTCGATGAAAAATTGGGGGAAGTGCTAGAAATTAGTTCTTCAAGTACTACTATAAATCATTTGATTCTTTGTAAAGAAAGGTACTAGAAGTTGGCTTACAATCCCTTCTAACTAATCTTACGTAAAGCATGAACATAATCATTAGCCTGATTTTACGTCCCAACTTGTCCATTGGTTGGGGGGCTGGCCAAGATTTGATTTCCCAATAGCTACTAAGTAAGTATGATTCAACAATGATTTTGAACCTGCTTCATCCTGCTTCCCTATATAAATGAATCATTAATAATTAGAAATGATCTGGTTGTGATTACATATGATTAAATCATACATATATATATATATAGATAGATAGATATAGATATAGATATAGATATATATATATTAGATATAGATATAGATATATATATATATTAGATATAGATATAGATATAGATATATATATATATATTAGATATAGATATAGATATAGATATAGATATAGATATATATATATTAGATATAGATATAGATATAGATATAGATATAATCCATCAAGTGCTACATTAAAATCTACCTTTAATTCGCGCCGTGTCCACCCGCCTTGTTGGGGCAGTTGCTTGCCCAATGACCAGGCTGGTTGCACTGATAACCTCAACCGGACGTGACCCGGAGAACCAGTTCGGATACAGAGTGTCAGGTCTAAAAAAAAAACCTAGCTGGTTATAGAAAATAACATGGATTAATGGATATTAATGGATATTAATGGATACTAAAGGATATTAATGGATATTAATGGATATTAATGGATATTAATGGATATTAATGGATATTAATGGATATTAATGGATATTAATGGATATTAATGGATATTAATGGAAATGGATATTAATGGATATTAATGGATATTAATGGATATTGGATATTAATGGATGTATAATGGATATTAATGGATATTAATGGATATTAATGGATATTAATGGATATTAATGGATATTAATGGATATTAATGGATATTAATGGATATTAATGGATATTAATGGATATTAATGGATATAATGGATATTAATGGATATTATATGAATGGATATTAATGGATATTAATGGATATTAATGGATATTAATGGATATTAATGGATATTAATGGATATTAATGGATATTAATGGATATTAATGGATATTGGATATGGATATTATATCAATGGATATTAATGGATATTAATGGATATTAATGGATATTAATGGATATTAATGGATATTAATGGATATTAATGGATATTAATGGATATTAATGGATATTAATGGATATTAATGGATATTAATGGATATTAATGGATATGAATGGATATTAATGGATATTACTCAAATCTATTGGCCTCTGGATTTTTTGTTCACCTTGACCCCCACCGTCTCGTTTTCACATGTCCAAGTATTCCCCGAGTGCCCGCTTTGTCTATCGTAACCAGCTTTGTTGGTTCCACCAAAGTTGGGGGCATCCTGAGTCCTGAGAACAAAAAAACTTTTGACGATCCGCATAAATTTAGATGACCCAGCCACAATTGGTACCTGATGCAACCCTTACATGAAAAAAAAAATGATCGAAACGGGCTCAAAAGTCTATAAAAGGTACATAAACCATCTTCGAAAGTCTATAAAACATTATAAAACTATATACATAACAATCATAACATCAGCAGCATCCGGAAACGTCCGGAACGCCGGAACCCTGAGGCAGCCACAGACATCGCCCTCGCGGCCTTCGGAAAACCCCTCGGGTTTACCATGGGCTTTAACTCGGATTAAGCATCAAATTCAGGGCCTATGGCCTATGGTTTTTTTTCCGGCAAAATGTCCCAAAAAAACAGTTCTGGGATATAAATGTGGTTCTCCCCATCAAACAATGAAATCCATTTTGTTCGTGGAAGTAAATATCTGTAAACCAATTGTGGGAGGACGGGGTGATGTCAACCTCAACATAGCACATCAATGCACATCATATGGTAGATTTCAGGGAGGCTGACCCCGAAAAATCACGAATGATTATGAATAATGGTACCCAACAAATCCCAACAGGGTAACAAGCCCGGGAGTTATTGACTAATTAATCATATCCTGGGCTGGCCTTCACAATAGCAGTGACACGTGGTTCTTACATTGACAAGGACCAAAAACGGTCCATGACCGATAGGTCCACCAAAAACGGGGCTCCGTTCAAAGGAGTGGAGCTTCTCACCAATGGCACTGTTGAATCCCAAATTTCTGCAGGAATTCTTAGTCTAAAGAGTCGACATGAAACCAAGAAGAAATTGTAAAACAAGACATGAACACCTCATGAAACTGTAGGTACTGTAGGCACTGTAGGCAGCAATGGCCACAGTCCACAGGCAATCTTTAGGGCATTACTGGGACAGCTACCAAGCTGGCAACATGGAAACCCTCCATGGTGTACTGAGCAGACTGAGCATGGTGACCTACAGTGTACAGAAACATTGGATCATCGTGGACAGTATGAGCTTTGCAGCTACGACCCATGACATCCCCATGACCTCTCGATCCGACTGGTAAAGTGAGCACTTTTCGACAGCAGAAATGTCATTCAACAAAATTCAGCTCGGTTAAGAACAGGATCGCCAGCCCCGTGGATGATAAAGCTCCAAGATATTGGGTACTACAATCCCAATAATAAGTAAATATAAACCAACAGAGGTGTCATGCAGCCACTGCTCAGTTGGGTTTATCTGAAAATGACGTATGCCCTCAAAAGTGGATCACTATTAGTCTTGGGGGTACCGTATACCCCATTTGTTGGATTCCTGCCTGAATTTTTGTGGGTTCCCAGAAAGCTCGGCCATGCCGTGCCTCTTGCCATACCACCAGCCCTAGCAGGAGTTGGAGTGGGAGCACCATTTGCTGCCTGGCACCAGTGTCTCCATATATGGCACCCGTGTCTCCCTCGACCCCCACAGGGAAACGTGTCACCCACAGGGTCATGTTTTGTATATCAAACATGGTTGAACCATCTCCTGTGATGTTTCTCAGCCAGAAATGATCTAGCCGAAATCATTGTTCCCTCATCCACCAAGGTTTGCTTCCCCATCGGATCACCGGTTTAGCCAATGTTTGGTCATGATCTTGTGATCCTATGTTCTGCCCTCTTACCCTCTGGTAAACTAACATAACTATGGGAAATCACCATTCTTTATGGGAAAACTCACTATTTTTATGGTCATTTTCAGTAGCTATGTTAGTTTACCAGAGGGTATACCAGATCATACCCCCATGTTTGTTGGTTAACTGTTTCAGCTATATCCCATTACATCCCATGAGATCCCCATCAATGGTCGCTGGAAAATTCATCCCCATGGTGATGAAAGTTCGGTGAAAGCCTCACCTTTTCCCTATTCTAGATGATCATCAATGCCTTTTTTGCATGGTTCTGGGTAATTTATCCCAAATCACAAACCTGAAAAGTTTGGCAATATGTGGATAGTTCCCCTAATCCTAGCCGTCATTCCAGGCTTCGGTCGAAGTGAGGTCGCAACATCATTTACCCTGATGGTTGGACCATGCTAACTTTAGATGATCATCAATCCCCATTTTACATCATTAAACCATGGTTAAACCATGCTTAAACCATGGTTAAACCATGTTTAACCCCCACTTTACATGATTAAACCATGTTGAAGCCCCTGTTTCATTCCCTGTTTCAAAAACGGCATTTTTCGTGTCACGCCTCATCCGCCCAGGAGAAGAAGTCGCAGCCGCGTTTCATGCAGATCTGACAGGATGAGGTGTCAGCAAGAATGGTGGGCTTTTAGGGGGTCAGTTGGATACAGTAATACTAGTAAAAATAAAAATAAACAAAATCATAACAGTAAAAATATCATAATAGTATTTTTTTGATAATAATCATCATCATCGTAAATGATAGTAATAGTAAGAATAGTATATACTACTGTTACAATAATGATCAAAATAGCAATAATAATAATAATAGTAGTAGCAACATGATTTGCAATGACTAATGTTTCATGCTAGTTAAAATATCTGTGCCATCTACATGACTCTTCATACCACATGACCACGTTCTAAACACCATACCGTAGCGACGGAGGTTATCTAATAGGTTACCGCAAAAGGCTGTGCGAACCCTACCTCGTTTTTCATTCCCTGACCTCATTTTCCCACGCCTCACTTGGCTTTTTTATATGCTGTTATCCTGGCTATTTCTTCATCAGTTTTGACTTAAACCTTAATTTGCTTAGGCGGACCCACCTCCTTTTAAAAACCTAGCTGCACCTGTGCGTAAATACAAACCATCGCTCGTGTAATTTGATGGATGGCTAGATGGAAAGATAGATTGTGATGGATTGTGATAGATTCACTACATCATGTACAAGCCGCAACCTGTTCTAACACTGCTTCCAACTGGACTCGAAACTCGACCATGCCAAGGTCGGTTTTAGTGAGGAAAACCAATGGGGGCCGCTGCACACAGATCCGACAGACAACCTGAAGCCGTAAACTAATGGAAATCTATGCAATAAGAAGAAAATAATATATATATATATAATTTATATATATGTATATATATAATTTATATATATGTATATATATATAATTATATATATATAATTATTAGTTATGGCGTGCATGCATCAAGAAGCCCTCCAAGATCTCTGAGTCTCTGACAAAGAAAGGTCTTCCACGGTTCGGCCCCTCCTTCTGCGTGACTTTGCGGATGGATGGCACGCCGCACGGGCAAGGAGGCCCTTGGGGATCGGGTTCTTGATCGGCCCATTGGAAAAAGCCACATTGATTTTGCCCACATTTGTGAAAGGTTCTGCCCTGGTTGGGCCCATCCTTCTTGACGGTCAAGGTCAACGATGGCTGGCCACATGCGCAGGCGGGACCCGGTGGCAGCTGGGCGCCAGTTGGCAAGCCAGGGGTGCCGTTGGCTGGTGCAGCTCCGCGGGGGAGTTCATCGGCCCATTCAAAAAAGGAGCAGGGCTGGTCTGGGTGCTGCTTGGCACATTTGAAAAATCCACGGCCTTGGTTGGGCCCCTCCTTCTTCACGTTCAAGAAAATGGCCGGCTGTCCGCAGGTGCAGTTCCGAGAGTCTGCATTGGGCGCAAATTGAAGTTGCGCATCCAAGGGGCCTGGAGGCTGCTGGCTGAAAGCTGGTACTTGGCCATAAAGATTGCCTTGGGGAGGCAATTGGTGCACTTGGTTCAATGGCGCCGATGCATTGCCAGCTGGATTTCCGTAAAGTGGCTGAGCCATCTGAGGATTTGATGGCCCTGGCTGCGCGAAATGGCCCGGCTGCTGATAGTTGCCCCCAAACTGCCCAGGAATCTGCGGAGCCATTTGGCCAGCCATCTGGGACGGGGGCATTTGCTGCGCAGGCACCTGTTGTGGATGCATTTGCTGGGGATGCATTTGCTGCGGAGGCATCTGCTGGGGAGGCATCTGCTGGGGAGGCATTTGACTAGGCATCTGCCCAGGCATCTGCATACGGTGCTCAAATGCGTCGGGCCTCCTATCCACAAAGCCCCCAGATTGGGCTGGTGCTGTCTCTGGAGGTCGGGCATCACCTTGGAACTGAGGCGGATGGCCTTGCACTTCGCTGTGCATCTGAGTGGCTGGAGCTTGCTGCGTGCCCACCGTGCCCTGGAAATCAAACTGCCGTTGGTACGGATTGATGCTAGGCTGATTGCCCCACAGGCTCTGGCTCGCTTGACCCGATCCCTCCGCCGGCGCCGGGGCAGCTTCGGAGGTAGGATGGCCCCAGATCACGTCGGGTGCGGGGGCGACTGCTTTCACTTGAGGCTTGGTGGCTCCTCCGAAGCCAGGGGTTGGAGCACCAGTGCTCACTCCTCCGAAGCCAGCATTTTGAGAGGGCTGCTCAAGAGGCTGGCCAACTGTGCTTGCCACTCCTCCAAAGCCCCCAGCCTGCTGTGGAGCAGGTTGGTCAAAGGGATTCGTCCAACTCGGATTTCCAAACATGATGTTCTTTTTTTTTGCGGCCTATCAGTACTTTGACTCAAAATGGCTGCCGACAAAAGCCTCAGGAGTACCAGCAATGAAAGTCCGAAAGAACTATGGACTATGGTAGCATTATGTTGGCAGCTGGTACACTTTGTTCCAAGGGGAAGATCAGCTTTACAAGATTTTCCAAGGGTATGGATCATGGGGCTCTTCACAGCTGAGGCAAATGGAGCAACAATCCCAAGCATTGATTGGTTCCTTAGTATTGACAATGTGGATACAATTGGCAGGTTCGTTTGTCCATCCAGTCAAAGATCTCAGGATGTGGCGTGCACATCCACTCCTCCGTCTTGTTGGCATACCTCGAAGCTGACAAGAGATGGTGCTGTGTATTTTGATGGCACCAAGACACGAACGGCAACGAACGCTTTGATGTGGAAAACCCATGGGTTTTCCCGGTGCAACTTTGGTGGGAAGCCTCGGTCTGCAGCTGTTGCCAAGTGGCATGGCTTTGGAGATCAGCCGCAGATCCACCAAAGAGTTGCTACAGAGCTGGAACTTCGAAGTCCTCAGTCAGGGTGCTTACCACCCACCAAGATAGGCTACGGCTAGGACGGTTAAGGTTTTCCTGTTTTTTTCCCCCTTCGGCCCTCCATCCAATTCTGGGAAAACTGGTAATTAATGGTTTGTTTGTTGCGGATGACCTTAGGCAAGTCAACGTGAGGCGTACCTGTACCCACAGATGACTTTTCGGACCTGAAAAATACCAAGACATGTTGCCTCCCAAGGTCTTGCACTTTCAACCCACACACAACCCACATACACATAATATTGTATATGATTGATTATTGTATCACACATTGTATGGTTGGACAATGTGTCATCTCGTCATGTTTGGTGGTTCCACTGCTACTGAACCCTTTCAAATCAACAGTTTCGAGTTTCACCTTTTCAGGTGTGGGGCCTAGGTGAAGCAATCAAATTTCACCATGCTTTAGCCTCAACATATTCTTGGTATTGTATGGTATTGTTTGGTTCCTTTTTTTGTAGTCACCGTCCCATTCTTAATGTCACATCATCGGCAGACCTAAGTAGTCACTAGAAACGTGTCTGGCTCAAAATTCTGGTGCCCCCAACGGTTGGATGATGAAAAAACCAACAATAACAATCACTAGGCCATTGGTCCCCCAATTGACTGACCAACTGAGAGCAGCTCGAACCAGCCCCCGACACGTAGTACATCATCAACCTCAGAGAAACTGCATCGGGTTTGGTCAACCTTGCTGCATACCCTCTGCTCACATAGTCAATAAGGATCATCATCACAGTTGCTATGATTGGAGTAACAAGATTCGACCAGAAAATGCAAAAAAAAACCAAGTAAAAGATCAAAACAATAGCGAAACTAAATCCGCTGGAGAGATGGAGTTTGAGAAAAAATTGCAAATGCAAACATGCTATGTTCCGGTTTTTGGTTGTTTTGGGTTTTTTCTCTCCGGTCGATGACATTTTTGATTGCATGTGTATTTTAACCATTGTCCAGCTGAAACTTACAAAAAATATCAACACATGTGCAAAGAATAGGAAATACTAAAGATTTGAAACCACCAACCGGTCATGTGCAGATTCCATGCCTCTCTACAGAGAAAACACGATGGATTCCGAAATAGCATGTGGTGGAATAAAATTACATCCACGGATTCTGAATGATTTGATCTCTCAACCTGGAAAGTGTTCGAGGAATCGAATACATCCTCATGATTTTCATTGGTTTCGGTTCGATAGATAGCAAATCTATGCAAATCTGATAAAGGTATTGGGTCACTTTTTCCAAACATTTGCAGATCTTCAGTCGAGTGGCCGGTAGGAACCAGCATCCAGTGGGCCGATCATGTCGGCATAGCCATGGGCAGTGACCTCACTTGAAGGTCTGTCAACAATACAATTCGACATAGATGATGGCACCCAGTGGTTGTTTCCCTTGGCCTCCCGTAAAACCCTGCAGGCTGCGATCCCTCCATGCAAAGCAACCATGGCACCTCCGATTTTTTTGGATCCAAAAATGTCATAGTTCCAAACGATGTGACCAATGACCCATGTGCCTGGTTGTCTGCCACGTTCCGGCCTTCAAATTTCACCTGCTCAGCAAGTAGGAACTGCTGAACATGGAACTGAAAAGTTCACCTTCCAGTGAAGTTCCTTTCTTCTCTTGCCGAGGATGTCAGATTTCTTCCTACCTTTGTGACTGACTTTCAGGTAGAAAAAACATGAAAAAACATGAAAATCGTTGCTGTGCATCCCGATCATCCCTCAGTATCAACTGCCCCTTCAGGCTGGTTGGAAGGCCAACAGAGAAATCCTGCACCCAGTCTTTGAATCTGGAGAGTTTTCAATCTTAATTCATGGATTTTTTTGAAATTCTGAGAGTTTGAATGTGGACATGGAGGCTTTGTGCCCTCTTCAACCACTTTTTCCCACGTGACCTCCACAGACCTGCCTGGAATCGCAAGTCGCTGGAGATGTAGTCTGAATGGAGCACCATGCCTTGGTGAAAGGGGGTTACCCGGGGTTACGACTCCCATCCCCCTTTTGCCAGGCTTTTGTTTGGGGAGGTGACATTTATGGGAAAGGGATACGACAGCATCGCATGTTGGGAGGTGAAATTCCGCTTGCGACGAGCAGCGAATGTACAGCTGGTGCGAAGCGTCCTAAAGGCACGAGGGAATCCCTGTTGGTTTCATGGTTTAAGTCCAGTGGATCATCTCATATGATATCCATATGATATCCATTAAAATCGCAGTGAGGGTAGCCCATTTTTAGCCATGTGGGGATTGCAACATACGTGTTTCATGTTTTTGTTCAGGATAATTCGCACATAGATTGCGAATCTTTCAGACAAGTCGTATGATAAATACATCCCAATATGAAACTCTCCTGAGTCCGAAACGATTGGATTCCATACTACACGGTTTGGGGGGGTTTTGCTGGGCAGGGATTATCAGGAATATGGGTTCAGGAACAATATGTACGTTGGAGCTTGAGAAAGTGCACTGCCACCCTGGAAGCATCCAGCCAGAAAAGGTCAACAGAAACTCCACCGGTCCCAAAAAAGATGTAGCTTTGGCCTGTGTCCACACATTTGGATACATTTGGGCAGTGGTTGTTCATGATAACAATGCAGAACAAGTTGGAGTGTGCTTACAACCGATCTTTCGGAGGTTGCGGGTGTCTATCTGTGAAAAAATCGGAACACTGAAAAGAGCTTAAAAACATCGTGTTTTTTAATACCAAATCCATAAGAATCATCCCGCTGAATGTTTGCATCTTTTTGCTGAATGTTGTTGCCAATATCTATCCTCTGCTGGGGTACAGACTGCTATTCAGATCTATTCAGAATGTTCATTTGGTTGTATCCGTTGCCTTCCAGCTGTTTTTCGCATCACCCTAAATCGCATCTCGCACCCTCCCCTGATTGTTAGCAGCTGCTAGCAGATCCTGCTCCGAGACGCTCAGCTGTTGATGCCACACCTCGGTGAAAACGGGGACCATCAGCGGTGCTTGGGAAAACCATGGTTTTGTTGTGTAATAACTCTGGGAAACATACAAAAAACCATGGAAAATCACCATGTTTTATGGGAAACATACCAAAAACGATGGAAAATCACCCTGTTTTATGGGTAAATCAACGAATGGGAAAACTGAAGCTGGATTTTCGTGAGTATATCAATGGGTTTTGGAAAAATCAACAGGAAACCTGCAGGGTTTTACCGGGCAGAGAGGGGTGATCCTATGTGATCCCCAAAAGACAGCTGAGTATTTTGCCAGCAACATCCGTAGGGAATAACTATGCCTATGAATCTATGCCCACGATGGCCATAGATGTCCTTCTCAAATGGCAGATCTGCAAAAATTTTCCAGAGAAGGTTGTGAGGTGACAATCCAAGCCCTCAAGTGACATAAATCTAGGCGTTATTTTTACTGGGCACCGGCACCAAAATCCTCCAAAAACATCCAACATCTGTGATATCTGTGATGGAAAAACAGGGAAAACCCACGGCTTTGTTAACGGCTCGGCGTGTCCTCCCGGTTGATCCGCCAAAGCCACTGGCGTAATGGCCGATTGGCCGGCAACATCAATGGGCACCTGAAGAAGTTGGAAAGAAATTTCGGTGAACATGCCCTCTGGTAATTTAACATAGCTATGGAAAATCACCATTTTTAATGGGAAAATCCACTATTAATGGTCATTTTCAATAGCTATGTTAAATTACCAGAGGGTATCATCTATACGATCTATATAGTCTATCATTCTGGGACAAATATATGTTTCTCTTCATGGGATTACTACATACAAATGTGTAATCTTACTTCATCTAACATATAATACTTATAACTTGCAGTAAATGCCAATATGTTTACATTTGCCAATTTTAGATACCCTGTAAAACGTCTTTCTGGTTTGATTGGTATAAATCCATCCATGTTGTACAGCGGCTGTGGGTCAAAACTCCGTACCCCTGGTGAACCCGTTTCATGGGTGACCAAAATCATGGCATTTCACAGGTTTTGGTCCAACCCCGTATCCCCATGCGGCATCCCCCCAAAAAGCGAGCCGCTACTCTAGATCTCTAGAAAAGTTGATAAACCTGGCAACTTGTGGTTTATAATCATCAATCTATAACACATGGATTCACATGGTAAGATCCTGGAAAAACTGTCTATCTTTTTTAGGACCCCATCCCAATCAAGGCTTGCCACACATAACACACCGGGCCTTTATGCTCGTCCAGTGCGGCTGTGTGGCTAACTCCAGGTTACGCTGCACCTGACATGGGCAATCGCTGGATCTTTGCCTGAGATTTCCCTCGAAAAAATGCGGACAAGTGATGATAGGTGATGTAAAGTAATCTACAAAATGATCTAAAGTGATCTAAAGTGATGCAAAGTGATAAGAAGTTATGAAAAAGGATGCAACAACTCAGATAATTACAGTAAAATCATACATACATATACATACCATACCATTTATCTATATTTATCTGAGCAATTGATAGCTCATAGTGAAGAGTGTATATTAAGTTCCCAATGAGATCTTCGAGGCTTGATCGCCACTGCCGCACATTTTTCAAAATGATGCCAGTCCGCAAAAAAACAGAGGTGACAAACACTCAGCGTCGCTCCCTCTGAAAATGTTCAGAGCAATGAGTCAAAAGCTGTGTCAATCAGCCGCCAAGTGAAAGAAGTGATCTCATTTCTTGTCCCAAGTTCCTGAGCAATCTTTGAAAGAGATTCCGACGACTGGAGACACTGGGAAGACTGTTGAATGCGCAGACTGGTTGATTGACTGTTGAAGCACACTCTTTTCTTGGCGTCCTTGACATGTTTTTTTGAATTACCGGAGCATGGGTCAAAAAAAATGGTACAAAAAGAGGAGTCCATCCTTTCAGTACCGCCATAAGTCCATAAGTGCCTCAGCGGCTTGACCGTGCACGTTTTTGCCTGGAGATTGTCCTTGGATACCACTACTTCCCTGAAAGTCAACACAAAGTTTGGAGCCCCCTAAATGGATTATATAGTAACTATAGTATTATATATTCTTTTGGACCTTAGAGTTCCATATGTTAGTGCTCAAGGATGTTCAGGCTATCTATCCAACCATTGTTTTGCCTCTGATTCTGCAGAATGCCTCCCTGTTGGTAGAAATAAATCTTTCTCACTTGGTCGGCATGATCACTCAACTGCCACTAAGCTGCCCCCACCAAACTCCTTGTTGGAGAAGGGACGAAAAACTCTCACCAGCCGCATCATGGCTTTGTTGGCCAAGTTTCACGGGAGTGAGCGGGCAGGTCTCAACTTGCGCAAAGGGAAACAGTACACGGGAACAAAAAAAACTAAAAACACATCTTAAAAAAATTGAGTTACATGAGTTTTGAACGCCACAGGCAAACAGAGACTCAAGTCTTGAGACACGCCCGAAATGAGATCTTTCAAAGCAGTTGGGCCCACGACGTCGGTTGGTTCACCCGCCGTGCAACCAGAGCACCGAGGTCATGGTGCAGAGCTCACTTCACCGGGCGGCGCATGGTGATCCTACACCAGATCTGATCGTCGCCTCTCGGGCTATGATAGAACCCAGCGCCGCCCCCAGGCAACTGGTCACGAAACCCCTTTTTTTGGTTTTTTTTAGGGTTTGCGGTGGGTGGGGGGGATGTTGACGTCCCTGTGAACTTGCTCACGTCATGTATGCTTCGTGAACTTCGGGGTTGCCTGGGTTATATATATAATATAGCACATGTATATTTATATATAATCTATATATATATACACATACTTATGTTTCGACAACTTAAATTAACTTGTCGGGGAATGTTCCATTGCACTTTCTCAAACAATTGGACAAAGCTTGCAACGCTCGCTGATAATGGCGCAAGAACAAAAGAGCACAAAGCGCAAAGAACAAAAGGCGCCAAAAAACACCAGTTGCCCAAGGGCGGCGCGACCTGATAGTATAGTATAGTATAGTATCGTATCGTATAGAATAGTATAGTATAGTATATAGTATATATTATATAGTATATAGTATATATTATATAGTATATAGTATATAGTATATATTATATAGTATATAGTAACCCCTGGGAAGCCCTGGGAAGTCCTAGTACTTGGAGGGGGTGACCATCGACCATGGGTATATAATCTAACTTTGCTCATGGCACCCCTCCGAGGCAGCAACCCGGCCGCGCAGGAAGGTCAAAGGAATTGATTGACCAGTGGGTGTATCATATGGCAGGAAAAGGTTTATTGAATGGGTGTTAAAGCACGTGTCATCTGTATCAATAGGCTAACCGCATATCCAACAAAAAGTTCACAAAGTGGGTCTTCTACCACCACTCTTCATGGTCCACTCCCGAGTCACTGAATCCCACAACATCCCAAAACTATCAGCAGCCACCAGCTACTTCTTGGTTTGATTCATCATTTTCCCAAGAAAAAAAAACATGTTTCAATAAAAACAGCCCATAAATTGTGAATCATCCATGTCAACTCCCCCCATTCTACCAAACCCGAAGAGCTTCACAGATCGCCCCCAGAAATGCCCAATGCCTTTGAGAGACACTGGCGTCGGTTGCCCCTCGTCCTGCACAGGAAGGGCCGGAATTCCTCCATGGTAATAAATGATGTTCCCCATTGTTCCCCCCATATCCAGGACCAGGTTTTACCCAGCCTTCCGCAACTTTTCGATTCTTGTGGGGGTTGCTGTTTTAGGTCATTGGTGAGGTCACGATCCCCGTTTCCTCTGCGATCTGCTTCGCCAAGGGGAGCTCGACGGTGTCAATGACCCTTCCAGCCTGTAGGGTTTGGGTGTGATTGGCTGTGGCTCAAAGTTGGGTTACTTGCGGCTGCATCCCACTAGTAAATAGATTATGTATACTATACCCCCAGTTGCATACGGAATATTCCCTATTATGGGATTATATGGATTGTATATGGATTACAAGTGGGATGCGCATCCAAGTAAGAACCCAATGGATGGGTTTTCGCCTTTCTCTTCAATTTCCTTGACGTCGAAAACTGCATCTCAGGATGTGTCTTAATCAACTGTTTCATATCCTATGTACTAAGTCACCCCAGAAAGATTGAAGAAAACTGAAAAACAAATTACCACAGTTCTAATAGGATTTATTGTTCTATCTCATTGGGGGTTACTATACTTATAGTATCCTATGGTCTGATATGTTTTTTGGCCAAGCACCAAAAGTTCCTTCTCAGGCTGGTGTGACTTACAAGGGCTGTACCGATAAATGAGCTATCAACCCCCTCCTTCCAAACTGGGCCTGCGTGAGGGACAGTTTCAAACTCTTGGATTGAATCTCTGCCAGACTCATAACCGCATGGTTCTGGCTGCCAATATCAAATTCAGGCCTTAGGTTGCTGATAAGCGCTTCAATTCGACCGAGGTTGCAGCTGAAATCGTCCGTGAACAGAGTTGCCCACATGAAAGTTATCCAACAAAAGTCCAGCTCAAAATCATCGTGGTGAACGGTTCACGCTGCAAATTCTCCGAGACAACTCCAGTTCCAGCTGCCTTTTTCGGCTGGATAAATGAACAAGTGCAGTGCAGCCCTTGCTGGCGCCAGACCGTCGCAAAACAATTTGTTCCTTCTTGGGGGCCTTGATAGGCATTCACTCCCCAACAAAAAAGGACCATGACCCAAAAAAAAACCTGCAGATGAGCTGCACAACATGTACTTTGAAGCCTTTCCTGAACTGTTCAATCTGCTCCTTCGTAAGACCTGACAGCACAAAAAGCACATCATCGGTGTGCGTCTCCCCAAACTGGGGAATGCCCCAGACAACAGGGTTCCCGACCACAATGGTTTTCTCTCAAAACGGCGGGTATCTACCCACAAGGTATCAAACCAAGAGATGGAATCATGGAATGGAGTAAGTCAGTAAGTTATGATCAACCATGAGATGTTCGTGTTTGCCCCATTTTTGACAAACCCAAATGACTGGTGGCTCTGGGGGGGAGGCAATGCTTTGAGCTGTACAAATGCCGCCTGTGATTTCTGCTTGCTGTGCGATAGGAATCTTCTTCTCCTCGGCTGCCGAGGATGTAGTTCACACCCCAAGTCATTCCGATCTTGGAGGGCTGGTTTCAAGGATGCTACGTTTGGAGATGAACCCAAAGATCGATCCATGTGCATGTACCTGGCTGTTTCAACAACACCAAACAAGTCAAATGCAAAAATGTAGCTCCAAGTTGATCCACACTTGGGTTATGCCACTGCCAACAAATTTCACAGCCTTTTTTTTCCCCAAGGCTCATCCATCTTCTTCAGTACACGTTTGTAGATGAACTGACTCGTGTAGCTGTCTTCCTTCTTGGCATAGGACGACTCAAACTCAAAGGCCTGGTGAAGGTGTCAGCTTGCTGACTATGAGCCATGTTTTCAGTGTTCAAGAGTTGCAACATATCATATCCGTTGAGAAGGGAAATATGTGGAAATGCCAATAGATAATTACTATTTCCATATCTGTATATATATATAATTACCATGTGTATATATATATATATATCAACCATACAGTATACAATTACTATAGTGACCAACCCTTCCCCGGGCCAACGCTTCGCCCGGTCAAGTGGCGGTTTGGACATTTGAGGTGATCCGCGGATAAAATCAAGTCTTCACTAGAATAACTGTTCATCATATTCCCAAATAAATCAGGTAGTATAACTTAGTATAAATAAACAAATAAATAAATAAATATATATATATAGATAAGATTAGATAAGATTAGATAAGATTAGATCAGATTAGATAAGATTAGATAAGATTAGATAAGATTAGATAAGATTAGATAAGATAAGGTAAGGCAAGATTAGATAAGATTAGATAGGATTAGATCAGATAAGGTAAGGTAAGATTAGATAAGATTAGATAGGATTAGATCAGATAAGGTAAGGTGAGGTAAGATTAGATAAGGTAAGGTAAGATTAGATAAGATTAGATAGGATTAGATCAGATAAGGTAAGGTAAGGTAAGATAAGATAAGGTAAGGTAAGATTTGATCAGATTAGATAGGATTAGATCAGATAAGGTAAGGTAAGATTAGATAAGATTAGATAGGATTAGATCAGATAAGGTAAGGTAAGGTAAGATTAGATAAGATTAGATAGGATTAGATCAGATAAGGTAAGGTAAGGTAAGATTAGATAAGGTAAGGTAAGGTAAGATTAGATAAGATTAGATAAGATTAGATTAGATAGATAGATAAGATTAGATAAGATTAGATAAGATTAGATAAGATAAGATAAGATAAGATAAGGTAAGGTAAGATTAGATAAGATTAGATAGGATTAGATCAGATAAGGTAAGGTAAGGTAAGATTCGATAAGATTAGATAGGATTAGATCAGATAAGGTAAGGTAAGGTAAGATTAGATAAGGTAAGGTAAGATTAGATAAGATTAGATAGGATTAGATCAGATAAGGTAAGATTAGATAAGATAAGATAGGATTAGATCAGATAAGGTAAGATTAGATAAGATTAGATAAGATTATATAGATAGATAGATAGATAGATAGATAGATAGATAGATTTAGATAGATAGATAGATAGATAGACAGATAGATAAGATTAGATAAGATTAGATAAGATTAGATAAGATTAGATAAGATTAGATTAGATTAGATCAGATTAGATCAGATTAGATCAGATAAGGTAAGGTAAGGTAAGATTAGATCAGATAAGGTAAGATTAGATAAGATTAGATAGGATTAGATCAGATAAGGTAAGATTAGATAAGATTAGATAAGATTAGATAAGATTGGATTGTATAGATAGATAGATAGATAAGATTAGATAAGATTAGATAAGATTAGATAAGATTAGATCAGATTAGATCAGATTAGATCAGATAAGGTAAGGTAAGGTAAGGTAAGATTAGATCAGATAAGGTAAGATTCGATAAGATTAGATAGGATTAGATCAGATAAGGTAAGGTAAGGTAAGATTAGATAAGGTAAGGTAAGATTAGATTAGATTAGATTATATAGATAGATAGATAGATAGATAGATAAGATTAGATTAGATAAGATTAGATAAGATTAGATAAGATTAGATAAGATTAGATCAGATAAGGTAAGGTAAGGTAAGATTAGATCAGATAAGGTAAGATTAGATAAGATTAGATAAGATTAGATAGGACTAGATCAGATAAGGTAAGATTAGATAAGATTAGATAAGATTAGATTATATAGATAGATAGATAGATAGATAGATAGATAGATAAGATTAGATAAGATTAGATAAGATTAGATAAGATTAGATAAGATTAGATAAGATTAGATAAGGTAAGGTAAGATTAGATCAGATAAGGTAAGATTAGATTATATAGATAGATATACATCGTATAATCTGAAGCAATCAACTCGGGCTCGCAACCCGCCTCGCCATCGTCCAGTGGAATCTCGCAACCCACCTTGAAGCCTTCCTGTGACATCCCAGGGCAGATGTGTCGGATATCATGAAGATATAAATTATACATAGATTATAATGGGATGTATTATCTATTATAATTATCTATATTATAATAGGATAAAATTATACATAGATTATACATATCTAATATCTGGGATAGTGATAATTATCATATTAGATACAATTATTAATAATTATTATCACTATCCCAGAGATAAGTATAGAATAGATAATTATATATTGAGGAGATGTGACCGACCATTAATGATGGAGCTGAACAACGGTGGATTTCTGAGCGGATTTACCGTCCACTTCATGGCCCATGAAAAGATCTTCAGCAGAGTTCATGATCCAAGCATATTTTCAGCTGTTTCCACAATCAAACAGACACATCAGATGTGCATTTCCTGAACTCCAAACCAGCCAGTTGAAAAGAAACCAAATGGCACCTGCAGTTCGGGCTTTCCAATGACCTTGTCGATCAACACCTCAAGTTCTCGCCAGTTGTGTTGCCACGGTGATGAAAAAATGTGGCAGTTGCTCAGGAGGGGGGCAATTGCTGGTTTTGCCCTGCTGAAAATCATAGGTATTGGACACTGGGTATCAATAAGTTATAGACTCTGGATCCTTTCAATCACCGAAAAAATCATCGTCTCTTCGCAGAATTTTGAGAGTACCTTGACTCTTCAGCTCCTCCTTTACAATGGTTTTAAGTTGAGCCCCTGAACAAGGACCAAGAGGAGCAAAAATGATATGTATGTGTATGTTATATATGAGATATATATATAGTATATCATATGCTATCTTGTGTACTATATATATATATCATATAGTGGTGTTACTTTTCATTTTATTTAAACATATCTTCAGTAGATATATAATATACTATTATATATGATACTAATTGTATCTACAATAGATTACTGTATGTAGTCTATGTCATATAGTGGATATTGTTTATTTTTATTGTATATCATATCTTATAGTTATATCATATCGTATATGTTATATAACACATCATACCCTATACATAACTACAGTCCACTTGGGCTTGTTAAGCACCAACAACCACTAAGAAAAAATTGAATTAAGAAGATATAATATCTAAGGGCTTACTAAACCACTTATCACTTTCACCTCAACGAGGGGCCCTTAGGCCTTGATGAATTCACCGAGTCACAGAGATGACGTGCGGGAAATCTGTGGGGCCCTCTTTCAAGCTGCTCTCCCGGGCCATCTTCACCTTGTGATATCCCCATTGCCAACCAAAAAAAATGGAGAAAAAAAAACTGATTGGTGGTTCACTGTCAACTCTGAGCCAGCAAGGATCATCAGCCCGTTTTGCTGATTTTCCCAATCCATGGTGCTTCAAACCACTGCATTGGCTTCAGGAATATGGAAATATCATAGAAAAGCATGGATTGCCTTGCTGCATGTTTGGGTGGTTCCTCACACACTCACACACACACAAAAAAAAAACAACTTGAACCAAACATGAGTTGGGTGTTGACATTTTCCATCTCAATGCTGATTAAATCATTCAATCATGTCCAAAATGATCGTTTTCACATCTTTGTGTTGCTGTAAACCCTTCCCTTTACTAGTAGATACCCTCTGAACAACTCGAAACCTGGTTTTGTATGTTATTCTATCTTGGATCTATTCGTTTTCACGTCCCATTGAAAAGGGATATTCTCATCCAACCCGGAACTCTGCACTGCGGCCTCGGAAGGTTCCGACAGCTTCAGTTCGCGCCATTCGAAGGCCAAGGTCAGCTGACACGGCGAAGCGTTTACTTACCCAAAAATGGATGGTTACATTTTAGTGGTTTATTATGGTTAATATCATTATCTAGTGAATTATTATGGTGATATATTTTTTTAGTTACCAAAAATGTGGTTGGTCTGAAAATAGGGGCTCCCCATAATCTAGTGATTTATCATGGTTTATGATGGTTTAAAGCCTCATTTTCCCTATGTTTTCAATTTCCCATTAGACAAACCCATATGGTCAAATGATGTTACATAGATCGTGAAGCCAATGCTGCCATAGACAACTATCATTTGAGGATGGTTTATACAACCCATAAAAATGATGATTTCGGGTATGGTTTAGTTTATGGTATCATTGAATGGACGGTTAACATGGTTACTGTAGCACAGTGCTTCAACAATCGTCAAAAACATGTTTACTGTATACTAAAGACATCTCATCAACACCAACATCAGTGGTCCCTAAGTCTTCAATGTTGACCCATAGCCATTTGGCATCATTTGGCTAGATTTCTCCCAGTGGTTCTTGAAGCGCAAGCGACGTCCTCATCTTCCGCCGGTCCGCACCTTGGCATTCTCAACTTTCGTGCCATCCTTCTTGTAGAGGTCAAACTCCTGAGGCTGTCACGGAGGAAGCTGCAAAACAGCCAGGTCTCAACATTCGACTCCCATACAACGGTACACCGAAACGTAGTGGACGACTAAGACTTATATGATATGACAGTAGTCCCCTGAATCTGTTGCACACCGGACAACGAAAAAACAAAAAGAACGGCTTGCCGCTTGCGTCCTTTGGTTCGGTCACATGGATAATGTCATGGATGTAGATATCTTTCAAGCCACCAATGGCATCCTGCAGGGCACAAAGACATAGGGACACACCACGAGACCTTTCAAAGGTTGGCTGGTCATTGCTCATCTCAACAGTCTCAACCCTTCATTGTTTGCACTGAGCTCCCCGACATTGGGTGTCCAGAAGTCGCTGTCTGAGACAAAGGCATGAACCTTCTGGAAGAGCGTGTAGACCCTACAGCTTCGGAGGTGCCCCCGCATCACAGCTAAGATATGCTGAGATGCAGCAAGTTGGTGAAACTTGGTGACCATCTTCCCAATTGAGATAGACCCTGCCAAAAAACGGCCCTTGGAATGGCATGGAATGGCTTGAAACTGTAATTCCATCCATTGAAATACCTGAAATTCTGTGGAAAAGTCACATCCGCAATGGATTTCATCCACAAATCCGCGGCGGAGGCGCGGGTAGGCATGGGTCATCTCGTTCCACACTGGGTTCAGGGACGAATCCACCACCTGTCACCGACTTCGGAAAACCTGATGATTTTGATGCTGATAACTGATAAATACGCATCATCTTTCTTAACTTAAAACATCTTAAAACTATTTTCTGTGATGTGCATCAATGTGCTTCGTATCAGTTCTTTGTGGCGAAACCGAGCGTGATAGATGAAGACCGTGTTTCGAATCGGGCGGTGAACCCTGCCCCAATCTGTCTCACCAGAACAAGGCAAAACTGATCAAAACGTTCATCTAGGATGAAAGACCATGAAATATCTCATGACGCAAGTAGCTCCTTGGCATGTCCTTCACAAGTAAAAACCTCTGTGTGCTAGTCCGTGCATCGTCTGGACCGTTGCCCCGTCCTTTTCGATGCCTAGCCGTTGTCCGTGCCCCCACCTTGGACTTGAAATGCTTCCCCAGATAGCCGACCCTCACCTGAAGGTCACACCGCTGCGTGGCTCTGCAAATCCATCAAAATCCCCAAGGTCAAAAGAACACTCATAGCAATGGATGAATGGATGCATGTATAATGTAGACCAGTAAATTATGGATAATTCATCCATTGCTATGATTAAGGATTCATCATCGCACCTACAGTAAGCATTCCTGGTCTTGTCGACTGGTTTAAGGGGAAACCAACCCATTGAAACATTCATGATAATGTTCATGTTTGGGGTTCACCATTAAATAGTAGCATTCAAAAATAAACCACCTTTAATTGATAAACCTACATTGTTCATGAAAATGTTGAAAACCCATCCAAGCATTTCATTGACTCATAAACCATTCATTACTTAACCATCACTTGATGGTATGGGTCAAAACCCTGGGAAGTCTACCCTTTAAAATCCGCCCACACCGCTTTGGCGGTGAAGGCGTGCTTATTGGGGGGCAAAACAGCAACACTAAATGCTCAATGACATTTGTTAATATAGCAGTCGCTATATCAGCTTTAGCTGGGGGGGGGCCAAAAACGGTTTCGCACCGAGACCAGAATACGGTGGTGTTTTCGACATTTTTCGAGGATTTTTGGGTGTCTGAGCGCAAGAGGGTATTGAAATGGAATTTTGGGTCATTTTGGTAGCTTTCCGGCAATGGAAAAACGGCCAAAAATGAAAAAAACATTGTACATAGCAAGATTTTGCAGGGTTTTTGGATGCCAGAGCATTGAAAACACTGCAAAAACAAGTGTTTTGGACTGACGTTATAGCAAAAAACGTGTAAATTACCGTATGCTTGACTGGAAACATTACAAAAACACTGTCAAAAGCAATGTTTTGGAAGGATTTACTGCCTTTATGGCAAAAAACGTGTAAATTACCGTCTGTTTGACTGGAAACATTGGAAAAACACTGTCAAAAACAATGTTTTGGAAGGATTTCTTATATATATGTTGGAGTTGGCTACCGGCATTGGCACATGGAAAAATTGAAGAAAACACTGTAAATAGCGGTATTTTCAACGGTTGGGGAGATAAGGGAATTGGAAGCATTGTCGAACATGATGTTTTCGACCGGTTTTATGGCGACAAAAGTGTAAAGTACCGTGCTTTGAAGGAAACCATTGCAAAAACATGGAAACACATTCAAAGAACACGGGATTTGGGGACTATCTAGGCGTCGTTGTCTAGCTATTTGAAATTCCGCAGCTTGGAGAGCCTCCAAGGGAGGGAAAAGTGAAAATTCCATAGCTTGGGAAGCTGTCACGGCGGGGAAAAGTGAAAATTCCCTAGCTTGGGAAGCCCCCACGGGGGGGAAAAGTGAAAATTCCCTAGCTTGGGGAGCCCCCACGGGGGGGAAAAGTGAAAATTCCCTAGCTTGGGGAGCCCCCACGGGGGGGAAAAGTGAAAATTCCCTAGCTTGGGGAGCCCCCACGGGGGGGGAAGTGAAAATTCTTAGCTTGGGGAGCCCCCACGGGGGAAAACCACCCTTAGCCCCTCTCACGGACCGAAATAAACCTGCGGTGTGGGCGGCCACCCCACGCGAAGCGGGGTGAATAGGTGGGATTATGGATGTGTATCCAGTTTATCCCAAAAAACATGTGGTAAATTCATAGGTGACTTCACCCATCCCCGTTTTTCACGAGGATGTGACGTGGGCATATTGCCCACAAATAATCACTTGATGAACCATTTGATGGATAAACTATGAATGGAACCACAATTGATGTTTCAATGGACCTAATCAATTGATGTTTCAATGGAAGGTTTACCATTTCACCACATCGACAAGGCCTCCACAAATGGATCGCTTTGACCGCTCATGTCCTCGCCGCGGCAAAGGAGAAGTTGACATCATGTAGAATCCTACATATATATATAATATACACACACTATATCTATATATAATATACACACACTATATATATATATAGAATATACACACACAATGTACGTATATATATATACACACTGTATGTATATATATATACACTGTATGAATATATATATATACATCATTAATATGTATAAATAGATATATATATATATACAAATGTATCTATATATATATGTGTGTTTTACATACTGATATATGTTGTAACATTGTATATTATATATATTATATATACGTATACTATACCTTGCTATACATACACAGCACAACATGACAGAAATCAAACCATGCCATGCCGCGCTGTGGCCCTCCTCGTTTGGCAGGTTCTTCGCGCTGATGACCTGGTGAAGCACCAACTGGACCAACCAGTGACCAATCGTGGCACATCATGGGATACCGTCAATAAGCATCCTTTAATTGTGAAGTATATGATAGATATCATGCACAATAATATGTATATATATATACTTATTTACATACAATATCTATCTAATATCATGAATATCATGAGTACATCATAAATAATCATCGGGGATAACAATATAATCGTTGATATCATGAGAGACTGGAGGAAGAGTGGGTAATCTAATGGGGAATGGAATAACAATATAAGTATATATAAGTGATGTAAGCAACAACATGATAGGGATTATAGGGATGATAGGGATGAAAAAGCACTCACAATTGTCTGAAGGGTTTGAGTTTCATTGCTTGATTCGAAATGACAGTGATGACCAAGCCAAAAAGACTGGACATGATGCTGACTGGACAATCAGGACTGATCAGAGCTGGTAGCTCGGTTCCAGTCCCTAAAGGATGGAAACCCACAACTCACAGCCGCTTCTTGCCGATGCTTAGGTTAGCCATTCTTGCGCATCATCCCCATTTTTTCGGCCTAGGAGTGGAATTTTGAAGTTCCTCAAAATGAGGAAGCCTCTCAAAATATGCCATATATATAATTGTTTGTCCAAAAATTGGGCCAGTTTAGAACTTTATGTTTGCAGCTCAACATAACAAAACAAAACCTGTGGAGAAATCCTTCATTGTCAGACACCCCCAAATATGAACAGCTAGCTGCACATCCCATTAATCATATCCATATTACATCCCCTCAAAAAAATGCCCTTAAATTTTCCCCTCCAATGAAGGCTTCGACCCTGGCAGGCTTGGAAGATGAGTTTCCACTTAAAAAATGTCCGATGTTTTTTTGGGGTCAAATCCCGACGAAAATCATGAAATTCTCTGACTCCACAGGCCTTGACTTTCAGCAATCCAATGGGTGGTGGCCCAGTGACCACCCAGGGCTTCACTCCGCGCTCCCGTCCTGAGAGTCAGGTGCAAAGGGTTCCCTTTAAAAAGGCTTCTGGACGGATTTTACTGGGAATTCTGAACTGGAAGTTCACTTGTATATAAATGTATATAAATTTTGTATACATATAACGTGTGTGTATATATATATATATACGTATGTATATGTATGTATGTATGTATGTATGTATGTATGTATGTATGTATGTATGTATGTATGTATGTATGTATGTATGTATGTATGTATGTATGTATGTATGTATGTATGTGTATGTTAAGTAGCTTAATAAATAGTTTGATCATGTTTGATCCATTTACATCCATTTTTCTACATGGCTATGGCTCAAAACGACCCGCAGATTGGATGTTAGATGATGAGGTCGCTATAAGTTGGGCCATCTTGAACATCTTGAACATGGCACGCGAATCCTGGAATGGAGGTTTTTTCATATGTTCCACGTGAACATACCAGACCACGCAAAATGTGTTCCCCATATAAAAGTGATTTTGATGTTATTGTCCATGGTATGTCCCATTTTTGGACAACCCTCTCCGTCCTGCAGGAATGCCTAAGCGATTCGGAAGCACCATGGCGCGCGAGATTGCACCGTCGATCCTGAGGAATGATGGAAGATTCGCCAAGTTCCCGGTTCGCTGTGGATGGATTTCCCAATTTTGGAGATGTCCTCATAATGGCTGGTTTCAACATCCAGGGGGTCCTTTTGGGGTCCATGTTATCTTCAAGCTTGGGAGTTTTGTTGATGGTCTGAGACAACTCAACAACTCAACCTTATCATGACTTCTATCAACCTCCATTTAGTTTCAAAAAGGAAACGTCTCCAATTCTCCTTTCAGTAATCCCTTTCAAACTTTCCTCTAACATGAAACATCAGTTCTGGGTCTGTTTAGTTTGGGGTCCATGTTTAATGGGCGGAATATAGTACAGTATATATATAATATATCGCATAATCAAATGGATGACATTATCGCAGGTGTTGACCTTTACTTGCATACGTACACAAATACAAATACATGTATCATATAATACAGTACTTATTCCCAGATAAAGCTGCTTAGCCTTAGCTGGCAAATGGATATCTCTAGATGGGTTTTCATATGAATAGGGGGAGTCCATTCACAGCAAGGATCGCTTTGAAGATAGAAGACCTGATCGGTGGCAATTCCCCGATGCTGGCGGCACCAGTGAGGTCAAAGTCCTTAACGACACGTGCGCTCGTGGCGCGCTGAGATCAATAACCAGGGTTGCTCCCAACACCCCAGATACAAAGGGGAAACTTGGGTAGATAAAGAGAATAAATTGCCAATTGTCCCACCTTGGAGCTATCATTTACCTATGGGAGCAACCCTGATGGCTTCATTGAAAAATGGGGTTGGAAGCCTCATGAATTCCAGCCCCAAGTTAGTTGTGGTTCGCAGCTCAGCAAATTTGTGCCGTTAAACCAGACCAACATGGAGCAATAGAAGAAAATAAGGATGATTGTTTGGAAGCGCTGTATAATGTCGTTAGTGTTTGTGCTTTACCTTTGCCATGGGCTGGGCTGCCATGAGTTATGGGTTTGACAATGTGGGTGAATCAAATGAAGGGACAAAAAGCAAACACTCCCCTAGGGTTGAAAATTGTGGAAACGACCCATGATGGATAGCATGTATAAACGGCGGCTACATTCCACCCAACATTCCTTGCAGGTCTGATGCCAAGTCGAGTTTCGATGGTAGGTGGGTCAGGCATTGTGATGCCAACTCCACTGAGAATCGGATACTGGTCCTTGGTGCAGCTGGGACGGTTCTGATGCGTTGAGCACATTTTTTGGCGCATGTGTCGTTTCGTTTTCTAGCGTCCGTTGCCCCCTCAACGTGGTGGTCACTACACAAAACGCTCATCCAACTTCAACAAGTCAACCACAACAATGGTTGGGCCAAGAGTCCAGAATTGGGCCCCAGTCGACCTCGTGTTGGGCAAGGTTCCGAACGGTGACAGCATGTGGGTGCAAAACATGCTGAGAACTGGGAACGTCAGCATTGTTTTTTGTTGTTGGGCGCGAGTTTCCACTTGAGCGCGCTGGCACAACGGCCGCAAAATGATGAGACTGAAAGCAAGACCTCTCGCTTTGAAAAGGCACTGGCGCCAATCAAGTTGCGCCTTTCCGTGTCAGCGCTGGCGTTTCCCCAGGGTCTGCGAGAACAACGCAGGCAATTCCTTTCGTAGAACTAAGAAACGCAAAAGGCATGTCGGCTTGCTACCAAGTGATTCATTCTAGAGAGATGGCGGGCAAAGAGCCGAGCAAAAAACCTGCGCACAAAGAAGAACATGTCATCTGTCCCAAGTTGCACAATGCCCGTTCTCGTCATGTCATGGGATAGAAGATCTTACACCCGAGATGCATTGTTATGTGCCCCATTTCAAGCCAGTTCCTGTCATGTCCTTGCCACTTGTAACAAGCTATTGGGCTATCAACTACAACAAGGAACGTGATGGCTGCAGGAAAGGGTGTGTATATCACTGCCTGATCCTTTCTCACCATCTCCCAGATCGCTCTGCGGAAAAGACTAATAAGGGAACCTAGATCTGGATCGGGAAGAAAAAATTTTCTCTAGTTTCTTGTGAGATCAGCCCGGGTAGAAGTGATATTTGCTCAAGGACAAAACGTTTCATCGTTTCTACTCTCCAAAAAATCCTTGCGTGGACTTACTGAACCGAGGCAGCACCTGTGTATGTGTCAATTAACCAAAAAAGGTGAACATTATTGGCCCGCAATCACAACAAACATGGCTGGCTGATACTCTACACGAAATTCCAGTCGGCCAAGTTTGAGTATGTACCTAAATGCATTAAATTGTGTTTCTAGATAATCCCCAATGATCCCCCAATGTATAGATGGATAATATACATGCTGGCAAATGCTTAAGGGAGCGTCCCATTCCCAGGACTGAGGCGAATCAGCACCCAATTCTTGCAGCCATTTGGTACTGACTGACCCATACCCATATCAGAAACATCAGAAATCCATAGAAATCTATCATTCAAAAAAATGTGGATTCGATTCAAATTTCAACCAGATATGCTCAAAAATCCCAAGCTCGGGGCGCATCGCAATGTAAGTGAGTATACCATCGAAACTTATCACTTAGATGAATGAAATATCCCCCGGACTAATGATTAATGACTTACAATAGAGATATATATATATATACGGCAGGCAACGCATCATCATCATCATCATCATCATCATCATCATCATCATCAAACCCTTTTCGAAGATCTTCAATGAATGTAGAAGTTTAACGGGGGTGGGAGAATTAAACCATTATTGAAGATCTACAATGAATGTAGAAGTTTAACGGGGTGGGAGAAATAAACCCTTGACGAAAATCTTCAATGAATGTAAAGTTTAACGGGGGTGGGACTTTAATATGCCCTAATACCTTTGTTGATCTTCCCAATTTAATGTAAAGTTAAATGGGGGTGGGATTTTAATATTCCCTCATACCTTTGTTGATCTTCCCAATTGAATGTAGAGTTCAACGGGGGTGGGATTTTAATATTCCCTCATACCTTTGTTGATCTTCCCAATTGAGAGTTCAGCGGGGGTGCGATTTTAATATTCCCTCATACCTTCGTTGATCTTCCCAATTGAATGTAGAGTTCAACCGGGGGGGGTTAAGATTCCCTAATACCTTTGTTGATCTTCCCAATTGAATGCAGAGTTGCAACAACATTTGATTGGGAATGGGGACCCTCTACGCTGCAACGCCTGGGCAAAGCCCAGGCGCTGCGCGTGTGTATATATATATACACATATGTATATATAATCTACCCCGTTATCTTAGAATATCCGTTTTTCCAATTATGCAGTTGAACTCGACCGTAACTCCACTTAGAATATGCCCCCATTTCGTGCTCATGTGTTTTCTCCCCATTTGAATTATCAACATATCACCCATACTGCAGCATAAATGGACATAAATTGATATTTTTTGAATTTTTCACCCCACTAATTTTCGGTTGAATTATCAAAATATCACCCATATTGCAGCATAAATGGACATACATGGTCATTTTTTCAAATTGTCATCCCACTAAAATCCTTTGAATTATCAACATATCACCCATACCGCAACATAAATGAACATAAATGGTCATGTTTCATTTTTTTTTCACCCCACTAAAATCCACCAAAACACCATAAAAATCCTTTTTGAAATTGTTCAAGCTCACCTAAAGGTACCCACCTTGACCGGTGTCCGAGAACTATGAGAAAAGAACTATTTTGCAATGAAAACTAATGGAATTAGGTGGTGTTCCTGAAAAAATGGATGAATATGTTCACTGGGGACCTATATTCTATGTATATAGTTCTGCAAGGAATTTGATCTTTTCCATGTATAAGGTTATATAATTATCATATACATAATTCCCTTTGGGGAGCAGCAATCCTGGATGTCTGAAGTTCCTAAACTGGAACGCTTCAACAAAAAAACAGCTCCCCCGAAATGATCAATTTCTTTTCATATTGTATTAAAAAAAATGAGTTTTTCAAGCTCACCGAAGGGTACCTACCCTCTACGACCGGTGTCCGAGAACTATGAGAAAAGAACTATTTTGCAATGAAAACCAATGGACTTAGGTGGCATTCCTTCAAAAATTGATGAATATTTTCACTGGGGACCTATATTCTATGTATGTAGTTCTGCAAGGAATAGGGTCCCCTTCATGTATGAGTATTATATACAAAATTCCCTTTGGGGAGCAGCAATCCTGGATGTCTGAAGTTCCTAAACTGGAACGTTTCAACAAAAAAACAGGTCCCCCGAAATGATCAATTTCTTTTCATATTGTATTTAAAAAAATGAGTTTTTCAAGCTCACCGAAGGGTACCTACCCTCTACGACCGGTGTCCGAGAACTATGAGAAAAGAACTATTTTGCAATGAAAACTAATGGAATTAGGTGGTGTTCCTGAAAAAATGGATGAACATTTTCACTGGGGACCTATTTTCTATGTATGTAGTTCTGCAAGGAATAGGGCCCACTTCATGTATGATTATTATATACGTAATTCCCTTTGGGGAGCAGCAATCCTGGATGTCTGAAGTCCGTAAACTAGAACGTTTCAACAAAAAAACAGGTCCCCCGAAATGATCAATTTCTTTCCATATTGTATTAAAAAAATTAGTTTTTCAAGCTCAACGAAGGGTACCCCCCACGACCGGCGTCGTAGAACTATGAAAAAACACTAGTTTGCAATGAAAACCAATGGACTTAGGTGGCATTCCTTTAAAAAATGATGAATATTTTCACTGGGGACCTATATTCTATGTATGTAGTTTTGCAAGGAATAGGGTCCCCTTCATGAATAATTATTATATACGTAATTCCCTTTGGGTAGAAGCAATCCTGGATATCTGAAGTTCCTAAACTGGAACGTTTCAAGAAAAAAACAGGTCCCCCGAAATGATCAATTTCTTTTTATATTGTATTAAAAAAATGAGTTTTTCAAGCTCACCGAAGGGTACCCCCCACGAACGGTGTTGGAGAACTATGAAAATCAACTAAAAAAATATTTTGCAATGAAAACCAATGGACTTAGGTGGCATTCCTTAAAAAATTGATGAATATTTTCACTGGGGACCTATTTTCTATGTATGTAGTTCTGCAAGGAATAGGGTCCCCTTCATGTATGATTATTATATACGTAATTCCCTTTGGGGAGCAGCAATTTTTGATGTCTGAAGTCCGTAAACTAGAACGTTTCAACAAAAAAACAGGTCCCCCGAAATGATCAATTTCTTTCCATATTGTATTAAAAAAATGAGTTTTGCAAACTCACCGAAGGGCAACCCCCACGACCGGTGTCGGAGAACTATGAAAATAAACTATTTTGCAATGAAAACTAATGGACTTAGGTGGCATTCCTTCAAAAATTGATGAATATTTTCACTGGGGACCTATATTCTATGTATGTAGTTTTGCAAGCAATAGGGTCCCCTTCATGTATGATTATTATATACATAATTCCCTTTGGGGAGCAGCAATCCTGGATGTCTGAAGTCCGCAAAAAACAGGTCCCCCGAAATGATCATTTTTTTTATACATTGAATTAAAAAAATGAGTTTTTCAAGCTCACCGAAGGGTATCCCCCACGACCGGTGTCGGGAAACTATGACCAAACACATATTTTTGCAATGAAAGCCAATAAAATGAATGAATATTTTCACCGGGGACCTATATTCTATGTATGTAGTTCTGAAAGGAATTTTATCTCTTCCAATCAAAAGGGTGTATATGATATACGTAATTCCGTTTGGGGAGTAGCAATCCTGGATGTCTGAAGTTCCTAAACTGGAACGTTTCAACAAAAAAACAGGTCCCCCGAAATGATCAATTTCTTTTCATATTGCGTTAAAGAAATGATCTTTGTCGTAGAACTATGAAAAAAATATGTTGCAATGAAAACCAATAGACTTAGGTGGCATTCCTTTAAAAAAATGATGAATATTTTCCCTGGGGACCTATTTTCTATGTATGTAGTTCTGCAAGGAATAGGGTCCCCTTCATGTATAATTATTATATAATATACGTAATTCCCTTTGGGGAGCAGCAATTTTTGATGTCTGAAGTCCGTGAACTAGAACGTTTCAACAAAAAAACAGCTCCCCCGAAATGATCAATTTCTTTTCATATTGTATTAAAAAAATGAGTTTTTCAAGCTCACCGAAGGGTACCCCCCACGACCGGTGTCGGAGAACTATGAAAAAAAAAACTAGTTTGCAATGAAAACTAATGGACTTAGGTGGCATTCCTTCAAAAAATGATGAATATTTTTCACTGGGGACCTATATTCTATGTATGTAGTTTTGCAAGCAATAGGGTCCCCTTCATGTATAATTATTATATACGTAATTCCCTTTGGGTAGCAGCAATCCTGGATATCTGAAGTTCCTAAACT